CACTAAGGTCATCTGCTAGGCTCTATGTATATGCCATTGCCTTGCCTGGAATGTTCCCCAGTATGGCATTACACCTGTCTATCTTCTGGAGTCAAGCAGGTGACTCTGACTCCATCAGACTTATAAGTCAGATCCACAGCAACTCCACTCACAATAATACTGCAAGTCATTTTAGCAATAAAATGTATGTAAATGCCTGATATGTTCATTCCATGCAGCACAGTGGCATCTCATGGTATACCCTCCACAAAAAAAGTTACACGGTACCTCTTTAAGCAATCATATACAGACATACATTATAATTTTATGATTTCGTAAATAAAATATTGCCTTCTGTAAAAGGGCAGTGAAAGGTGGTAATTTGAGGAGAAAGGCCAACACTTAGAGTGGATCCAGGTGACTTGTTAAAGGGATTGTTTAAGATTTCCACTCAAAACAGAATTACAGAATTTTATTTATTTTATTTATTTTACTTATTTTTTATTATCATTGTGAGATGGGGTGACTAAATGGAGAAATACTATGCCCCAGAACTATAAGATATTCCATTATCTTCTTTATAAAAATGTAGTAAATCACATTGTTGTATGTGTCGTGTGTGAACTTATTTAAATAATCCTTGACTACATTGTAAGCCGTTCTTCAAATGACAAGATGAGCTAAATGGGCTCTAACAAATGGAGCAAGACTGTGCGTTCTGTGACAAAGCGCTGTTGTAATGAACCTGAGGTGGCTCTCCCCCATACATCATGTGGAGTAAATTTGCCAACATCACTCTCTTTACCACAGAGCACGCTAAATGAGGATTTATGCTCTTGCTTCTTATCATCCCTGTCCTCTTTTCCACCCCACGAGGTAGCCACTGCCATCCGAGACGCACACTTCCACCAAAGGCAATATCCGCTCGCAGTAATTATATCAGAGCAAGAGATAGCTCATTAGCATACGCGTGGCATGTCAGGAATACAAGCGCCTTTACACACACAGAGCATCATGTGCTGTTGCATGTGTCTCCTATCTCCTCTGAGGGTGCTGTCTCCTCATCTCAATGGCTGTCAATCAAAAACGGTTTTAAGGAGGATTTTTGTGTTGCTCTGTGGAAAGGCAATCATAAGGGACAGTTTAATGAGATGAAAAAGTCTGTGAGCACAAGTCCGGGACGTGACTACAGGTTTGATTAGAAATGCACATAAGGGCCGTGATATTGTGGCATTGATGTCCTATACGTCCTGAGCGTATAGGACATCAATGCCACAATATCACAGCGTTGTGATGTTTTGAGTATAGTGCAGAAAAAACACTAGTGTATGCATTATGTCTTAATGCCACTACAGAAAAGAGCAGGACATAGATAACAAGATTCCTAAATCTTCAAATAATGCAAGACATTGCTGCATTATGTAATTGGGTCATGTTAGTAATATGTCAATAATGAAAGTCAGTTTACACTGGTAATTTTTCCATGGAATATGTTGATTGTATTGAATGAAGAGTAATAAGTTGTTTTCTGTGAGAATACAAGTAAGTAAAACTTTCAATAGAAAACATGACTATAAATATCCTCTTACGAATGGTGATCTAGACAGGATGTGGTCTGTAGACAAAGGTCTTGTGCCTCAGAAATGTCATTGTGAAGACTGAAGACCCACCGTCCATTTCCATCAGCGCTGCTCTCACTAACGCACTCCTTCTCATTCATTGTCATTGCCTTTCCCTTTAAGTGCACTTTCGCCCACACCACTTGGAAATTGATTGAAACAAAATGTCACAATTATGCCCTGTAGCTCGCCGCTTCAATTATTCATCAATTAGGGACCGGGCCATTTTTTTTCTCTGCTCCAAGCTGATTTTTCATTCAGTTTGCTGGAGATGTATGGCTCCCCTGCTGTTAACCAGTCCAAAGTCATTAGTTTCTGGGTTTGCAATTAAAGCTGATGCATTATGCATGAGGCTTCGACTCAGTAGACACGCACAGCAGCCGCGGCCGCTGCAGATCTCAACCAGCTCCAGAGGCATGGACGGGAAATTAATTTGGTCAAAATGAAGTTCTCTCTCTCCTCTCCTTCTCTGAGCTGTGACAGGCTGAACAGATGCCTGAGAAGATAAGGAGGAGCTGGTGATGGAGATGAGACAGGTATAGAACCAATGTACCTTCACAACAACAGCCCCATCAGATTTTAGCATCAAATAGTCTAGATGCACAAACTGCTCATTATATAACAAACTATGGCTCTTTTTGTATCAAAATATAATACATGTGTAGTCTGCACTCATGTTGTCATGTCAGGTTTTTTCATTATTATAGTCTCCAAAATTCACTCATTCAGCTGGAGAGGATGTACTACTACTGATTAATGATTGACTGGAATGGAGGATTCAAACCAGAGAGAATCCCATTAAGTTTACACCAACTGGATTTTAGCATTACAACTGGCCACCCAAATGAGAGATCCATGTGATTTCTGGTTCAGCTCTAAGAACCAAAACACAAAATAAAAACATAAACAACTTGGTCATTATGTCAATGTTTTGTAATAAAGAATAAATCAGCATTGTAATTGTTATCAGCAAGAGCTACATTTAAATTGAACAAGTCTACCTGATATCTGCGGACACAATATTATGTTTATGAAATTTAAGTAGAAATGCTACATACTTGAGCTTGTTCTACGGGTTTATTATATGTGCTGAGTTGCTGCCACCTAGTGTTTTTATAATATTAATCAATAATCATTAGTAAAATTTAATCAAGCACTTTCCCACATTAAATAAAGCTCAGTAAAACATCTTGTTAAGGTATAATAAATGTTCTTTTTGGTTCTTCATGTTGAAACCACACTATAGTAAGTGTGACCTCCAGTGCTGAAGCACCTGTAGGAGCAGAGAAGGGCCCTCACTGGAACAGTCAGTGACTTCTTCATCTTCATCACCTATAACAGAAACACAGCAAGGTCAAACATCAGACATTGTTACTGCAGTTTCACAGCAGCAGCAGTACAGCCACAAACACAAGCGGAAGGGGCACAGAACACTAACCTTCCGGAGGTTGACAAAATGCACACACTCCAGCCATGTCGTGAGGATGGGTTTCAAACACAGCGAGCAATAACTGCCTTTGGCCAGTAAGGTGATGAGGTTTGGGTAGTAAGGAAGTGTCTTATGGACCAGAGAGGACTTATTTCTGTCCTCATGTAGAACAAACCTGGCAACTAACTCCTGTGGACCACAATAGGCATTTGTAACTGGCTATGTTTGTTTGGTTAGATGGTTAAGAAACACAACCTTTAAGGAGAGCATTTCTTGTCCCAGCACTGAAGGTATTGGGTTGCATTGAACTAACTTATTTCCTTCAAAGTAGAGCTCAGTTAGGTGCAAATGGTGAAACTAAAGAAAGTAAAGAGTCAGTGTCATGCTATTTGTATGATGCCATGTTATAAAACTGCATGTACCTCTGCAGGAAACATGGCCAACTTATTTCCAGCCACATCTAAGACTTGGAGCTTGGTCAGTACTCGAATTCCCTGGTTTAAAGTCCCCAAATGAATATGAGAAACACAAACACAGACTAAAAGTAAGAGTGTGTTATCACCACTTACCTCGGGGAGTCTGTTGAGTTGGTTCTTGGCTAAATATATCTTGGTTAGTAGTTTACAGTGGTAGATCTCATGTGGTAGTTGAGACAAACAGTTGTCTGTGAAGTTGACCTCAGTGAGTTCAGTGAGATGACCAAGCTCTGAAGGGATGTCCTCCAGTCTGTTGTGGGCCAGACTGAGGCACTGGAGCTTTGTTAGACTAAGACAACAAAGACAAAGAACACTTTTATTTAGCAACTTAGCTTATGCAATACAGCCTATAATACATTATCCACCTATTGATTTCTGACGGAAGCCTTTGAATGTGGTTGTGGTTTAAATTGAGCACACAGAGGTTTTTCAATGAACCTTTAATAATGCAGATACACAATATTATGTCTTGAAAAATACACACATCTATGTGGCGCTACAGCTGCCTGCAACCGAACTCACCTATCACCTCAGATGACACTGCGCTGATGTGGTTGCTGTACAGATAGAGCTTTTTCAATCGTTCCAGATGGCCCACAACAGCAGGGATCTCCTTAAAGGTATTATTTCCCAAATTCAGCTCAGTCAGCTAACAGGAGGAGCAAAGTGAGAGATATTTAATCACAAACCTGGGCGCCGTGTAAAACATGCAAAATAGACTATTTTGGCAATCCTCCAGGTTCCAGGTAGTGACACGCACGTGTGGCAGCCGGAGCATCTCCACAGGCAAAGTACAGATGTGGTTATTATTCAGCAGCAAAACAGAAAGCTGTGGCAACATACAAATATCCGAAGGCACCTCCTTTAGGTTTCTGGAGCTCATTTTTAAAGAAGTTGCTCTGGCATAACACGCCCTGACCACACACTCGGCCATCACAAACCTGGGCACGGCGCGTTCGCGTTTCTATGACAACGGACGCCTTGAGATTTACGTAATCCAACAGCGACCTCCATTGATAGAACGTGAGCATTAACAGATATGAGTTTAAGTCGATTGAACTCGTTATTTGTAACCATCACTAACAAAATAATACAAGGAAATTCGTGCACAATTAAGCGGTTTTGTTAACGTGTGACAGACACTGGCTATTCACATGGACACTAAAATCGGATTATTATTTTAATGACAAGTGAGTACTATGGGGGATCACGATCAAAAACCTGTTTTAAAGCATTTAAGTAAACAGATTTTTTTTCTGCTATTTGTGTGAGTAATAACCATATCATTCATGGCGTTTTATAGAACTTTGTATATACTAGGATTTAGTTTGTGCACAGTAAAAAAGTGCATTGCCATAGAGCATTTCACAAGTGACCAGCATTATAATTCCAATAAGTGCAATGACAGGAACAGGTTATACTACACTGACATTAGGAAGCCTAAAAGTAATTTGCCTAGTCTGTGAACCTTAACACTACATCAATAAAATGAAACGCTTGAGTATTGTAAGTGTTTATGTTACCATCATTAATTACAATTTCTAATTAAGTAGTTCAGTACAATCACGATTACACAGCAACAACAGTTTTATCATGGACATGTCATTAATGTCTGGTTTTAGATAGTGATGTGTAAGTAGATTTAGTCTTCAATTCACTGTGGGTCTCATCAAGTCAAAGTGAAGGAGGCAATACTTCTCCATAATGCTAGTGAAATGTGCTCTCCTCCAACAATAGGAGATTTCAGTAACAAATGACAACACTAATTGGAAGCAGCACCAGTGTCTTCTCTGCAACATGCCAACGTGCCAAATCCCAGACACTATTAGATTTACAGTGGCTGTCTTTTGCTGGAGAAATCGTGTCTGTCACATTGCACGTTTCAGGTGTCCTCAACCGGTTCCTTCAGCTTCTCCACAGAATTATAGTGTTCACCCAGTCCATAGGCATGGCGCATGTAGCTGGAAAAGTACAACACAGTGAATAATCTACTCGCTCAGTGAGTCACAAAATGTCATAAACCATCATAAACCATAAAAGCATCTCTTCAGTACAAAGCTGAGTCTGGCATGCTATATATACAGTCCCTGACAAAAGTCGTGTCGCTTATCCATTTTGTAGAAACAAAAGCTTATAACCTGACTTTAAATTAATCGATTGGTTTTAGAAATGTCTCATATGAAAGCTAAAACCCTCCCAAATTATGCTCAACATACTAAAATAAATTTACTTCACTGAAGAAAGATTGATCATTTAATGAACACAGAAAGGTCAGATTTTGGCAAGACAAAAGTTTTGTCGCCTACAGAAAATTGAACACATAATTTACTTCAAATACAAAAATATGTTGCATAACATCAGTGAATGAAGTAGTGGTGCTGTGAGATCCATATTTAATATCTTGTATGACTTCCATGAGCTTGAAGGACGCATCCATGCGGTTCAACAATGATTCATACAATTTGTTGATGAAGTCATCAGGAATAGCAAAGAAAGCGTCTTACATGCCTCCCAGAGTTTATCAAGATTCTTTGGTTTTGCCTTCCATGCTTCCTCTTTCATTCTACCCCAGACATGCTCAATGATGTTCATGTCTGGTGACTGGGCTGGCCAGTCCTGGAGCACCTCGATCTTCTTCGCCTTGAGAAACTTTGATGTAGAGATAGAAGTATGCGATGGAGCACAATCCTGCTGCAAAATTTGACCCCTTTTATGGTTGGGAATGTAAGAGGTAGCTAATACTTCTTGATATTTTAGGCTATTGATATTGCCTTCCACCCTGCAAATGTCTCGCACACCCCCATACTGGATGGAACCCCAGACCATGATTTTTCCGCCACCAAACTTAACTGTTTTCTGGGTGAATCTTGGATCCATGCGGGCTCCAGTAGGTCTCCTGCAATATTTGTGTGGCGGCTGTGATGTAATTCAACCGAGGATTCATCTGAGAAATCCACCTTCTGCCACTTTTCCAGTGTCCATCCTTTTAGCAGGCTGTGGGCCTTGGCAAATGCCACACGGTTTTTTAATTGCCTTTTGTTTAGTGCTGGTTTCTGTGCACTGATTCGATCATGGAGGCCATTCCGAGACAGAATTCTACAAACTGTTCAGGTTAACACAGGGACTTGAGGTAACCAGGCCTGGTGGAGCTCTGCTGCAATGGAAAAGGGGCTGGCCTTGGATTTTCGAATCAACAAACAGTCGTCCCGAGCAGTTGTCTTGCGGGGTCTGCTGGACCTGGGCTTGTCAAAAGCATCTCCAGTCATTTCAGATCTTTTTCTTATTCTTTGTACTTGATGCTGAGACACATTGAAGGTGTCAGCCACCTCAGCAGCGGATCTGGTCTTCAGCCTCTTGATAATTAACACTTTGGTCTCAGGGTGGATCTTAGGCATGTTGTCAGAGGTCAAGTTGCAGTTGATGTGAAGGTCTGGTGTGCTGGGGTTCTTTTTATACACACCCACTAATTGATTGTTCAGTAACTGATCACAGGTGAGGCTGTAATCTAGGATTGGGTGCATCATACGACAAGGCGACAAGACTTTTGTCTTGCCAAAATCTGACCTTTCTGTGTTCATTAAATGATCAATCTTTCTTCAGTGAAGCAAATTTATTTTAGGATATTGAGGATAATTTGGGAGGGTTTTCTAAAACCAATCGATTAATTTAAAGTCAGGTTATAAGTTTTTGTTTCTACAAAATGGATAAGCGACAAGACTTTTGTCAGGGACTGTACACACATATTCAACTATAATTCACATGGTTGAATAAATAAATACAAATTAATATCTTACACAAGGGTTATAGGTTCACCACTGTATTCCTCTCCGATTTTTATAGTTGTAGAGTCTGCCTGTACAACTTCTATTGGTAACTGAAGAATATGGGTCAGAGCCCGCAGCTGCAAACATACGCATATTATTCAGATTATCCAAACAAAGCGAGTCCTGTGACAGTTACTTAAGATAAAAGAAAATACAAAAGTACCTCTAGTTGACCTCCCCAAGCAGATGTATGCTCCACATCACTGCAGTATTTTTCAAATTCCTCTAAAAAATATATATATTAAATATATTTTACTTCCAAACTAGTACATCTACTACTGAGAAATTGGCACTTTCATGTGTTGTAATGTGTGTTGTAATATCATAATAATGTTATGCTTTGTTTTTTTGCATTAGGAGGTGACAGAATCAAATTCAGAGACACTGTGCAGATGGGACAATGAAGCCATCTTGGGTACTGAGTTTGAAACTGAAAAAAGGGTAAGGGGTGTTTACTGTGTTAGACAGAGAGAGTTCCTGAGCATCTGAAAGATGAATAAAATGAAACAGCAAATAGCCTTTCATTTGTGCAGTAGAGTTTTGAATTATGTTATTGTTTATTTTATACTCAGTCAGTGGACTACAAATGGCAGTTATGTGGTGGGATTAGGGGGCTTCTGGATACTTGAGATGGGATTTGTGAGGAATGCTCATAATACCTGTTGTTAACAAATCACCAGTGTTGGGGTTTGTGAGGAACGGCCAGAAGTCATCCATGTTACTTCTCATGTGTTCAGCAGTACGACATCGCAGTTCCTTTACATTCATGGCTCCCCCAGACTGCATAAAAATAACAGTTAAATAATAATGATTAAATGGTCATTTTAAAAGATGGCTTGCTCATACATACCAGTGATTTCTGTGTCAGTTGATCTTCAATGGCTCGGTACATGCAGTGACCATCAGAGGAAATCTCTTTGATCTGTAGCTGCTGCTGAGCCAGTTTCTGAGCGAGCTTCAAGCCCTCCTGGTGCCTCTCTCCCAGAAGGTTTTCTACCTCGGCTTCTGCTATTCTGCTCTCTCTTTCTTTCTCTTGGGCAGCCTTCTTGTCCTAAATCAATTGAGTTTAGTCAACTATCCTGGAGAATATTTACAATTCCGTATTTCACCCACAGTTTGATTGACAGTTATGACAAAAAACCTACCCGTCTCTTCTGGGCCTTGGTTACGCGGTGTTTGGATTCTTCTTGTTGTTCACTGTCCACTGTCAAAGTCTCAACTTCATTAGTAATCTGCTCCACCTAATCAACAGTTGTTCTCTTAGTTCATAAAACATTCAAAATATGGAAGTGTCAGAACCAGAATAATTACTTTTATGTCAGAAGACTTAAGATTCTTGAGTTCTTCTTCCTGTTTCTGGTTCAGATCAGCTTCCAATTTTGCAATCTCTTCAGTCATCTGTTTTCTCCGTTTCTTGTCATTTTTAGGGACGGCATTTTTCATGCTCTGTATTTTTGCTAAAAGGCAAGATGGCAGTAGTTTACTAAATAAGGGCATATAGAACTTAAAAGTTATACTATTTAAAACATGAACTACTTTTATTATATCCTGAACAATATAATAAAAATGGCTAGATCATGATTCACTGGTGCACTGCAAATGCATCTTCTTCACATAAATGCAATAAAGCATGTGGCTATCAAACTTTTGTGCCAACAAACCTTGTAATTCTTTCTTTTCCTTGCGATGTTGTTTTGCAATCAGCTCCTCTGGAGAATCCACTATCTCCTCCGCCATGATTATTACGGCTTCTAAAGATACTAAACTTTAATTTGGAGCGGCGACGGATGCAAAGAGTAAATGTTCATTGTTTAATACATCCTACAGTGGATAAAACTTATATTTTCTTCAAAAAACGTGTAGAGATGATCACACCCGGAAATGCTCAGCGGAAACGGGACTTTTTCTTTTCTTTTCGATTGCAAGTTCAAAGTCTGTATGCTATACTGCCACCTCTCGGCAATAACAACAACTGTGTCTAATATATAAAATATATTCTTCAAAAGCAAATTGTAATATAACTTAGTTTTACTTTGTTACCCTCTGAGACACTAAAACATTTAAATATACTGGTCAATATTTGGCGTACAGTTAATTACATTTAACTGAAGGTATGTCCAGTACTTAGGCTAAATGTAAAACCATAATTCTTGCATATATACATATATATGTGTGTGTGTGTATATATATATATATATATATATATATATATATATATATATATATATATATATATATATATATATATATATATATATATATATATATATATATATATATACATATATAGGGTCTGGACTAGACTGGACCAGCAGGAGACGCACGGAGATCTACGGTCAGACGCCGTGTGACGTGGCACAGGGGCGGAAGTTCTTGTGTTTTGGTTCTAAAGGGAAGTTGCGACAAGAAAGAAAGGAGAAGACGTGACGGGATTGTTGAGATAATTTTCTGACTTTTTCAACACTGTGGCGTCAAAATACTCTGGCTTGCTTTTATATATGCTCCAGCGGCAGTGGTAGAAGTTGAGATCGTCGTCTGGCTCACAGGTAGCGCACTTGACACCAATTGGAAGGCTAGCTGCTTCACCGCTAAAGCTAACGCCTCGGCCAGTCAGTTTCGGAGAGAGGTTAGCGGCTAGCTGGCTCTGGGCTAGTTGTGCTTTGTGTGTTAAGGAAGAAATATGTGTTACTTTTTCCTCTGTCAGGTTGCCAAGTGTCCTTGTGGTAGGGATCGCAAAATCAGATCATGTCAATCATTTGTGATGATAAAAGTCTGCAATCAGGTTAGTGAGTGGACTAGCATCTCATCTGTAGTGAGCAAGAGAAAACAACACAATACGCAAGAATACAAGTATTTCCGTCTGGTGTTGGATATTTGGCTCTAGGTGACTGTCAATCCTGAGATGGACGGTCTTCAGCCATCTCTAGTTTTGTATTATAATCTTATTAGGACAACAAAACACAGTGCAATATGGCGTCCTGTCACTAAAACCAAAACAGATTCTATGTTGACTTGCATTCATTGTCAAGTGTGCTTTATTCCAGTGTTTGAGGCTTGTGTCATAAATAGTCCTTAGGTGTTGCCTCATCTAACAACTATGCATATCTCTTGATCATTATATCCACTGCCCAGATTTCTTGAGAATTCCTTCAAGAATCTTGTGTACTGTGGGGCACAAAGTGGTACTGTGTAATAACAACAGTCATCTGTTCTTACCAATTAGGTCTAAACGGAATCCCTAGTTAGAATGTAATGCAAGTATGCTGTGCAAGTACAAATGTGTTCAGCAGATATATTTCTGTCTAGTTGGTCAACAGAGTTTACTAAGATACTTGTATTCCCATTTGGTGTTGCTAAATTTAATATGACAAAAAGTGATGTTGCTGAGTTTAATATGAAAAGAAGTGAATTCAATATATTATTGCTGTCTGCTTTTCTTTTTGACACATTCATGCAGTCTGAAAAGTGAAGTTTGAGGATTCCAGGTGATCTGTGAAGGTCATGGCCAATCGAGGAGGAGCGACAAGACCTAACGGACCCAATGCAGGGAACAAAATCTGTCAGTTTAAGCTGGTGCTTCTGGGTGAGTCAGCCGTCGGAAAGTCAAGCCTGGTGCTGCGCTTTGTCAAGGGACAGTTTCATGAATTCCAAGAGAGCACAATAGGAGGTGAGCGCCCAAAATATAATTACATTTTAGTATAAGATTGACAGTGTTTATGATAATAAGTCCTTTTCTTTCTTTTTTTTCTTTGTTTAGCTGCCTTTCTCACCCAGACAGTATGTCTAGATGACACAACTGTAAAGTTTGAGATTTGGGATACTGCAGGACAAGAGCGTTACCACAGTCTGGCACCTATGTATTACAGAGGTGCACAAGCAGCCATAGTTGTCTATGACATCACAAATGAGGTATGCTCATGTTGACTTGACACTAATGTGTCTTTAATCTTTTTCTGTCTTTATTTATTGTCCAAATTCAGTAAACAACACAACTCGAGCATTCCTTTGTCCCTTAATACATTTTTGTCAGATAACATGAAGGTTGACTATTCAGACCTTATGCACAGCATTTAATGAATGTGATTGCGGAAATGGTGTTTAGAGGGCAGATGGGCATGGGCATCTTCTGTCCATCAGCACCAGTGTTAAGTGTGACAGAATGTTAAGTGACAGAATAATGCATCAAAATCTAAAGCAACTTTGAGTTTATACAAAATATATGATTATTGTGTAATTCCTTTTATTCTTCAGGAATCTTTTGCTCGAGCAAAAAATTGGGTAAAAGAGCTACAAAGACAAGCTAGTCCTAATATCGTCATTGCCTTGTCTGGCAACAAGGCAGACCTGGCCAATAAACGAGCTGTGGACTTCCAGGTCAGAGAAATTCCTTACTTTTGACAATGCATTGTTATAACAGATGCATAATATGCAAAAATATATTCTGACAGGATGCACAGTCGTATGCAGATGACAACAGCTTACTTTTTATGGAGACATCAGCCAAGACATCTATGAATGTGAATGAGATATTTATGGCTATTGGTGGGTGTCTGCTAAATGAAATGCACACAATTTCTGTATATGTGAAAAAGGCAAAGATTAATTTTTATTTTATTTGTTTTATTTTGCAGCAAAGAGATTACCGAAGAGTGAACCTCAGGCTGCTGGAACTAACACTGGCCGTAACCGGGGCGTGGACCTAACAGAGGCTGCACAGCCCGCCAAGGCTCCATGCTGCAGTAACTAACACAAAGGATGCCTTCCCAAACAACCTTTACAACAGTAACTGATGCAGCCCAAGCACCAGTGCCACGGCAGTTACTGTTTCAAAGTCTTGTTAGTCTTATCTCCAATTCTTTAATGTTCAAAAGAGGAAAAAAGCTCAGTACCCCTAATATATAGTTGCTAGGTCAGTCCTTAGCCTGATGTCTGGCTCTGCCTCCTTTGCTCCATTCTGATTTTGCTGCTACGTGGTGAGTCACTTCACCGGCCTTTCATCCACTCTGTTTAGCTGTACATGGACAGAGACATTTTGACCCCCTGCTTTTCAACATCTGCCCTGTGTAGATATGTCTTTTTAGAGAAAATTACTGTTTACTACTGCATTCTTATACTGTTTGATTTGACAGTTATTACATACTAATATCTGCTGATATTATAAATTTACCTACTAACATAAGTTAAACTTTTTTTTTTTTTTTTTTACTGAAATATGAAGATTTAATCTAAATTGATCCTCAGTAGGACCTGTTTTCACTCTAATCATCCCGGCCCTCCATGGACAGAGTTTAATTTTCCTCATTATGGCATTGTGCAATTCCTTACAGTATTTATTATCTCTGACACTCTTCTGGACCAATGCAGCCCCCTGGACTCTTCTGGCACATGACGAGGTGCAGAGGTCAAACTAGCTGTCTCAATACAAATCCATTCCTTGTTCACTTTTAAAACTCTCAGTGGACAAAATAGTGTGTTGCTTTATGGCGAAAAGATAATAGAGCTAGAGACAGTTGGGGAGTTGCAATATTCATTGATTCAAAAGGCTCAATGTCCTGTCCTGTAGCAGAAACCTTTAGTGGCAGGTTGTCCAGGTATTTTAAATGGCTCTGGCTGTTGTTAGATAGAATTTATGACCCAAACATTTGCACATTATCAAGCCTCATTGAACCAATTGAAATCTTTGCATTGCTGCAGAAATGTCTGTTACAGCATCATTCATCTGTTGGGCCCATTCTCCTGTACTTTTATCATAACATATTTTTGCACCGTCACAAAAGGCTTACATGTATTCACACTATACTTGTGGGTCATGTGTCTTTACAGGTCTGTCTTACTCATGCCTTGCACTAACAATGCTCATGAATATATCTTGTCATATTTACAGCCAGTGTGATATAAGTATATATATAAATAAATATAAATATATAAATAATCTACTGTAAATAGGGTCTTGCAGTGTATTCTGCTTTTTGATTTACCTGTGACAGAACTAATGCTTGCTATGAAAATGTCCAAATCAAAAAAAAAAAACAAAAAAAAATGTACAGTGAATGGAAAATGGCTAGACAGATTTGATTTCTGTTGCGTTTTGTTGTTGTTGTTTTTTTCCACAAATGGTTCAATTATAAACAGTGGTGGTCTGTATTATAAATGTATGTAGTGATATAACAAAAATGAAATAGCATTTATTTAGTGGTCTGTAATTGCACTTTTCTCAAAAGAAAAAAAAAGTCCGGTTTTCTTTTTTTTTTTTTTTTTTTTTTTTTTTTTTAACCCAATCTCTGTCTTGCATCTCACAATTTTTTCTAGTGGTATTCTGGTGCCCAGCACTTCGTCCCTCTTGTGGACCTGAACACTGCTTGTAAGATCTCCAGTGTTCCTTTATCTTTGTGACTCTTGTAGAAACTGTAGAACAGCTGTGAGCAGGCACAACTATGATTCATAAATAAATTTATTAACACATTATAAAGACATGTTTTACTTTGTGTGGAGTGTGTGGATCCTTTATTTTCAAGATTTTTAAAATATTGTGGTTATTACTAAATTCATTCTGGAAATATGTCCTCTATATCTAAGCATTTTTACAGGGTAAAATATGATGAGTGTGTGTGTAATTTAGTATTCACAATTTGTTCTGATAGATTTCCTGCGTTTTTCACATTGACCTTGACAGTTTGCTCCTAATGGTCTTGATAGTATTTGACCTCCTCTGAAATGCATTGGTGATTTCCAGTGGTCCTACTTAGTCCCCTAGTGGACGAAAATGGGCCTACAACGAGAAACTGAAAATAAGGATGAGCATGAGCGCCATGTCTGATCCTCCAATGTTGGACTAGAGCGGGCTGCAAATCGGATCTACCCGGGCCGGTCCCTCAGTCTGCACTGGGGAAACCATGGCCGACGGTGCGGGCTTTCAGCAGGGCTCTCCGGCCATAGGGGCCGCGGGCTCAGCGCCGGCTGCTCCGGGGGCCGGTGGAACAGGGAGCACCGAGGGCCCCGGCGCCGCTGGAGGATCCGCTCGTATAGCTGTAAAGAAGGCGCAACTCCGCTCGTCGCCGCGGCCCAAGAAACTGGAAAAACTCGGAGTTTATTCATCCTGCAAAGTAGGCAGTGGCGTCCCCGTTGTGCAGTTTTTACTTCACTGTTTAAACAAGTGTGCTTTGAGTGGGGCTCTGGCTGCAGGACTTCATAACGCAAGCATAGCAGTGGAAGCCACTGGCGCTTATATTTTTGTATTTTGGAAACGCAAGTGTTACTATACTCGAACAAGTCAATAACAGTGTATTTACGCGACACTTCTGGGTGGGGGCCTGTTGGCTGCAGACCGTCCCTGTTGACATGTTTCTGTTCGTGTCACGGTGGGGGGTTGGTGAACGTAAACATTGGCTCACCGCTGCCTGTTCTCGGGGGTATTTGGCACTGTGCAGAGCTGTGCGTGAGAGAGAGGGCGTTACGTCCTCCCCGTGGGGCTTTAGCGCCTCTGCCACTGTCAGTGCACAGTGAGTGCACGCGCAAGCACATTTCTGGGGCTGCTTGCAGCGTATGCGCCACAGGCCCTTTGTTTTGACAGGGGACAGCACAATGGTGACAGCTGCGGCGAGGGGCGGAGTTTGTTGTTCTTCGTGGCACATGCGCAAGGAGGCGCCCTCAGCTGACGGTGACAGCCTCCTGTCATTTGGCGTCACGCGAATTAAAATCAATACAAAGAGTTTAATGATAAAGTAAATTAATTCAAAATGTGGAAATGCATCAATTTATCTTATTTCTTTCTCTCTCTTTGTCTTTTCATTTCTAATGTGCTTCAGGCTGAAGGAGCCTGTAAGTGTAATGGTTGGAAAAGCCAGAATCCCCCACCCACACCCCCTCGCACAGATCAACAATCCAGCGCTGTCAACCTCCAGGAGCCCTGTCGGAGCTGCTCACACACCTTGGGTACATCCCTGATACACACTGTTAATGGGCCCATTGAGTTCTCATTGGGTTTCAATATGGTGTGTTATCTCTTGTGCTTAGGTGACCATGTCACTCATCTAGAAAATGTTTCTGAGGAGGAGATGAATAGACTGTTGGGTATTGTTATGGATGTGGAGTATCTTTACACATGTGTACACAAAGAAGAGGATGCTGACACTAAGCAGGTCTACTTTTCGCTTTTCAAAGTAAGTTTTGACCTTCACTATAAATAATGTCATACACTGTGTATATGTGATGCATCATGATATCATCATATGATTGATTACTTTCATTTTTTGATATTTCAGTTGCTTAGAAAATCCATCCTGTTGATGGGAAAGCCTATGTTGGAAGCACAGGAGAGTCCTCCATTTGAAAGGCCTAGTATAGAGCAGGTAATAGAAACACTAAACTGAAGCTACATCTCAGTGGTGAGGGTTTAACGTTTGACATCTCCTTTCTTCTCATGTTGTAGGGAGTTAACAATTTTGTCCAATACAAATTCAGCCATCTTCCCTCCAAGGAGCGTCAGACTATCATGGAGCTGGCAAAGATGTTCCTGAATCAAATCAACTACTGGCAGCTGGAGACCCCATCCCAAAGGCGTCAGCGGGTCCCCAATGATGACGCAGCTGGATACAAGGCAAACTACACCAGGTACATCCACTTTCTAAAACCATGTGACTGCTTTATCTGGAGTTTCACAGTTATAATTTCTGTATGTCTGCTCAGATGGCTATGCTACTGCAACGTGCCTCAGTTCTGTGACAGTCTGCCTCGGTACGAGACGACACAGATTTTTGGCCGGACACTGTTGCGCTCGGTGTTCACTGTGATGAGGAAGCAACTACTGGAGCAGGCACGGCAGGAAAAAGACAAGCTCCCTCCAGAAAAACGCACTCTTATTCTTACACACTTCCCCAAGTAAGAACAGCAGCACCCACTAGTACTGTGTAATTCATCAAAATTACATTATTCCAGTTTGAATTCTAATTGACTGACCAATGACGGCAGCAAGCAGTTTTAGACCACAATGCAGCAAATTAATTTCATTTGGACTCAAATTTTCAAATGAAAATTATCAGTCATGACAGTAGAAGTGTTATTAAAACACCATGTACACAGTAGCAAAAAAGTAGATTTAATCTTTAATCCCTCTTTAAGTGCAGTATATAGATATAGATATATATTTAGATATATTTATATAATCTGTGTGGGCAGACATAATAAAGTAACAAGCTTTGTGAAAAATTGACATTTGTCAGAATTGCCTCATATCTATGACGTGAATGTAGTCCTAAATGAATTATCTGTGTGTTTTCAGGTTCTTGTCAATGCTGGAAGAGGAGGTGTACAGTCACAATTCTCCAATCTGGAGCCACGATTTCTTGGCTGGAGCTTCAGGAGGGCAGATACCGGTTCACACAGGTGCTACACACACAAGCTTTTTTGAAACACAATCATAGACACACACCCGTTTCTAAACTTGATGCAGTCCCTAAAATTGTGTAATAGGTGTTATGTGTATCTGGTATTTGTATAGTGATTAGTGCGCCTCCAGTCACTAGATCACTGTACTACAGCACCAGCCCTGTCTCAGTAGATCCATCCACCGGGGGCAGTGTGAGTCCTGCCAGAAAGCCAGCATCTGCTCTGGAGCCAAACCCAGGTATCAATTTAAGCCTTTAATTTCAAAGAATGTAATGAAGGTAACAGAGTAACACAAAGCATACAGTGTCCATAAAGGCAGGTGTGACTGGCATTTGTTCATGGTGTAACCTGAATATTCGTCCAGTTAGTACTTTTAATTATTGTTGCCTGTTTGTGTATGTTGTTTTGTTATTTGTGTTTGTCTTAAACTAATTCAGTGTGTTCATTAATCACTGATTGATTACTGAGATCATCAATTGTATTAGTAACCAAAGAATTGTTATTTGGTCTTCACACAGACTCCAAAAATGCTGTAGTGAGAGAAAATTACATAGGAAACATGTCAATTGTGTGTTTTTAATGAAAAACTTACTTTGTCTGTAATATACTCCATCAGGATGCGCTCAAGCGTCATCACTTAAACCTTATTTGGGCCATATTCCTCATATTTAAATCTTTCACAAAATAGACAACTAGTTAATCAAAAGAATAATTGCTAAATTAATTGGTTTGCAAAATAATTGTTGTAATAAATAGTTGCATCCCTAAAAACCACCACTGTTAGCCATAAAATGCTATTTAATGACCATGTATCAAAAAATTACCATAATATTGATAAGGAAAATCACCTATGCATTTTCATGTGTTACTTTTTACAGTTGGGGAAAAGCGCAAAGCATCAGAGCCACTGATGTTTGAGGAAAACAAAAGACCGAGAGTGATGGGAGACATCCCCACGGAGCTAATCAGTGAAGTCATGGCAACCATCACTGACCCTGCTGCTGTTCCTGAGGTAGCCAAGAGACAGACAGTCTTATTTAGCATTCAGAATATCAATGGTGCCTTCAAATGTATCGGCAACAGGTGAAGTGCTGAAAGTGTGTGTTCTTTATTGCAGACCACTTTACTATCTGCTCATTCAGCACGAGATGAGGCGGCCCGTCTGGAGGAGCGGCGCGGCGTGATTGAGTTCCATGTGATTGGGAACTCACTGAACCAAAAACCCAACAAGAGGATTCTGATGTGGCTGGTGGGTTTGCAGAACGTTTTCTCCCACCAGCTGCCTCGAATGCCCAAGGAGTACATCACACGGCTTGTCTTTGACCCGTGAGTGGAGGTTTTGGCACACACTCAGGAGTTTTATCTCATCGTGATGGTTTACTCATTTGTGTTTGGACAGAAAGCACAAAACGCTGTCCTTAATTAAAGATGGCCGGGTCATCGGTGGGATCTGCTTCCGGATGTTTCCCTCACAAGGTTTTACAGAAATTGTCTTCTGTGCCGTCACATCCAATGAGCAAGTCAAAGTAAGAGATTAGTTCTGGTTCAGGTGATGTTTTTTAATAGTTACTTTAATGAAATGGTTCCATGAATGGTTACTGTTGGTCTTTTAGGGATACGGGACCCATTTGATGAACCATTTAAAAGAATACCACATCAAGCACGAAATCCTCAACTTTCTCACCTATGCTGATGAATATGCCATTGGCTATTTCAAAAAACAGGTATATTAGAATTCATTGATTTCCTGAACCACCTTGTTTTCCAGTCATTCCAATCATGCAATAGTTAAATGTTTCTTGCTGCCACAGGGTGTTGCTGTAGTGGTTAGTTGTGTCACTTGTGTCATGCAGAAAATCTACTCAGTGAGCCAGTTATTTCCTCTATTGAAGTTTGTGGCTAAGACCAGTCAAGAATTGTTTTAGGGCAAAAATGCAAAGTGTTCTATATAACTGACAAAAAATTAGTAAATATGACTGAAAATGACTTTCAAATTACTAATCAAACATCTCCTATATGGATCAAAACAAAACAAAAAGCAGACGATAGAATCACATAAATGTTCGTTCTATTACAATTTTAGTTTTTCTCTGTCTCTCATTTCTTTAGGGTTTCTCAAAAGACATAAAGGTCCCTAAGGCCAAGTACGTGGGCTATATCAAAGACTATGAGGGCGCCACTTTAATGGGTTGTGAGCTCAACCCCAGTATCCCTTACACAGAGTTCTCTGTCATTATTAAAAAGCAAAAAGAGGTATGATTTCTATTAACAATATACATATAAATGCCATTGTATAAATATCAAACTTCTCTGTCCTCAGATAATCAAGAAGCTGATTGAAAGGAAACAGGCTCAGATCAGAAAAGTGTACCCAGGACTTTCCTGTTTTAAGGAAGGAGTACGACAAATTCCCATTGAAAGCATTCCTGGCATACGTAAGAATCATTATTCAATTCTATATTTCTCTAGAAAATAGTTGAAGACATTTATATATAAAATAATATAATATAATATAATATAATATAATTTCTATTTTGGCTTTTGTTGAACAGGTGACACTGGATGGAAGTCACTTGGAAAAGGGTCAGTTTTACTTTTGTCGTAATCTGTTTATTAAGCAACTCCCCAGACAAGATTTACAAATGTTCTTGTTTGACTTAGGAAGGAACTGAAGGATCCCGATCAACTGTACAGCACACTAAAGACTATCCTCCAGCATGTAAAGGTCTGATATTACAGGAGATTTTCAACTGTTCATTAAGTATTTGACTTTAGTTCTTACATGTTTGTTTTACCTCCCCAGAGTCACCAAAATGCCTGGCCTTTCATGGAGCCTGTGAAGAAAACAGAGGCACCGGGGTATTATCAAGTCATACGCTTTCCTATGGGTATGTGAGAGTGCTGAAGCCCTTCTCCTGAAAGAGAACTGAATGATACTGTTATGAAGTTAATTTTAGGTTTTAACAGACTTTTGTACACAGACCCCAGCATAATGGCAACATGTTTGCATAAATGTAAGAAATGTGCAAGGGTGTGTGGGTATTTATCATATGGTGAGAGCTAAAAATTTGTACATATAGTCGATTCATGGGGACCTGTCTCTTATGGGGACAAAAATGATATGGGTTAAAATAAAAATAGGTTAAGGTAAGGCAAATAACTATGATTCAGGTTTTCCAGTGTCCTGTTTTAGCTGTGTGTTAGTCCTGGTCAAGTTCAGGTTCAGTTCTGGTTTTAGTCCTAGTTTAGTCCCATTTTTGATAAGGTGATTGTGTGAAGAATATAATGTCCCAAGAAGTATGCAAACCCAACATGTGTGTCCTAGTGTGTGTTTGATCAAAAATCATCATAGTTGGCTTTTCTTCATTAAGTTTTTGTTTCATAAAAGTAGGCCTGTTAATTACAGAGATATTAGTAATAAAGCAGGCCAGATCATGTTAAAAGTGACAATTTGAAGGCAAATTCCTTCATCATGCCCTCCAACTCAAGTAGTCTTTTCCGGCAGTTCAGAGTGTTGTGATGCCTTATGAACCTAACCTCTTCCACCTCTTCTCACAGATCTCAAAACTATGAGTGAGCGTTTAAAAAGCAGATACTACACTACGCGCAAGTTGTTCATGGCAGACATGCAGCGGATCTTCACCAACTGTCGAGAATACAACCCTCCAGAGAGCGAGTACTACAAGTGCGCCAACTTACTAGAGAAATTCTTCTACACTAAGATCAAAGAGGCAGGACTCATTGAGAAGTAGCATGTTTTATAATGGAACATTATAGCTTGAAATCAAGTCTTAGGAAAATGGAGTGGTTGAATAACTGTTTAAACGGCCTATAAAGATAAGGCCTCCCAGATGACCAGCAGACTGTAGATGTCAATGAAGATGTTTCTAGTTTCATATTAAACTCATTTTTACAGGATTGGAAACACTGGTAAAATAATTTTGCTCGAGTAGTTCAGTCTCCAGCCCTTTATAGAAGTCTCAGTTGACTCAGGATAAATGTCATGAGCCCATCTAGAACTGTCTCTGTGTTCAAACACACCTGGCCTGGTTGGGATGTCTTGTTTATGTATGTAAAAGTGGCAAAAAGATCATGTTTATGTATGGTGAGTTCATCCTGCCAAAAAGAAGAGATACATATTTTAAATTTGTACAAATTTTATCAACAGAAAAGAATATTCCCTTGTATATTTGAAAGGTGTATATAATATATTTTTAGTTTCAGATTTTAAAGTTACTCTTCTCAGTAAACAGCATGCAGTTTGCATATTAAAGCACTTTTATTTTTTCAAGTATTAGTTAATGTAAATCTTTTTTTTTAGCAAAATTTGTTATTCAAACTAATCAGTATTGACTAAATGCTAATTTAATAAACTAGAGTTTATTATTTATGTGCTGTAATTTAACTATGCTTAAGACAAGGTCTTAATTTATTTTTCTGTATTTTGTTCTGCAGAAGGAGATTGATAACTTTATACATTGTGCAATACAATGTAGTTTTGCTGTTTTATAATAAGGACAAAATCTGTTTGTACTTTTGAAAGACATTTAGAATGTTTTTGTCGGGGAAAAATATTTCATCCTCTTTGTACAACTGGTTTTACTGGCATAGTGTTAGCCTATTTTGTAGACTGAATAAAACACAAGTGCAGCTATGTGTGCCCTTTTTATAGAAATGAAAATAGCTTTTATGAATGAGAAATTGTTCAAATGACTATATATGATAGATTCACCAGTACACTTAAAAGCACTTATTTATTGTTTATCAAAACTTCATTTATTTTACATGTCCTCTCAGACCAACAGGAGATCATAATAACTGCATTGAAAAACAACGACAAATGCACACCATCAAATACATGTAATGATACACTTTTTAAAAGAGTTGTCACATTAAAGATTGAAATTAAAATATTAAAACAGGTGATGCTAAAACCTCCATGGAGGTAGCAGCTGCTTTTATCGACAGCCAACAAATGACTCATTATATTTTTCAAAAGGCTGCTGCATTTTAATGGAGCTTCTTGATTTTTGAATGGATCTTCTTCCAGACTTCTGCTTAAAAATAGGTGAACGTAGGAACTCCACATCTGTGAACTTGTCTCCTCGCCGTAGTTTCCTGAAAACAGAGACACGAGTTGATGTTTTTCATGGTTGTTGAAACAGTATTAGCACAAAAGTTGGACTCACGCGCTGAGGGAGGGCTCCTTGTAGTCCACAGTCATGGTGCAGCGGCGTTTGCGAGCTGGGCCCTGAGCTGGAGTGGAGCAGCGGACTTCTGAGAGGCGGGACCCCCCACGCTGAAACTTCCAGGCTGCAGGGGACAGATTGGTCACATCACACAGACTCAAGCCTCGCCCCGCAGGCCTCACAACAAGCCCACCTGTGGAGATGTGAAGAATACGTGCAGTACATTTACGACAAAAGTGAATAAGAAAGTGAACAGCATGCAGATTAGTGGATGAATGAGAAAACAAGAAGAGCCTGTAAAGGTGAAAGATTTAAAAGGGACTCACGTTTCTTGCATGACTTTGCTCTCTGTGGCGTCTGGTCAGGTAGGAGTGGAGAATTGTCATTAGAAGATTCTCCAAAAGTTGAAAGCACGTCGTCAATTCTCTTAATTTCAGCTTCAACCAATGGGCTGACTGGGGCCAGGCACCGCTCCTCAATGTCAGCTTCATGGGAATCTAAAGAGTAAAAAAAGTGGAACCATGTGAAGCACAGTCCATTTAATGTTGTGCGTAGTTGAAATGCCATTTATGTTTTTTTTATGTTGTTTTTCTTTTAAATAATATACAATAATTGAATCCAATTTACCCATTTGATTTCCTTCATAAACTGTTTCTTGTTCAGGAGATTTCCATTCCGGGATTTCCTCTTTATTAGACCTCTCAACCTTGGGGCTTGAGTCCTCATCTCTGAAAACTACAAAAGTAAAGTATTGAGAATTGGTTATCTCAACTGCTGTACAAAGCCTCTTTTCAGAGAAAACCAAATCTCACCACTAAACTCTTTATGTGGAGGGACATTTTCATTGTACACTGCAACTCTTCTAGATCGTCTGCCTCTGCGTGTGTTCATGACCTTGGTGTTTTCAGGTGATGCCTGTTTTTTCCTGCTTTTCTGTGGGACATACAGACTGTCCTCAGATTCAGAAGAAGGCGATGATAGTGAATCCTTCCCTCTGGACTCAACAGGTGGCTCTTCAGGTGGTTCTTTACAAACAGTTGTTTCTGGCTCTTCATCTTCTGCTTTCGCTTTAAAGGGGGTAACATGGACAGCTTCCTCACAGTCAAAGTCAAATGTGTCATTGAATCCCAGCGAAGTATTGAGCTTGTTTTGTGGTACAGGTGCAGTTTTGGAGCGTGTGGCAGAACGGTCCCGACTCTTGGACCGGGCTCTTGGTTTTGGATTTTCCCACGGCTTCTTCAAAGGACCTCGCTCCACTTTACGCCCCCGATCTAGTTTCTTCAACTCTGTTTTGGTTCTGGTCTGCTGTTTCCTGCCAGGTTGTGGTTGCTTGGTGCTTTTGGCTGGAGCAGGTTCAGGTGTTGAGTGCTGAAACTCTTCATCAGGTTCTTCTATCACTGGCTCTTCAGACTGATGCGTTTGTTTGTGGTTTGTATCATCACTGCAAATGGGACTGGCTGTTAGAGTCTCTAAACAAGCCCTGGGGTCCTCTCTCATGTTGTGTTCCTGCAGGCGGTCAGAACGTCTCCTGCTGCTGCTTCTGTCCATCTGACGACGTCTGACACCCACAGTCGAGGGCAGCTTGGCTGGTTTACCTTCTTGTTTTTTTAAGAGAAGATAAAAATAATGTATAGTGTTAAAAAACACTTTTTAAAAGCAAGAGTATAACTTTGTAAATAGGTGTACCTGCACACAGAGGGGAACTTTTTTGTGGAGGAGTCTCAACAACGCTGTTATCATTATGTTTCTTCCTGTTAGTTAAAGGGATCAAAATTCAGATTGTCACAATAAAGTAGGTTATGAAGAAAATTATTCGTTATTAAAATTATATCTAAAGAAGTCACCTTTGTGATTCTGTTGTGGCTGAAACAATGTTGTTCAAAGAGTTCTATGAAGAATAAAAAAAGTTGTGTGACCTAATTAATTCATTTGACATCATTACGTAATAATCAGTTAATCTTTGAGTTATACAGTACCCCTAAGGAGTTTGCAGCCAGAGCCTCCTGATCCTTGAGTTTCTTCTTGAGCAGAAGCAAGTGAAGAAACAGAGCTTGCTGTTCCCTCTTCAGCTGCAGAATCACAGCAGTGGCCTGCCTCACCTTCTCTTTCTCAGCCTGCAGCGCGACCGCCAGCGCTTTGTTGTTCTGTTGGACTCCTATCAGAATTGTGTTTGTAGAGCTGGTACCTGTGGAAAAGCAGACATGTCGAGTCCACCTTTCTGTCGCATAGGCACAATTCTGCAATAGTACTTTCATACCATACAAGGACATCTTTGTGTATAAGCCTAAAGATGCGGTGTTTGGCCTCACCATTGCATTTGGTAATCATCCGTGATCGTCCTCGGTTTGGGGCTGAGACGCTGGCCAAGCGTTTGGTCCTCTTCTCCTTCATTTTATCTTTTATTTCTTCCAGACTTTCCTGGAACGACTTTTTCTTCGCCCGTTCTTTTGCCATGTCTCAGAATCTGTGACAGACTAAAATCATCAAATATAACCACAATCTGCTCTTAATAGCACCATGCTGAAGTATCATGTACACCTAACCGCTGCATGCTCAGAGCTGAACAATATTTAAAACGGACCCCGAAATTAAACAGTTTATAGATCTTATTATTGAATTCCTAATGCCACTCACTTGCGTTGTTACAAGTCCGATGGTAAAGATATTAAATGTGTCGGAGGAAATATGTCGCTGCGCCTTTTTAAAGACCAAAACAAAAGTATTTAGTGGCACTCATCCGCCTCCCGCAGTCAGTTGACGTTCGAATAGTGGGACGCGGCCGCTGATTGGTGCAAATAGAAGTGCGTCATTTCCGCATACATTACTCGTAAATTTCGCTAGAGGGCAGTAGTAAACAACTTATTTTCTAAACGGAAGAACTAATACGAGTTACATTGAAAATAAAAGTGTTTATTGCTCACCAGTATTAACTACGGCAACAGTACATATTATATACAAAACTACAAAACGGTCTCAGTTTGGTAATAGGAATAGCCAGCATAGAGCCAGTGCTGAAATTAGACCCAAAGCAATATTCTATTTTTATATATATATATATTTTTTTGTCCACACAACAGACATGCACTCCGAAGAATAGGTCAGGAGAAACATATTAGTCATGTCATGCATTACAGAGGAAAGACCCATTTTAAAACACAGGTGAAGATGTGTGCTAACCAGTATTACACTAGTAATGTGAACTGCCATTAAACAGGGGACATAGATTATCTCCAAATCAAGCAAATGGCAAAGAAAATGTAAGGAGTACCACATGTGGAGCACCTGTATAGCAAAATAAGAGCCAATCAAGCAACTGGCATTATATTGGGAGTTCGGTTTGCAGTTATGTATATAAAATAATAATTCAAAATACTTTTAAGTTCAGTTCTACATACTGTTGCATTATAATGTGTCTAAAAGATACTGATATTCATCAGCTGAGAGATCTGACAGCACAACACAACTGACCACTGCTGCGTGTTGCGAGACAGGTCCAGTGCCTTGGCAGAGGTCTAAATGATACATCTCTTTTGTCTTCACCATGTCTAAATGTGCCCAGTATTGCCCAGAATTGAAAGTATTTTTGAATTTGATACATAACAGCAATTGTGTGTTTTGCCTCACGCTGGGCTGACATTTTGGGAATAAATGCTTTCATATTAAGCTCACCATCTGGTGCTGCTAAATAGACTAATTTTTAATATCTCTGTCACTTCCCGCGTTGTGTTAAAATGTATTGAAGGGCTTACATAAAGATGAATATGTAATATGTAATACATATTTTAATATGTAGTGAAAAAGTTTTTCACTATTGCAGTTTTCATCAAATGTAATATTAATAATTTCTCTAACCCATCTCTATCTCAGACATCCACACCGGATCATTTGTCTTCCCTTCCAGATGAAAAGTGTTAGGTCTGATTTGTCTTTGGCTCCACTTTTCAATTTGGAAAATCGTATGTGTTTGGTGCCATAATGTATCTTAATGAAATCATAACACTGGCAGAGTAACCATCCAAAATCTCATTGAAAGAGAATGAGAGAGCAGTTCCTATTCTGTGTAGACGTACAGTGGGACATTCTTCTTATAATCAGAAATGTCTTGTCTGATTTAGTAGTGTGAGAAAATGTCTCTGGTGCCCTCACTGACCTTCATTATCCAAATGCAAATCGTCTAATTAAAGAAAGCTATATTTAGACTTAATTTCCACTCCCTTGATTGGTGTAACTGCAGCAGCAAAACAGGAAAACGATTTCTGACCAATCAGAGTAACATATTGAAATGTCTGAACCAATCCACCAAAATATTATAAGCATGAGCCTAAGACAGGTTCTCAAAAGTGATGTTAGAAGCATAAAAATGAATGAGTTGATTCAAGGAGGATACAGTAGGTACATTACATGGTCACTGGTAAAAATGTGATAACTAGAATAATACAGATAATCCAATAATTAGATCTGAGTTGTGCTGTGTTTATAGGCACAATAGAAAGATGATCATCAAAAGCATAATCAGTGGATTTTTAGAACATCTGTTTCATATTTGGAAGGCATCCTTATGCTGCACAGACATGAACAACCAATAAATCTGAATTACTCACATCCCATGCAAATGTTTACATTAATACTTCAATAATCTGATAACTCTAGAAATTAGATAATGATCAGATTTCTGATGTGCATGTAAATATAGCAGGGTTGAAGTTAAAGCTAGTCCGGATACAAGTCATTAGAAAGCACCAGGCTTCACACTTTAGCAGGGATGACAGCAGCGCTACAGTTGCCTCTGAAATTGCCTCTCGGTGGGGCTTGTAGTTCTTCTTTGTGCTTTACGTGCTGCACTTGAACGCCCCATTGAGCCTTTTACAGAACAGACAAAATCTCCACAGCTTTTTGAGCAGAGCAAGGGGGGAGCTAGAAATGATGGACCACAATTTGAACTTTTAACTTGGGCTTCCGGCACAGCTGTTGTTTATAGCACTGTGCCGCTTGCTGTGCCCACCCATCTTTGTCTTCACTGAACCACTGCACTCTCTAACAACAAGCCCTGTCTGTGGGAGGGAAACCAAAACATGCTGTGGATATAGACGCCATTTGGATGCAAAATTAGGGCCACACAGCTTCCAGATCAGGGGTAAATGCTCTTTCCATAGAACCTGCATAGTCTGTGGCAGCAATTCAGGTCCACACCCACTCTGTACTTAAAGGTGCATTGTGTAACTTTTTGTTTGGGGTTTGGTGACCTGAAATGTTCCACAGTATGACATTAAACAGATCCACCTTATATTTATTCTATTACAGGTGGTTTTATAACTCAAAAATACCTAGAAAAACAGGCATTGTGATTGTAAGCGGAGTTGCCTATCCACAGCTCTGACCTATAACTTGGTCCTTTTTGGTTTTGAAGATACAAAGGTTTAATGCGCTACTATAAAACATTTCAGACAAAGCATTTGACAGACCCTCTACCAGAAAAGTTACACAATGCACCTTTATTTGAGTTAAAAAAAAAAAAACAACTAATAGGACTCTAATGGTCATTACACCAAAGTGCCTTAAAGGGTGAAAACAAAATCAAAATCTTATGAAATATCCAAAATAAATAATAAAAGTTATGAAAGCAATGTTTATCGTACAGAGTGTACTTTATAAAATGACTCCTTACATCCAAAATCAACATTAATAAACCATTAAGGCTGCTAAATTTAAAGTTATTTTGAATCCACATTGTCAAGTTGTAAAAGCCTCTTGTGGGCATTGCTCAAAGGCCTTTGAAAACACAGAATACATTGCACTTCAGTGACAAGGTTATTTTCACATTTGATTGAACACTGACAAGTCAAGGGTGCTAATGGGTTTGATCTGGGCTTTTTCCAAGCCAACCTTTTGTTTCATGTTCCGATTTAATCAGTGGGACTTTGAAATAAATAAAGAATAATTATCATTACAGTGTCCTGCCTTTGTGAACACACTGCATTGGTTTTACTCCCTGTCCAGAAGAAGAGAACACTACATTCTTGGTGGAAAGAGTTTTGAAAGATAGTGTCTATTTATCTGTGTCAATGTAACTGTGGAAAAAGCCCCTCAGAGGGAGGCCTGGACCCTGACACACTGTATAAGACAGGACGTCCCACACAGATGTTCACAATCAACGCCTCATTCATAATACTAAGAATAAAGACAGCTGTGACAAGGGGAGAATCAGCGTGCAGAGATTGATTAGTAATAGGTTAGTCTATTGGTTACTGGAAATATTTACTCTGGAGCAGTGGCATGAGGACCAAAAAATCCAACTAATGAATCCAGTTTAGTGTCACAGCATTGATGAGGGAGCAGTAGAGATGAAGAGGTCATGGAAAGATCAAAACTTCAATCAATGTAGGCGTAGAAACTCTCAACAAATATGTACATGCGTACATTTGTTTTATTCAAACATGCTCAAAGAATGGTGTCATGTAAAGTATGTCTTTAAAGGTTCACTATGTAACTCTAGTTGACGTTACACCGCCTGCTTATCTCCACAGAGAGGTTACCGTTTTGCCTGGATGGTCCACAGTGGCCAAGGTACGTTACAGGTCAGACCTGTGGAGAGGCAATCCCGCCCTTGGTAAGAATGTATGTTTTTAAGGATTTTTTATTTTATTTTTTTCAATAAAACATCTGTAATTTACTTAATGCACAATAGATTAGATAACATTTCAATAAAAATATAGCAGATGAGAAAAGCTATAGTGCACCTTTAACAAACTATCTTTGGTGTATAAGAAAAATACATGTTGTACATCTTGTTCTAGTTTCTGTCAGGAAAAGATGCAGGTAACAAATAATCCCTGAAAGTCATAAATAGTAAAAGCATCAAGCAATACCCAGACATGGTTTGGTTTCTAAGGGAAAATACACTACATTATCTGTGCGCTCTTTCAGAGGGAGTATGGAAATAGGATTAACCCAGACAGATGCTGATGTCTTTTGGCTGAGCCGTAGAAAAGGTTCAACAATCAAACTTATGAACTCTAAATAAGATGAACCATGATTAAAATGGGACCCACCTCATTGTATTGCATATTTATTTAAATGTTTATAGAATATATATACTTTTAACACAGCATTTTATTGTAAAATAAACATCTTTAATCAGTCATGCTCTGTTGATAATCATATGCAGAGAAGTGTGTATAAAATACACAGGTAAAGACATCATCAGCACTTAAACTTAACTTATGAAATGATAGACACCTGGAACCCATCTTACCGAACTGTAGCTCTTTTATGAATTTCATATGAGGAAACAATCAAATATGTTTTGGGCTGCACTTCAGTGACCTTGGCTCATTTTCAGCGAAAACAGAAGTTGCTTTAGTTTAGTGGAGCCTACACACTTTTATGAAATCAGAAATGGCCAACTAAACAACAGGTAATATATTCATAAAGAAATCAATTCTAATCACACATGCTGAACTTACAATATTTTTAAGACACCCACCTGAACTCTGGTCTACATTTTCATTAAGTGGCAGAATGACTCACCGCAAGCAACAAAAGAAACTTTAGTAGCTCCACCAAAGAAAACAGCCAATCCTGTCTAATGATTTGACTATGACTTTTTAAGAATCCATAGAAAATGTTAATGGGAAACCTAAAGCACAGGATCATCTCTTTTTGTGTAACAGACAAACCCAGAAATCCTAACATCAGTACTGTAACTACTCATGTCGCTAAAATTCTTTCACAAGTAAATTTATTTTTATTGAAAAAAAATTCAGCATTGAAATAAATAACACTGAAACTGAAATGTTGACACTAAAACTTTAACCTCCTCTAGTTTGCTTGCTCCTCTTTGTCTGTAGTACCCATAGACTGTATAAAGAAGAGGACGAAGGGAGTGTGACATCACCAGTAGTTCAGCTCCTGTCAGAATAAGCTCATGAGACTAGCAGTTATCGGGGTGAGTTTGGAGCTAAATTGCATTTTACAAACAAATTATTTACAAACAAAGCAAAACTGAGGGAAAAAAATAATAAAAATGGATCATGTAGAGCGAGTTAATACAAGCATTTTAGGAGTCGTTTGAGCCGGAAGCACCCCCATGTTCACTTCTTACTTGGAAGGTGGAGGCGAGCAGCTTATGTCCATTTCTATATATAGTCTATGTTTGTACTATAGCACTTTACCTACTTCACACATTTCCAATTCATTTTAGGGATTTATGGAATTCATAGCTCAAGTGTTCTTATTCTTGCATACTCTCAGTTAGCTGCACCATTGATGTATAGAATCTAGTGTATATGATGACTAGACCTGTGTATTTTTTTTTTTTCATCAAACCATGTCCTTGTTACATCCTTGTGGCCTGTTCTCTCTTGGGCCACATGTGTCCACTCAGGGGGAGAGCCCAGTCCAGTGATACAAGGGTCTATGGCTTATGTCAGAACGGAGTGAAGAGGACGGGCCCGTGTGTAGAGCACATGGGCCCAGGTGGCGGAGGAGGGTGCAGGACAGCCTGGTGGGGCATGGCCGGGGTCTGGAACAATGCAGGGGTAGAGTTTGTAGTGGGACGGAGAGGGAAGGGGTGCATCGTGGTTGCCATGGCAGCCGCGACAGAGATCTGCCGCTGGAGAAGACAGGACGTAAGGGGCTTGGTCAAGTCCTGGTTCTTTCTCAGAGCCAATTGAATCTAATGGAAAAATAACAAATTTATTATATTAGTGTTGGATATAAATCATTTGAACATATTTAATTATACTGAGTGGAAAGTGGTCTTACAGCCACATTTAATACACCAAAAGTCTATATTTGGTACTACTTGGGTTTTTGTTTAGCACAGTACAGCAAAATATGTTTTACAACAGAGTCTGCCTTATGTTTAGTGTTCAGTGGAGGACAGTGAAGATAAAGCACTGAAAACCATTTGGCCCAAGTATTTTAATCCACTGTTGGAATAGACCTTTGGGGATTGCATCTGTCTCAGCAAATATGTGACAGGAATCTTGGTTCTGTTTCTAGCTCCCTGAAAAATGATGTGTGAAAGTGTATAACAGACAGAACAGCCTGACATCTGTGTAGGCACTGGACTTGTCTCGCAATGACCAGAACATAACATAGTTATAGAGAGCTGAATACAAAACACACAACAGGCTTTTGTTTGTGTTTTTCAGTTTCTAGAATGGGGTGTGACTTTACCAGATGAAAAATCACATCCCATAGACACATTGTACTTTTCTATGAAATATCCAAAGGTAAATTCACAAATATTTAACTTGATAATTTCTACTAAATATCCCATGTTACACAAATGTATTCTTTTGAGCTTTAAGCCATTTTATAATACTGATTTCTCCTCAAAAACATACCAGAGTTGTGTTTTGTTTCATTCACACGTTTGAGTAATCCTGAGTTATTAGTCTGTCTGCAACTCCAAAGCTCAAAATGCTCTGTTCCACCTTGTGATGTCATGCAGTGGTAGTTTTCAAATTAACAGCCATCTTTTGTTCCACAGAGATTGTTAATTCCAGGTCTGAAATTATTCAAATGATTCTAGTGAAGGTGTATGGAAAAAACATAGTGGAGCATTTCTTGTATCACCACATGACATTACACGGTGGAACATGGTGAAGTGTTTTCAGTTTGAGAGAAGAACTCCTAAATATGCAGGATTTGCATGTTAAACATGTGTGAAAACACAGCTCCAGGTTTGTTTGTGATGAGGACATTATAACATAGATCAGAAGACTGCATAATATGGGCTTTTTAAGAACTCAATGTATCATAACAAAAATCTGCATTTTAACATTTTAATATTGATTTTAGTTACCCCACATATGTATTAAATATTAAAAATGTTTTGATCTAAAACAAAGTCTAGCAAAAAATAATCATGTTTATTGTCCCACTGCCAAAATGAAAATCCAAACAGTATATCTTAACAAATCATGGATTGGACCATTGAGAACTGAATCTGTCTTTCCAAGTATGTGTTTGGTGAGCGATCGCAGGTTACTCACAGTCTGAAAGTTGTGCTGGTTCCTGTGGTTAGGAGGATATGGGGTGAATTTGGGTTTGCCTGGTTTACCCGCCGCCCTGTCTTTATGCCTCCTGCTGCTGATGTGCTGGTGAGTGGGCGAGAAGACGAAAACATTGAAATTCACAACATCAAATGTGCATAATCACAAGACAAAATTAGACAAGTTAAATCACAGTTTATATTTGCTGTAATACGCATCTTTCTGTAGGGTTGCAAAAATGCATGTGGGCGTGTTTAGGAGATGTTTTCTGATTTGATTGACTGGCACAAGCAGATGGTGGCGTGCACATGAGGTGATAGCAAACTTGTAAATATTCATGAGCACCTGGTCAAAGTTAACTTTTAAACATGGAGGGATGTATGCATTCCCGTCACGAGCAGGAACACCATATTCAGAAAGAGGCCCGGCTTACAGTGGCTTTGAGCTCATTATCTTGAGGGATGTGCAGGTTGAACTCTGTCGTTACAGCGACAGGTGCGAGATCTTTGCGGTGTAATTTGGCATAAAATCGTGGGTCTGATTTGCAAATGCTGATGCCTGGCGGATAAAGAAACTATGGGTATATTAATGCTTTTGAGTCCCCAGACTGTGAGTGAATCAGCCCATGTCATTTTTATTTTGTTGCTCTCATGTCGTGTGTCAAACTGTGCCATATAACATGTTCCATAAACAGGATCAGAAATAGCAACAGTCCTGAGAATGTGATTATCACCTTGAGATGATGTTGTTATACTTATATAATGATGATGGAGTGGGTGTCAATGAGCAAGACACTTTACCTAACATTGCTTCATAATATGTGGTTGGTTGCATCAGGCAGGGAATCCTCTGTAAGTCAATAACTGTGTGACTGGTGGCAATGTATAGCCAAGTATAAAAATATCAAAAGCACTTTGAGAAGACTTTCTGTTTTCTTAAAAAGTGCATGTAACTATTGTGGTGGAGGGTCCGTCACCTAGCGGTCTCCTTGGAGATGTTATTGATTTGCCTTGAATGTTGCACAGTATGGCTCTCAAAAACCTTTTGTCCAGTTGACAGAAATGAATTTCTCCTTTGCTATGGATTCTACCTGGATGACTGAGGGATTACACAAACATATCTATAGCTTCTATATCAGCGATCTGATTCAACCTATAGCTCAGGAGGTACCTGTAGCTCTCCATTCCCTTCCAAGAAGCTCACCAAGGAATTTCTGAATTATACGTATTGTGCTAGTAACTGCAATTTGATTAATTAAATTTAAAGTTTGTCCTCTTTCTTATATTGACTCAGTTTCTTGTGATTGCTAAAACCGGTAGCTCTTTGGCATTTTTGTTTTGTAAAGATAGTCTACCAGTGAAAAAAGGTTGAAGACCTCTGTTCTATATCGATTATTTTGCTTGGGGCCACCTCTGAGCAGATCTGCATTTTTTATGCCACTGGCCTGGCTCCAGATCCAGGGGCAGATCTCTGCTCCATGAGACACTGACATCATATATATATATAATTTAGTAATAAATAAAATCTAAATAGTACCTAAATTATACTTTTAATTACAAGGCCTATTTCAGTGAATCACAAAAATACTTAAGTAATTCCAGTTCCAACACAAAACTACTTCAGGTTGATCGTCAGCTTTTCTTTAGATGCATTATGCCCTGGAAATATCAGATTTCCAATCTTTACACAAGTGCTTTACATCAATACACATGAAATAGCTATTGCCAGTACTCTAGCTTTGTTTTGTGAATCATATCAGCGCAACAAATAAGTCACATCACTGGAAATATGCTGTACGACCTCTGGGAGCTAGTGCCCTCCACTCACCCACTTCAGACACACGGTACAGTTCACCTCAGACAGTTACTTACACTTTTAAATACTTAACGCTAACAATGAAAACAGCTGGAGTAATTTTTTGGAATTATTTCATAATGGCGAATAATTTCATCATTATGCGCTACCCTTTTCATTGGGTTAATGATAATGAATAGTCAAACCAAACACAGAACAACATTACCGACAACATCCAATTTTTTAGGCAAAAAAAACCCTGAAATATGATTGATAGCTGAAATGAGTCTCTTCATTCTTGCTTGACATTTGAACAAAGAAATAGTCTTTGCTGAATTCTCTTTTGCATTATTAAAAAGGCCCTACTTCCTCACCTGTTTGAGCTGAGTTTCAGAGTTGACGTGCACGTCGCAGATCTCACAGTGAAAAGTTTTGTTCTGCAGTCCCGTCGAAGCTTCTGTGGATGCAGTGGCCAGCTTTGCCTTGACCCCTGACCTCGGGAAGGACTTGATGGCTCCATCACCACTCCTGGCCTCCAACATTGTCTTGTGCTTTGTGCCTTAAGCAAAACCACAAGTCATAAGACACGCAGTTAACATTTCTTTGTGAATTATAAATGTTTGTAAATCTTGTACCACTGTTGTGAGCCTGAAGCTGGGAGGCAGAGTTGACAGCCACTTTACACAGCGAGCAGTAAAGGAGACGTATGGCCTTCTCCTCCTCTGTCTCATCCTCCAGGGCTGCGTCCAGTTCTTCATTTCTCTGACCTTCCTTGTCTTTTGCTCCAGGACAAGGTGATTGTGTGGGTTCAGAGGTTAAAATGTCCGAGGAGCCACAGCTGGAGGGGGCTGCATCTGAGGAGGGGGCTGGGGATGTGGGTTCTGGGAAGAGACATAGGAAAGATGCTAAATTGTGAATAGATTAAAAAAATAAATAAAATAAATTTTAAAAAATCGCATTTTATATAATTTAGTTACATAAATATACTGTACATAAAATATCTTTACTAATAATTCATTGTTGGAGATGTGACATTTGTACCAAGAGTTTAATCAATCAAATTTACAGTCACATGTATGCACAAGCACCCGTCATTGTGTTATGAATGCAAAGATTCTCCGAACTCCAAACTATGACCTGGAAAAGTGATAAAACCTAACAAGAGCAGGCACACTTTATTTTCTTGTGTTCTTGTAAACTTCTAAATTTTAGGATCATTTAAAATACACTGATTTAAAAAAAAGTCAAGAAGGCCACATATTTTCCTTGATTGTTGCTTTCATACTTAGAGAAAACACTTAACAGTAAGTTTAGGCTACAGAGACCATTGTTTTCTAAAATATATCTCTTGTATTTGCTTGCACAACACACAAAAGAGCCTTGGGCAGCTTGTTGTTGCAGATTGCTGGTGCAACATTTGTAAAGCAGAATGAAAAAAGCAGAAGGGAACACAGTTTTCTTGGTTGAATCACTTCATAATTTTGCCTTTTCTGCACTTAAAGCCAGTTTCTATACTCTAGTCTAGTGCATTATCTTTTGTGAGTGTTTTTAGGAAAGCCGCCTGCTGATTTAAAGATTCTTGTGTCTAATAACAGTGCTTATCTCTGTCTGTGTGAGTGGGCATCTGTTTGTTACCATTGATTCCTCGGCTCCTAACGATGAGAGCTGTTCGCTGACGTTATCTCTGAGAGCACTCGCTAAGACTTGTTCACTTATTGAACTACAGCTTTGGACTGAAAACGATAACTCACTTCTTCCTTCTCAGAAAGAGTGGGAATATTGAGACGTGTCAATTGCAATTTGTCAGTCTCTTGTTATAAAAGCTGTATATGTATTACTTGCATTGCCTAACACCCACACATTCAGAGAAAAAGCAGATTGGAAAGCTCTCAATGTTCAACTTGAACCAGGCAAAACATTCGGCAACCCTGTCAAATGTTTTGCCACTATCCCAATTTGTAGTCAAAACAAACTGTGATCTATCCTGGCTTTTTTCTATCAGAAGAATTGGGAATAACTAAATACCAGAAAACTGAGCTACAGTTTTAAAAAATATTATTACCCAGTTCTCTAGCTATAGGGAGGCACTGATCCAATTTTTTCAGTTCTTATACGAATATCAATACTATGACTACCCAATATTCACATACCTGTGTAGAGACGGAAAGTGTTACCTTTTCTTTAAAACACAGTTATCTTATTAAACAAGAGGTCCAATTATGTCATGCAATTGTTCTTTATCCTTCACATCATGACTGAACCCCTTCATATGAAGAAGAGTTTAAAAATTATGAGATGTTCTAGGCCAAAATCACCCTGTAAATAGTCTTATTACTTCTGATTAAAGGCCCAACCTGGATATCTGCTGAACAGTTTTCATGAAATCAAAACCCAATACAGACATCCCTACTTCTAGCCCAATGGCTTTACACTTTTCACCCAAAATATTTGCAACCAGAATTTAAACCAGGTCTACAATAAGACAAAAGTACATCTTAAAAAGACTAAATGTGAGATCACATGTGTATACAGACCACATCAAAATTGGGACTAAACTGGGACTAAACCAGGACTATAACAGGACCAAACCAAATCTACATCAGGATTAAACTGAAACTGGACTAAAACCAGGACCAAACTATGAAAAGTAAGATGTGGCCTAAACAATTCTAAATGAGGACAATCAACGGTGGCCATGAAGAAGAATAACTTCGACTCTAAATAAAACAAGGCTAAACCTGCAGAATAACTGACAGCCCCAAAGAAGACATCACACTTTTCTAGCCATTAGCACTGCGCACCTTTTCTGGCAGAGGGTCTGCTACTTACTTGTCCCAATGGAGATGTTAACTTTGCCTAGAACGTTCTTTGGTATGACATTAAACATATATATCTACAGTTTATTCATTACAGGTCTTTCTGTTGTTTTTTTGCTCAAAACTGCAATCATTACTTCTGAACTGTAATGTAGAGCAATGCTATAACCCGCTCGTCTCTCTCGTGACAGATAGGTTTAAGCTATACTGTGCAACATTCTAGACAAACCAATAATATGAGACTTTTTTTTCCTTTAGCCTTTTTCCAGTTTCCTTCTTTTTATTTGAATTGTTGATTGTAGTGGCACAGGTTTCAGATGTTTTAATAAGTGAACCCCAGGAACATTATTATTTGCCTTCCGCGTACTCGAGTAACTTAAATACAACATACCGCTCAAACATCGGCGTGCTCAAGAGCCGAATATATTCTAAGTGTTTGATCCTGAGAAGGCTATGAATGGGGTCAGTAAATAAAGACATGAGCAGGAGAGAAGATAATGCTCTTTCCTTTAATCTCTGCACGGTGAAACGTAGCGCAGCGGGTGATTTACCACTTCAAAGAGTTAAAAGTCGTGACTTGGAAAAAGCAGGTTTGAGCTATGTACGCCGTGATGCCTTGTCACATACACATACCTCCTGATGCTGCGTCGGAGCTGGAGGGTGACGGCAAGATTTGGGATGCGGTTTCCTTGGCGACGGGTTCAGAGGTCCCAATCTTAGAGTCAGGGGTATCCAGTGCTTTTATCCGCTTTGCATGTCTGGTGCCACTGTAATGAGAAGACGCCTGTGCCTGTGAGCAAACAACAGGGAATACACACGGAGGTATTGGATGAAGACAAGTTGACACACTTTTGAAGACTGCATTGTAACAATATGAAGACTGCAGTGCTGTCCCAAAGGCTTCTTACATAATATCAGAATAAACACAGACAATTCTGTTACTGAATTATTGCCCTGAACTAACCCACAGTTTTGTATAATTGTTTAATTCAAATGTTAATATTTGGAAATAAAAGTTTTGGTATGTACATTATCAACAATGAAGACTGTCCCAACTTGACACTGGTAAAAACAATGGAGAGATTTATACATCGTTATGAATTTCAAATCTGGCCTGGGGTGTGTGATTGGTGACTAAGTAATGACTAAACAACTGAGGCATCTTATTCAAAAGGCCTATAACCTAAAGGATTTTGTTAAAAGGAACACCAAGCACCATTGGCAGCCTTAAGCATAGGCAAAAGTTCTGCAAGGGAAAATACATGGACAAAGTAGCTCAAAAGTCCATCTTCAAAACACCAAACTGTCTGAATAATAATGGCAGATATATCCATGGGAATATCATTCATAGAGGTTTCTGTGCATTTTATAAAAGAACTGAAAAACCTCTTTACAGTGGACAACCATTAAGCCTCTGTTCTGATCTTATTGGGTAAATATAAGGAATTTAATATCAAAATCAAGATAAACTGCGTAACTTTAGAGGTGAACTTTACCACAATTAAGTACAATTCACCTAATATAAAATATGGGACACACCTGGAGAGATAAACAACAGACATGCTGCTGCAATGTCTTTCAATATTTGGGTGAGGCTGTAGTAGAAGGTAATATGATGATTACATTGTGCTAGCAAATCATTACATAGGCCTGCTTTAAGTTTACAGGACCAGTAAAACAACTAAGCACCACAAGCTTATTTCTCTTTAATCATGTTTAAGGGTGCATTTGAGAGTGTGAGTGTGAGATTATACAACAACTCACCCTTATGTAACGGATAACCCTATGTTCTGTCAATAATCAGATCATTGTTGTCTTCATATGACCTCTTGTATATAGCTGAGATGTTATATTTATTTATATATTTTATTACTTATTTTTCTATTTTTATCTTGACTTGTACATATATATTTACATATTTATGTCTTATTTGACACCTGTCTCTTGCTACTTTTTTGCTACTTCTTAAGAATTTATTACTACCATTAATTTTTTTTTCTGTTTATTTTTATATTATATTGTGATGTGTGAGCTACTGTGTCCAAATAATTTCCCTTGTGGATCAATAAAGTTTGTCTAAGGCCTTTAAGTCTACGTCTAAGTGAAGCCCCGCCCACCTCGGAGTTGAACTTCAGTCGGCACACTCCGCACGAGCTGTGCCTCCTCTTCAGGGGCGAGCTCAGGGCCAAGCTGGGACCCACCAGGGCTTTGTGCATGGGCTCCATCTGAATACAAAACAAACAATTAAAACTCTTGTCACAGTTTTACCAGTTGAATAAATTATGTATGGTGTTAAGTGCGCTAAGTAGACTAGCTAATAACATATACATATCCTTAAATGTTACTTTTTTCTGTGTACATTAAATGAGCATTGTTTTTGCTACAAACTTGATTGTAAAAGAATGTAATGTTGTGGATGAACAAAAACAATGCCATACAAATGTATTATGTTAAACAGTAGTCTCCTAAATAATACAAATGGAAAGTTCTAATGTACAACAAATCAACATGCCAAGTTATTGTTACTCCAATAATGGACTCAGTTTATTTACACAGTTTGTACCTGAAATGGTTTCCTTTAAAAATAAATTTTGTCTATAAAAAATTCAATCAAAAAACAGGTCAAACAAAGCAAAACAAAGAACAAGTAAATACCAAAGGAGAGAGGAGAGCAGTTATTCTAAGTGATGAGCTAAACTAAAAGCTGAACTGAAAAGCTCAGATTTATGGAGATGGAGGTGAGAGGTGTGACTTGCTGCGCTGTGATCAAGTCCCCACATGTCACAGCAAACACTTGTGTGGAGAACACTGCCGCTCGACCTGGACTGACCCCAGAGGTTGCCTCCACCCTCCAGTGTCTCTGTGTACTGAACACTCACAGCCAAAACTCTTCTGCTGACAGCTAGAGTCTGCCACTGATAACACAGTCCATACAAAGGCAGCTATTTCAGTGTAAGCTTCTGTCTATGAATCTGCACTCTCTGATTTGAACTTTTAGAAGCAAGAAGTTATCGGTAATAAGCCTGAAATTCCCAAGATACGCAAAATTTCAGGTATAGTATCCAAAAGAAGACTCTCAAGAAGATATCTAACCAGGTGCTCACACATCTCACAGCAAGTTCCCAGGTAAACTCAAACAAGGCACACACTGGTTCAAATACTGATTTCAATTTGAAATCAGTCTCTTGTTATTTTAGCTACTTATTTTTTTATTTATTATTACCATTTCCATTTTTTTTCTTTTTGTCATTATAATATATTTGAGTGAGTTACTGTGTCCTAATATTTCCCCTTGTGGTTCAATAAAGTTTGTCTAAGTCTAACCCAAAACACACACTAGTTTTCATATTCTTTTTACGATGATGTTATACTCCCAAATAGGAGGCAAGTAAGATTTTTCAATAACATTGTACTTTCCTGTGAAATATCCAGAACTTAAATGCACAGACATAGGGAGCAGCTCATTTCTACTGGTAACTAGACTGTAAAACTCAATTTTACAATTAAATTTATGAAAAAATAAATAAATAAATAAAAAATTCTACAGTGGCTAACATAAACACAACAAATATTATAATATTTATATAATATTTTCATTTATGTGCATTTTTTCCCCCAATATAAATATATTTTGTATTCACATTAGAAGTTTCTTAACTTCACAAAGAACCATTAAATCCATGGGAACTGAGTTAAAAAATAGTGAGAACATGAACAATATGTGAACAAAGCGTGAAGAACTCATTTAAATATTCACACAAGAATAATTTAATTCATACCACAAAGCAGCTGCAGCGCATTGCCCTAGGCCTGTTTGTCTATGAAGGAAAACCACTGTCTTTCTTAATAATCCTAAGTGTACATTGTGACAGTATTTTAGTTGGAGTTAATATAGTTATACTAAAACCCAAATTATTACTGTGATAGTGCTAGTTTGATGTGGGTGTAGCTGAATGACTCAAAAACCCCATGGGCATAATATTTTCTATTCTAAAGTTGTTTTCTTGTACTGTACAGTTTACACCAGCAGAAATGGAAAAGTACAGTGCCGGGAGGAGACTGAATGCAGGTATTTTGCCCAAAACGTTTCCTGTGGTCTGAGCCCGCCGGGGTGTGTCTGCAGCCCCTGTTACCTATCACCCACAACTAACATTTACAGTTGTTCCAGTAAGTCGCCATGACACTAATTCTTCTAATGGTGTTTCCAGTCAGTAATGAAAGGCAGGGTAAAGGGAGAGCCATGCAACCACTACACAAACATACTTTAAACATAGTCACAAAGTTGTAGTATGCTTTGTTCAGGTTTTTAAAATTAAAATAAAACGTAGTTCATCAATTTACATTTTGTTCACTGTGAACCACAACACTGATCGAAAACAGCTCAGTAATAGAAACCTTTGACTTCGCACTTCAAAAGTGCAGAACTCATAGTATCTCTTCACAGTACTGTAGAGACCTGGACTGATGACAGTTTTTTAACATTATATGTATGACCAGGAGTCAATTTTTATTTAATTTTTTTATAATCACAAGTAGTGGATGGGGATAGGGGATAGGTGCAAACAGAGCATTTCAGAGCACTTACACCTTGAATGCAGAACAGTACAAGATTACTCAAACATGAATCAATCGAAATAGAACACCTAGCTAACTCATGTTGAGGAAATATCATCATAAAAGTAAATTTCACATAATATGCCCCCTTTAAGGAGCACTGACATTTAGACTCGTTTAGATTTTAAGTGCTAAACTAATGCAAGAATGCATTTTAAAACATTTTCTATATGTTTTATGAAACCAGATAATTGTTGTTTATCTGGAGAAAATTATATAACTTCAGTAATTGAAGTGTTGTGTCAATTGCGGTTAATCAGCTCTGTTTCATGTTCAACCGGACATCATGGCCTGCAGTCTTTAATACTAATAAGCATGTATGTACGCTCAACCAATAAAAGTGGATTGGCTCAGTAAAAGAAAATAAGCATAAATGTAGGGCTCCATATAATCAGACTCACACTGAGGCTGTACTGAAATGCAGCAGCTGCTGATGTATAAATGTATGTGCAATTATGGGTTAGTCTGCGAGTGCTCGGAGCCTGAATCAGACAGGATTGTGTGGGGCAATAATGTCTTTCTTTGCACTAGTCTTGTGAGCTTTAAAGAAACATGGAGAGTGGCTTGAGGAGCCAAGTGTTTGGAAAGACTACATCACACTTGCATCATGTTCTGGAGCTGAGCACACAAGCCAAAGGTAAATGAAAGAAAACGATTAAGCATGGCCTTAGTGAGAGAAAGACAATTACCAAGGTACAGTTGTTCAAAGCACACTTCAAAGCAGTGCCATGTACATGATAATTATTGCACTATGATGTTTTCAAAGTACTTCTGTGACTAGTTTAGAAGGAACAATATTTGACTTGGAAGAGAAACTGGCCTTATAATGCAGAGCAGACACAGGTCAAGTCCAAATATTTTTGTTAGAAGTAGAGATAGGCAATACATCATAAGGTTGAAACAGTTGTTTTGGAAATAGGCAAAATTAGAATATTTGAGCATAGTTTAGAATTTAAATAAATGCCACAAATCTCTGAATAAATTTGAAAAAATAAAAATAAAAAATGAAAATAAGCATACAATGTGTAAAGTTATATTTATGCATATTTGTGATGATTACAATTACACTGGTGCAACTTAAACTCTCAAATACTTTTATCATGATATCGCCCACCCCTAGTTACACATACAGTATCAGTAATTCACATTAAGTCATTATATTACAGTAACTACAGACTTAATGCCATTTCCATTTTTCCTAATGGCTTGTTACAGTAGCAGCAGATGAAAAAACAGCTGGAAAAGTACAAACGCTAATAACGTGTTAATTCTACCATTTTCTATTTCTAAGACAAAGTAGTACTTTTTAATGACACTATACTATGACTTAATTATATATAACACTATAGAACACCTCATGAAGAATAAGACATTTTCATTATTGTTATAACTTTTCAAATCAGAGTCGTGCCTACGCGTTTCTATTTTTACTCATTGTCAGTGCTGTTGTATGGAAGGTCGCATCATGTCACCCTAGCACCAGAAAACTGTAGATTTTGCTCGAGAATGTAGCTCAGAAGTGGAGTATCAGAAGTAGGGTTGGGTCCTGTTAGAAGTACCAGTACAACAAAATGTTTAGGAACTACTGGTACCACAAGAAATTGGTATTGAAAACTACTACAGAAAAACATAGCTTTGAGTTTTGATGCCTTGTGAGTTTTGAGAGAGTAACTGGTTCTCAGATTTTTCACACTAAGTAGAACCTAAGATAATATTTGACTTTCCAAGTACTACCAGATACACCTGGACTTCATCAGGCCTCAGTTATTACTAAACATTGGCAAACAATGGAACTAAATCATGGACAAAGTATTTCTAAATAGTGATTTACGCAAAGAAAAATTATTAACAAATTGTTCTTAAAATTAAACAAAAACTCAAGCTACAGAGGGCGCTGTGTACCCTCGGTGTTACACTGCAGTTTGCGTCACACAAAACGTATTGCACTAAAAACATGAAAAAACATGCACCCTGGCTTATTACTCCACAGAGTCAACTTGTAATTTCTTTTGGTAAAGGGGATACAACCTTTTTGTGTCCATGGAACATTTCCCAGAATGGCATAAGACTCATCTATCTCCAGTGAGAATGCTCCATGCTGCTGTTGCTCATTTAATTGGACTTATGAACATTGCACCTCTTTGACATTCTGTCCATGCATTTCAGAATGATGAAAATCTTGGACCATCGCCCTAGCAATTAATAATTTAAAACTAAATATCTTTAAAATGTTTTCTAGGAAGCTGAAATCCATTAACACAACTGATTGGATCTAAGTTGTAGAAATAACAATAATTATGGAAAATCGTTTGTTTAATCAGATTTTGAATTTTAAATACCACTGAATATCTCACTTTTTTAACTCTGAAAAAACATGTTTGAATTATTTTTAGTCTGAATTTTAGTTTGCTGACATTGTGTAGAGTACATAAGTACATAAGTGTAAAAAAAAACAACAACAACAAAAAAAAAAACAAAACACTTTTATATTCAGCACAAATATTTTCAAGTTCATCAGCCAAAATTCTGTGTGAAATTCATAGCAAAGATCAAAGATGCCAAGACAGATTCAATCCAAAGTGATCCAATCTAACTTGGCAACAAGCAGGAAATGGTGCAGTGAACCAATCTGATTGGTCAGAATTTGCCTCTTCAAAACCTCATCTATTTTATTTCTTAAGTGTAAACCCCGCCCACAGATGAGAACAGTCAATAGAAAACAGTCTTTGTCCTCCTCATTCACACATAATCAATTGCTTTTGTCTTGGCATCTTGACAATTTTACACTCTGAATTGTTGAATTTGAGGGTTTGAAAATATTTGTTCTCAGTATTTAAAAGGTGACATTTTTATTCTGAATTTAAAACATACTAAAAAAAAAACTTAAAATTTCAACAATTTAAAATATATATTTTTTTTTTAGTTTAAAAATTCAAAATGAGCGATTCAGTGGTATTTAAAATTATAAATCTAATGGAACAAATTATCTTCCATAAATGACAGTAGTGGTTAATTGTCAAAAATTCACAGCATTACAAAGGAGAGGCCACAGTGAGTGTTTGTATGCACTGTATGTTGGCAATATAAATATGCTTTACTATTTCCATATACAGACTTCTAAAGGGCTTTTGTAAACATTCCTCTGGTCCAAGCAGTGCCCACACTTCTCCCTTTAGAGACAGCTCAGCTCACCTCTCCATCTGCTGCTCTGAACTCACAGTCTGCCTCTCACTCATCAAAGTCACCTCCAGCGCCCCCTGTAGACGCAGCACCCCATGACCATGGCACCCTGCTTCTGTGGGACGGACTGGGGCAAAATAAGTCTGACCCAATTTAAGTCAACCTGCAGAATTATTCCCACTCTACCAGCTCTCTACATGTGACAGTTGAAATAACACTGTAGAAAGAGACTGGATTTCTTCAACAGTTTTTGAAACAGAAAGAAAACACCAAGAATGAACATGAGCATTCCTAGACGAAATCATTTGGCAGCTGCTATTTTCACTGCTGCAAACTACACTGTTACAGAAACAGCTTGATTGCATATTTAGAATTCCCAATACAGAAAAATTATACTATAGGGAGCTAATAAAATTAATAAAAATATGACTATTCCTACTGCTTCTAATCTGCAGATGCTATCATTGTTTCTAACCAGTCAATTGCCTGAAAAAATATGTAATTTTTTCCACAAAGTAAAATTATTTTGCTGCTTTGGAACTGATCAAGTGGAGTCAACTTATCAATTAACATGTGTATAGTAACTGAACATAATTAAGCCTATAAACAGCCTACCTGAGTATTTTCCAAGAGTAAGTGTTGTCTTTGATGAGATTAAGTGACCAAAGCTGATTTCCACGTGGGGAGCCTCCAAATATGTCAACAATTGTAAAGACATATAAAGTTCTATAGTGAACTTGAATAAGAACTGACAAAGCACACGCACCATGAACAGTTCAGTCCGGATTACAGCAGTGCCCCCTGGTTCAAATCTGTAACCATAGTAACCTTAAATGTGGGCACCAAACAAAGTCCTTTTTTACAGGGGTTGGGTGCGTGCACAACAGCAATCACACAAGAAGAGACTGTATTCTTAGAGAGAGGACAGGGCCAGAGTTCAGATGTGAAACTACTCTGGAATTGAAACATGTATCCACTATAAAACAGCTAGGCTACAGTACTTTCTCCAGTATTAACACATAATACATTATTGGTCTGGCATAGATTTTTAAGATGACCTTCCTGATTCAACACTCTCTATTTCATCACATTGGCTGACCACTGGATAAATACATTCAGAAACATGCATTATTTAAAAAGTCTTTTCGCAATGCCAAAGATAGTAAAATTAATCAAAACCCAACAGTTTTTCTTACAGCTTAAAATGTATGTTCGCACCCAAATGCCTGCAAAGATCTATATTACAGCTATAGTGCATGAATGAAAAAAGAAACGAAACAAGAAATATGTGGGAGACTGTGGTTATAAATAAAACACAAGCACAAAAATTGCATGGGCAGACTTGCACATATCAGAATATTATTTTGTTATTGTCGTAATTTATGTTTTGCTATGTTTTTTCTGATCAAATATGGTAGTCTTTCTTGTTTGGACCATTTATGGTAAGGGGAGAAAAAGGGAGTATAAGAAATATGTTGTTGGAAAAAAGATGGAGGAGATGACAAAGGCAAAGGAGGAGCGAACTGTGGAGCACCAAGGTGGAAAAGATGGATGGACTGAGAGGAGAGGAGATGGGGTGGGGGGGGCACAGAGTCCAAGACCCACAACAGGCTTTCAGGTGAGAGAGGCTTTTGACAAGGATCGAAAGTTCACATCAAGAAAAAAATGCTAACCCATATACACTCAATCTTTATCCTTTTTTTGAAACCAGCAATTTGTATCTTGATGTTTTTCTTCTAAAATTGTGCATGTCATGGTTTATAGATGAGAAGAAAGTAAAGCGAAGGGCAGAACAAATCTCAGTTTCAGTTCTTAAGAGTTTGAGTGAGTGACTCTCAAAGACTACTTTATCATGACAGGAGAAGGTTTTATTATAGACAAAGATGTAGTCTAGTTGAAATTATACACTTAAGGCATTTGTTGGATCATGTAATTGGAAAACCACTGTGAAAGGTCCTATTGAATATAAGTAAGGAACAATAGGTTTTAAGACTTTTGTCCATCTAATAGCGTCTGAGTGCTGCAGAGTCCATCTTTGTAAGAACACTAATACGAGGCTGTCATCAAACAAAACATGGAAATGTGAATTCATATAGTACAATGGAACTGGAGCATTCTTTGCCACAAAGCTGTTATTTTTGCAAAACTCAAATGACATTTTTTGTATAATAATAAAAATTAACCCAAGTCTAGTCAAACGTCCCCTAGACCTCGCTGGCAGAAAACATAGTTAAAGACAAAGAAGAGTGGGGGAAAAACAGGTCAAAATTCAGCAGGGGCGTGGCCTAGACCTGTGACTGATAGGTGCCAACAAAAGTGGCTTGAGACAAAAGTGCATGAGGGTTTTGATTTGTTTTGTTCATATTAAGCTTTCAAAGTTGTAACCAATGGAGTGGACAAATGGGTAAACTCCTAGCATCATTTATAAATAAATGTACAACTCACTAACAACACAGGTCAGCTTTGTTTAGTATTTGTGTTCCCCATTCCACTAAGAGACCCCATATTTGACAGCAAAAGTGCAATTTTTTTCCACTTCTTTACATTTCTGTAGTTTTCTCAAACAGGCAGTAGCCCCTCAGCCATGTCTGACATATTAACTCTCCTTTGGGCTTTTAGTTGTCTGCACCTTCAACCCTTCACAAACACAGAGGCAGACAGCTCCCAAAAAAACCTCTGTGCCCAGAATATTAAGGACCCACCCCACTGTGCACTGAAATGTCACATTACTATAACCATTTGCATTATAGCAAAAGGTGTGGGCAGAGCCTAGACATCTGTGCACTGAAAATAATGATTAGATGATGCTTGGATGTGAAAACAACGTGTGAGTTTGTGTCATCACATCATGGACTCACGTCGGTGAAGGATGGCAGCAGGTGGAAGGGGAGGAGGTGTCTGAGAGGGTCGGGAGCCTGGGTCCTGCCCGCCGTGGGACGCAGCAGCTGGGGCAGAGCGCTGTGGCACACGCTACCTGGAGAGAGACAAGAGCACAGGTAAAGAGACAGGAACAGATGGTGAACGAAGATGCACAATGTGCTAATGAACCACAAGACAGAAATAAACCCAAGTCTGTTGACGTGACTCATTAAGAAGCAGATTGTATAAGGAGAAAATGTATGTTTAGGTTAAAAGTGCATCCATCTTCAGATTCAAATGCAAACATACAAGATGTATGATGTTATTAACTGTCTATACTGAAACTGAGGTTTAAGTGTATTTGCTAGTCCAATCCTAATCATGCCTGGTATATATATATATATATATATATATATATATATATTTTATTCTTCAGTCCAGGCCTGGGTCTACAGGGGTGCAAAAAGGTGCATTGCAACCTCAGTAAAAAATGTACCCTCATTTCAGCCACCTAAAATAATGGAAGCGCATTATGTTTGCATCCCTTTGAAACTCAAATGCACCCTCCAGTTTGGTCTGCACCTGGGCTTGCTTCAATAATACTACTACTCTACTCAAGCAAATGTGAAATATTTCCATTATAGGCCTGAACCTCCCACAGGTCTTTTGTCCTAAGCATGATGGGTTTTTCATTATTTCAGCATTGTGTAAGATTTAATACATGATTCATAATTCACAAACCCTCTCTAATATTTGCCGAGTGTGTGTAAGGGCTCAAAGACTTAAATCGTGCCTCAGAGCTGCAGTGCTGTTCAAACATGAAACATACCCAGTGTAACTAAAGGTCAGGAGACATTCATCAAGTTACCATTACATTACATAAAAACACTTGCAGGAAATGCCTCATTTATTTGTTCTATAGGAAACCTCATTTGTCAGTTGTTGAGTATTGTGCTTTTTTATTAGGCCCGTTGATTATTGCAGCTCATTCTTGATTATTCCACAGTGATAAACAATTTATAATAGACCTACTAAACACAATTAAAGTTTCCACAGTCTATAAAAAGGTGGTGCTATTGGGCATGACATTAAACTCTTTATCTCTTCTTTTTCTTTTTTTCTTTCTTTTTAAAAAAAAAAAAAAAGGGGGAAAAAAATCTTTATTAGGAAAAACAAATTGATCAATGCAAGCTCCAAAACATTTGAGTGTTAGTTAGAGGACTGCTACACTGGACTATAGGATTAAGACTCAATGCAAAATACTTAATTGCCAAAGACAGTCCATTACTAACACACATGCGATTAGCGCTGTATTTCCTTGGTCATGACTCATGTTGTGATTGCAGAGGCTTGTTAGTTTGCGGCGGAAAAAAACTTGATTACAGTTTGATTCGGGACCAGTGCGCGTGCCCGCGTGCGTGTGCCGTGCGCGAGTGTAATCAGCCTAATCAGACTCTACACACCCATCCGCAACGCCATTACGCTGATTGCCCATTGCATTGTTTGACCGAGCAATGTTTAGTTCTGCAAAAGAACGAAGTTAGGACGCAAAATCGGTGAATGCATCACGTGACAAACTATACAGATTGACGTGAGGCCAAACTTGAAAATCAAACTTGCACAAACTTCAAACTGAAACTTGAGAGGTAATTTTGATGCAGGTTATTTAATCAGCACGTCCCGAAACACCCTCCACAAAGCTTGAGAGCAACAAACAGACTACCATAGTTTATTTATCGTTCCTTTTGCAGTTGATAAACTACAACAAAGAACAGTATTTCTCACCCAGCATGAAAATAAACGGTGTGGGCGTTGTGTGGAAAGATGCAGTCGTGGGAGATCACCCGGAGAGAGGAGCAGGTGACTTAAAAAGCCCAACATATCAACAAGTGACTCTACTGCGGTACTAGGTTACCATAGCAAACATTCACACCAAAGCTTATCAACGCGATTAAAATGTCTTACGTACCAAAATACATCTCGACACCTGCTGTAAAAAGCCGACTGATGTGCCATGAAAGTGCGTCTCGTTCTCAGCCGCGGGAGACGAGGCTGGTGCTGTGCGTCTTGCTGCCCCCACAGTCAGACTCGTGTCTCTCTCCTCCTCTCCGCTTCTTCTGGCGGTGCGCTGCGGCTCGTTCACATCTGGACCCCCCACCCCACAACCGACACTCTCTCCAAACCCAACCACTGCCTCCTCTTGCTCACTTTCCCGTTATTCCGCCTGAAGTTTAACGTGACTTTAATTCACTAAATAGACGGAAACTGTCTTAATGAGAAGACGGTACCGTATACCGCCATAGATCAGCGCGCACGCCGTGTGCACCGCTGTTAGCTTTTTCAGTATCAAAGCGACTCCTCAAGCAGCCAATGCTTCACAGATGAGCAGTATGCCCTGAGAGCAAATGTGTTCTTAAAGCCTCTACCATCGTCTCTCCTTTCCTCTTGGGTCCTCTGTATTTTTAGATCCAAAATCCATCTACAAAAACACAGTCAGGCACACTTGAGCACAGCTTTATTTAATAGGCGTGTGCGTATTTACACTTGAAAGTAGTTCTCACGCGCCCTTGTCATGAGCCCATTTTCACACCCTCGGAGTTCATATCTAAGCAGCGTGCCCTTGCCTCTACTTCTGCATGCTGTCCCAGACCTTCGTGTCAGGAACTGGACACAAACATTTTCCCACAAGCCAGAGCTCCTGAGGGAGTCAGGACAGACATGCATCAATTCAACAGCGTCTTGTTCTACATCTTCATTCTAAGTTATCTTAGTTATCTTGTCTGAAAAGTAAGTTCAGTGTTACTTTAGTTTATACTAGTTAGGACAGTACTCTACTGAAAAGCATTTCAAGATTTAACTCCCAAGATGGAACAAAAATAATTTATGAAAAATCTAGAAATTCACCAAATACTCACAATAGTGGATAGTTTTATTCCTGGGGTTGTTTTGCCTGCACACGTGTTATCTCCAAGTGCCACTGCCAATCTTTCAGCTCTGACCAGAATCCTGATGTTTTGGAAAAAGGTCTGTTTGCACTGGTTCAGAGCGTTTGTTTGTGGGTCAAATGCAGAGAGCTGTGTAATTTCCTCTAAAGGACAAGATAACTTAACTTATTTGTGTCGCATTGTATTTTAATGATGTTCCTGATCCACGAGGCAAGTGTCAGGGATCAGATTCCAGTTACACTTGTAACATGAGATTTCCTACTGGCTTCTTTTGCCAGTTGTTCGTAATGATGCTTTTTCATGTTATAATTAAATTATATTATGTGAAAAAAGATGTGTAAAGTAAATGATGATAGATTCAAGTTTACTACAAAAAGTTGAATGCTCTTTACAAACTACTACAACAGCACATATTTTACCAAAGCTCTTCAGTTTTGCAACAGCTGCAAAAGTACAAAGCGTCAGCCAATCATGTGCATTCTTCAAAACCCCAGTGACATAATTGCCTGGGAAACTGCTCTGTGATGACTACATATTGGCTTGGGTGTAAAACTGTTGTCATTTAACAGTCAGCCACTGTATGCAGCAGTGCAACCTAAAACCTGCATTACGCAAAGTTCTAATTCAGCCAAATTCTCCAGACCACGCCGTAGTGGAAACATGCTTGTGGTCAGACACTGCCAAGGTTATGTTTGCCAAAGACGAAGTGCAGAGGCTTCACACCAGCTCTCATTTTCTCCCTCTCCTTTGTGCACCTGTCTCCAAACATGTGACTTCTTTCTTAAATATTTTTGATGTGCAGTAAAAATAAAAATAATTTTAACTCAAACTTGTAGGAAGAAGTTTTTATGTAAGGCAGGGAGACATTATGTACATCTTGTGGCATGATGACAACAAAATAAAGTAGATGAAGCAGTGGTCCTCAACCAGTCCAAGTTATTATAGACAATTTTGTAGTCACATTTTCCAAAGCAAGCATGCAGTGATTTGCATGATGGTTTGACTTAACACTGGATACCACTTTTACTGAATCCTGTAGGTTTTCCAAGCTTCAGACTGGAATAAAGTAATACACGATGCACTCTGTGTTGCCTTTTTTACATATCTTGTTATATTGGTCTTTTATGTTGGTCTGCTCTGGTTTAGGGGAGTTACAAAGTCAGCAGAACATATACAGTATAAAGCAGCTTGAGACCAAACATTGTCAGTTTAGAAGTGTAAAAATCTCTGTCATTCACTTTGTACTCGTCTAACATATCTAAAATAAAATCAGTTCATTATGCAGGCTAGTGAAAACAATATTCAGGCCAAAACAAGCTGATCACCTCTCACAAACCCACCACTGGGATTCCACTCACCATTTGAAAAGCATCTCAGTTCCCAGTTCCAAATATGTGCTTTTAATAGTCTACAACTGACATAATATGACAACCAGTTTATGCTGTAATAACATTCTCTGTTAATATACATTGCAGAGGTTCAATATGGTATAATGAAGGCCAGTGGAGCTGCCGGTAATTTAGAGTAATTTGGGAGGGAAATTGGTTGCAGAGTGAGGTCCAGTCGGTAGGAAGGGGGTGATGAGTTGGTCCAATGAAGCAATTCAACATGAGGAGAGCATCTACTGTATTTGTGTGGAGTTAGATTTCACACGATCCGATCCTCTATCCTCTATCATGGAGAACCAATGTCTGTAGCACACATGGAAAGACCGACTCATAAACCCAATTTAATGCCACTTTTGTCACTTTCTGTATTGCCAGACACATCGAGTCTCAGTGAGAATAAGCAGAGCACTTTGGAGGGCTGGGTGGTATTATTATTGGGCTTTTCTTCTCTTTTCTTCTATCAGCATTGACACGTCTCCAGTGCCACAGAGGAGACTTTGTTTGAATTCCTGAGCTCTGAGATACACACTCAGGTGCGTTACATCCGAAAGACTAATCGCTCTGCCAAAGCAAATGTCACAGGGGAGAAAATTGTCTCAAAGGTGAAATTTAAGGTCAATTTTGCAAGAACGGGTCAACGAGCAGAGATCGAAAAAGAGCTCTAAAACCCACTATATGTGCAGTAGCAGGAGGCACATTTAAGAGGTTAAACAAATCTCTACTTCAAGATCATATGTTCTATCTTTCTTTAATGAAATAAAGAACAGCTTTGCTTCCATCAGTCTCGCCAAGGGAAGTTATGGCTACAATTTAATAATGAAAAATGATTACAGTGTAGTACTTCGAGAAATTTCGACAAGCCCGTTGACATCTGTAAGGCACTATTATTATCATTAGTGCACTTTTATTTAATTAATTGACAACAAAAACACCTTTCAAAACCTCATTCCAAGATCGACTTACTAAAACTATCTGACAGGTAACATAGAGAAGTAACTTCGAAAGAAACTCCACACATTGCATCTCAAATATTGACTCAACTCTCAAAAATGTTTCTTGGTTCATGTTAATATTCTAATATTCAAAGTGCTTCAAATCATCCTAATGCATTGTTTCCAAACTTGATCCTACTGTGTGGATCCCATAACGTACTAATGACGGTCTTCATTACACTTCTCAGTTCTCCAGTTGCAGCACTTAAACAATGGTCGACTGCGTCACTTTACACCTGTGGAGTGGAGCTGCACGGATGGACAGACAAACAGAGTGCTGCCATGGAAACTGTGATATGTAATGTTATGTTAGGTGGGCCTACGCTGAGACTCTTGGGTACGTGACTCTGGCCTCTACCTGTTTAATTACTTCAGCGGGAAGGAAATCTAGTGACCCCAACAGAGCGCCAACAGCCAGCACCACAGGACCTCCTCTCAAATGAAGAGGAGTAATTGACTTTTTCTAAGAGATGCATTGTTGAACGCAAGATTGCACATAGACACAAGTACAGATTTAGTCCCTGATCTGAAGCTAAAATAGATTGACAAAAGCACCTTCCAGCTCCACTTCACATTTTAGGGAGTCCAGATTGTCGATTCACTGATGGCTCACCTCTTTTCTTTGATTGGTCACCATAACAACATCACCATGGTAATCAGCGTGCATTGACTTCAGTCTATTTATGTAATGATGCCAGTTCACATGGAAATATCAAATTTGGTTTCCTCAGTGCGAGATGAATATGATGCCAAATGTGAAATGTGACATAAATCATGTTTTTGAAGAACATTTTATCAAGTAAATCTGTGCATTTGTGTTTGGGAACAATAGCCCCTCAATCAAAGAAAGAGTTAGAAATGCTAGCTGTAGATTTACTTGTAGATAAACTTAAGGTTGCCAGCTTAACTGGGCAGTAAAGGCTGAACTATGTTAGCTGTCTGTAAAGACAGTTATGAATTTAAATGTTTTTTATTATTATTATCATTTTTAACCAAACCACAGCACTGAAATTAATCTGTAACTGTAGGCAAGTGGGGATGCAGTGATTCTCTCAACAAGTATATTTAAAATATTTTAAAGAAATGTATTATAATGGATGGGCCACCATGTGTACTCTGTCTGACAAACCCACCTGCCAGTCTCCTTCCCTTGGGCACAATAAATGCATCAAACTTAAAGATGAACTCAAAATTAAACCGAAATATAACAAATATTAAAATACAAATAGAAAATAAATCAAACATCCCTATCAAGCACATGCATTTCCTCTGGCCTTCAGTCTATAGGTAGAGGGCAGGATGTGAAGTTGTCCTGGAGAAAAATTATGCTTTGCTTTTCATATTGTTGAATCATGGAAGAAACCCTTAATTTTTGAGTTGAATAATTATAAATGCATTGCATGTGTTACATACTGATGTGTGCCATCCTTGATATTGGCAGGAAACAGCTTTGTGCAGGCCTGGCATGTCTTTGATGATCACATATGCTGTACACAACGTCACAAACAAACTGAGGAAGTGAAGATCAACACCAAAAACAAGCACCCAAAGCTCCAAAACCACATCAGAAAATTGGAAAGTTGGAAAAAGTCTGTGAGCAGTAATCCAGCAGAGATATCACCCAGCATGCAAATGTGTTGTTGAAAAGGAATTTATAGAGATAGACTTAGGTTCTCTGGAGGTCAAGGTCACAAAAACTCAACAGCGATAAAACAAACAGATGTTATGTAAATGTAAACTTTTAGAAGACAAGACACCCCTCAGAGACACAAGAGAAGAAAGACGAGGAATCATAAACACCTTTGCGGTGCAGGGGCAAAGGTGTCATGGCATTTAAGAGTATTCAGGGTTTTAGACACACTTTACAGGCTGCACATGTCGGCACACAAGAAGTAATGGTCTCCACATGGATACTAAAACCAGGGTCAAAACAAGAACTACACAATTTCATAAGGACTTGGTGAATTCTCCTAAATGAAAAGTTATAGACAGATTGTGCACACAAACACACACTGTTCAACTCAAAATTATATATATCTGCCCAAAAATGTGATGATCTGGTTCTGGCTCCCAAGAAGTTGTTCTTTTATTTGCTGGACAAATACACAGAGCCCCACAGAGGTTTAAGATATCTCACAAAAAACATACAAAATCCACTTAGTTTTACTTTTAAAAGTAAAAGATGTTGGACTACAGTGTTGGTTAGTATCTCTTACGAATTCTGGAAACAAATTACCTTCATTCCATGTAGTTGTCATCTTGTAGGTTGTCTGTAAGCTAATTTTGAATGATCAGCTATTAATTGCTAATTAAATTGAAGAAGAGGTCACTTGTTTTATGCAATGATCATCAACACAAAATATTGGCCTGCCAAATTGAATTTCAATATTACATAATTTTGTCATTGCTAAAAGTATATATATATATATATATATATATATATATATATATATATATATTATATATATATATATATATTATATTTTTATTTTTTTTTTTTTTTTTTTTTTATCTATATTATAATATTGTTTCTTCATCACAAACATACATGGTATTTTATTTAATTCACACATGTTTAACACACACAATCCCTGCATATTTAAACCAGGTTCTATTCTTAAACTGAAAACACCATTCCTCCTTGTGATGTCATTAAGTGGTCATACTAGAAGTGCTTCACTGTGTTTTTAAACTTCATACACCTTCACTATGTTTCAGCCCTGGATTTGCCTAACTTTAAATTTCCAGCTATTGTTTTAGAGTCATTGAAACTGCTTCACTCCTCAGTGCACGAGCAGTTAGGTCTATTAGAGACTTTCTATTGACCAACTGATGACATCACAGGGTGAAACAGAGCATGCGGCCTAATTTTTCCAGGATTACTCAAACATGTGTGAATAAAACAAAACAACTCCAGCTATGTTTTTAAAAAGGTAACAGCATTTTAACATGCAAGTTCACATGAATCTGTTTTATGTCATATAAGATTTTGAAGTATTTTTGGAGACACTTTACTGTATTAAATAGTAATTTAAGATGTAAGTGAAGGACATGGAAACCGTATTGTCTACCCGTGTGCTAGTTTGGGCAGATGATGGAGCCAGATGCGCTGCTAGGCTCATAACATTCTCACTGGTGTGAAATAATTAAACATTTATTAGCCAGAGCAAAGCCTGTTCTTGGGTTTCTATAATATCATAGTGGGGAAACTTAATAAAAGCTTCTGTGGCTATTTTAATGTAGCGCAATGCTCTCCAGCAGATGTCTGCGCGCACATCTGTGGAGCAGAGGTGTGGAGCGGTAACTGTTCACACTCAGACTGGTATTAACCTCTGTGTTTCAGATTTATCCTGTCTGCAGTGCCTCATGTCCAATTACACAATGATCCGCGAAAGCACGGTAACATGAACGCACTTTGTGTGGGCTGTAATGAAGACTACGGCATTTTATGTTAACATGAGAATAAAAAATAAGATGTGAGAAATAAAAACAACTCGGTCTAAGCAGGTTTTAAAGCATAAAACATGCACAAAATTGTAGACTGGTAACGTTAAAAGCAAGCATAGGCCACACTGCCATCTACAGGGCAAACAGTGAAATAATTCAGTGAGTTCACAAACAGGTTCAGGATTAGGAGGCTAGTGTAATTAACTTTTACTACTACTACATACTATTGTTAAGATGTTTTCTATTTTTAATCAAGTGAATAGCCTAAGTATTAAATAGGACCAACTGACCGATTAAGTTCCTTGTACATAATATTAAACAGATTTTAATGTAACCTTCATATAAGCACATCAACATGTCCAAGAAATTGTTTTTTGAAATAGTTTCTCAGCACACCCACCACCCACAATCACATTTAATCAGATGCTAAATATAGTCACTATATTATTTTAATGAAAACTCCTTAAAAACAACAAGTTAAAGCTGATTATGACATGTATGTCAATCCAATTTGACACATTTTTGGTTTAGTTCTCAAATACAAAATGAAAACAGTGTGTTTTCAACTTTACACCACACCAATTTGTTGTGGCTGCACCATTTTACAAAGACAAATAGCTGCATCTTTACAATGAATCAAGTACTAAAACATATTATAAATAATTTATTGCAAGTAAATCCCAGTGCATGCTTTTATAAATCCACAAATTGTTCTTAAAAATATAAAACCATATAAATCAATATCTGACTAACTGTGCCCACTACTATTCTAATGTACTTTCAAATGCATGTTCTCCATCTGGCCTCTCGTCATCTCCCTTACACAAAGCATACTGTCACGTTTGATACTTTACAGGTGAAGACACATTGAACTGGTGAATCTCAAGCATCACTATGATACATTTGGCCGTTGTTCAGTCCGTCAGGAGCTCTTGCAGCATGGCTTCCTCTCCTCTTGACCTTGGTTTGATGATCCAATCGGATTGGAGAGGGTTACTGCACTGATGGAACCACGGGTCACTTCTCTGCTGGCTACCTTCTTATGGATGGCTACAGATTAAAAAAATACAGTTAATTTAAAGTACATCTGACAGGGTTTCATGTTCTTCTAATTATCACTTGGTTTGGTAGGATAATATCTGTGGTAAAGGTTTATCATACTTTGAGAAGTAAGTTGAGAAATACAGAAATGTAGGAAACAGAGGTGAGTTCTCAAAATGAAAAGCTCTATGTTATCAAGATCTAGGGAAAATTTACATGCAAGGAAGGCCTTTGTCTGGCAATTTAAACATTAATTTAATAAAATAAAGGTGTCATCTTTCTTTGTATTAGTCAATCATAACTATTGTGCAATTTAGAGGTTTTGGCCCTTGGTTACATAATGGCTGCTTGGTAATGGAATACTTGTGTTAATTACCTCCACATATTAGTATGTATTATCTGCTGCCCATATCCAACCAGGAAGTAAAATTATAAAAAAGTTAAAAAAAAAAAATAATAATAATAAAAATTCTTAAATATAATTATGTTAATTATGTTTAGTGAGTAGTCTAACCTGTTATATACACTTTAGATTTATTATAGTTTTAGAGGGAAGACTTGTACCTGTAAGAACTTCATGAAATGCATCTTCAACATTTGTGGAGTCCAGCGCTGAGGTCTCCATAAACATGAGGCCTTTTTTCTCTGCAGTGGTTAAAACAAGGAGTGTTTGAGCAAATACTGCAGTGCACTAAGAGATCCCTATCTTAACTCTTCAAAGGCAGCTCCACTGACCTGCAAAGTCCCGTGCCTCTTCAGTCGGGACGGTTCTGAGTGTTTCCAAATCTCTCTTGTTCCCCACCAACATCACCACAATGTGTGGGTCTGCGTGGTCGTACAGCTCCTTCAGCCATCTCTCTGCACTTTCATAGGTCAAATGCTTGCTTATATCATAGACTAAAAGGGCACCCACTGCTCCTCGGTAATACCTGGATAGAGACACATCAAGATTTACAACATTGTGTTGTATTCATTCATCAGTTTCAGCTTCATGTTGTATGCAACACCCATCCCATTCCAAAGATATAGCATTTAGTTTTGAATCGTTAATAATTATGGCAACCGCCCTTATTTCTCATCTCTCTTAAATCCATGTATAAAGGTTAATGGGTGTGTTCTGGTAAATACCCACGCGGAAGTGATGGCACGGTACCGCTCTAGGCCTGCTGTGTCCCATATCTGTGCCTTGATGGTGAAGTTGTCCAGTTGAACAGTGCGTGTGCTGAATTCCACTCCGATGGTTGTGCGGCTGTCGTGATTGAATTCATTCTTGGTGAAGCGAGACAGGAGGTTGCTTTTGCCCACACCTGACTCTCCTATCAACACCACTGACAGAAAACACAATGCTTTAAGTATTAGGCTGGCGTGTCCAGACGATTACACCATTACACTTAACATGTAGGAATGAATGAGAAGATGTTGCAATGGAGGTGGGGTTTAAGAGTGCTTCTAACAAACTAGACATCAGATTCACGTGGCACACATCGCCTGCATTGACACAACTTTGGTATGATAGGAATGACAATTGTTATCATGAGAACAGGTTTAGCTATTCAAAAAGAGATGTTTTATTTAAAAATGCCTGCAGCTACAGGTAGAATTTCACTTAAAGGAACACACAGTGACTACTTCCTTATATAGGCCACCACTATACTTTTGTCAAACCACAGCATTAACTATTACAGACAACATATATGTTTAAGAAGGTCTTTGTGTCAGTAATCTTACCTTTGAAGACAAAGTTGTAAGACTCATCTGAACTCATGCTGTATTCCTAGAAGAAGATCGAAGAATGTGTCCACTTTTGAGTTGTTATCCCAAACTAAAAATAGCACAGGTGGCTCCTCCAAATGCCCCCTCTGTCCCCCTGCGGTCTGGACGGAGAGAGAGAGAAGGTGAAAATGTAGTAGTAAAAACAGGTTGAGCTGCATCTACCACCAGCGCCGCTCCTCGCTTCCTTATGCGTGGATTCAGGGCAGGAAAGTGTACGGGCAGGTAAAGGCAGGGAGCTGTGGCCGGCCGAGCCCTCATCAGCTGATACCTGCAGGAGAGAAAGAAGGGGGGCAGAGAGAAAGAGCAGGTACAACAGGTAGAACCACAGTGATCCAGATCTGGGACTCCACCCTCTGCACTCTGCTTACAGCTCTATTCATTTGTATGACAATAGAGCTCACCAAGCAGGTGCAATGGAGTGCTGTGCAGCCATTTTGACCTTACAACAACATGAATAAAAACATGACTGTTTGAAGGTTAAATGGATTTTAAGAATTTGAAAGTGATGAGAAGTGACGGTTGAATAAATAGTTTAGCTTCCTGGTTTAGTGACACATTTGCACCAGTGAATGCCTTTGGCCATGCTTTTTTATAAAAGTAACAATGAGTTAAATATTAACGAACCCTCATAAAAAAACATACTGTTTACCTTTGGGCACTTTGATGATAATCCGTTCAAAAAACAGGCATCATAGTAGGGGCGCAGGTCACAAGGGTGAAACAAAAACTTAGAATCAATGGTTGTACATAGTTATAGTTAATTAATAGTAAATGTCATAAACCATAACTGGCAGTTAAATTAAACTAATTTGCACACATTGTAATTTACTTGCATATAGGTACTACTGAAATGTACCTATGCAACTTCGCAGCTGTGAATCTCACAAAGTAGGCATTTAGACATTGTTAATGGTGAGATATTTTAACCACAATCACTGGCCAAAAAATAGAAACATTTGCCATTTTTGAGCATGTTTTATTTTTAGTACAGTACTGTTAAAAGTTAGTTTCAACATGTTCAATTGGGAGATGGACTCATCAGCTGAGGTCAACAGACAAAGCAAAGCTATAGAAGCAGTTGCCAAGGTTACCACAACTACACTGCTGAGGAAAAAAAAAAAAAAAGTAAAACCAAACTAGAAGTTGATTTTGAAAACCAGAATTGTTTTTAAACCTTTACATTTTTCATTATTATACTTACTTGATTTCAATGTTTATTTTAAGTGAGACAATTTGTAAATAATTGCTAGGTAATAGGTACTAACTGCACCTCACAAAAATAAAATAAAGAATCAGATTAAAATTAAAAGAAAGATTCTTTCTTTTTTTCTGAGGTCATTCTCAAAACATTTATAATTTTGGATGTCCTAAATAAGTTGTGAACTCTTTAGGAATATGTTATGTTTTTGAAAACAGTGAAGTAGGGAATGCCAATCATGGAGCTTGTCTATGGGCAGGGAGAACAAAAGGCACAGCCAAAGTGCCTCAGAAGAGAAAGACACTGGGTGCCCTCTTGGGGGCACATTATATGGAATGACAGATTACAACTCAAAGAAAGTGTGGGGTGTCATTTCCGAAGCATGTATAATAAATAGTGAACAGTTTGTAGAATTTCAAGAGAAGAGGGAAAATTATCTCATAAATGAAGGAGTTAGATCAGTAAAGTCTGAAAATGTCTCAAAATGACATCTCTGTGTGTTTTATTTATCCTTTCAAACAAGCAGATCTCCACACTGCAGCTTGCTACAGTATCTGCATCTATGCTAAATACTGCCTAACAGTGGCTAGCTGCAGTAATTAACACAGTCACAATCACATCTTCTGCCTAATCTCTATCAGCTCAGCGCTTATACAACACTCCACTCTGTTTGGAAATGGGAACAAAGTAAAGGAAGAAATGGTTGTAGTCCAAAGATAGGAGATGGGTTGGCTCCATTCCCACCTCTCGGTGTGAGAGTGGTTCAGTCCGACTCTACACCTCTCTGGGACAGTTTCTGGATGATTCCAAAGAAAAAAGAAGAATGATGTAAAGAGACCAGAATGAGGATGGTGAAGATCCTGCCCGATTCTTCTGTGGTGTTTTGGGGATGGACTGATTTTTCTCTCGATTTCTCTGTAGATGCTGAGTGTGTTGTGTATATGCATGTGCATGTCAGTATGGGCTGTGAATCTTTATGAAGGCTGTGAGCCCAGCAGTCTCTCAATAGCGGCATTGATGTCTCCACCAGTAGCAATAAGGGCCTGCAGGTTGGCCTCACGGTTGATGAAACCCATTGCACTTAACTGGTCCAGTTGGGACTGAAACCGAACCTCCGGGGTCATGCTCTACACAGACAAATTACAAACAAGATTAAAGTGACTCATTAAAGCACTCTGTGCACGACTGATGTATTTGTAAGGGCATATACCATTGAGTTTGCGCCTCCACCACCTCCAGCAAACATCTGGAGCATCTGTTGCATCAGCTGCTGCTGGGCACTGTTCGTTCCTGCACTGCTGGGAGAAGAGGCGGGGTTTTCTGTGGCCATGCCACCTCCTGATGAGGCTGGTGGGACACCTGGCGGGACGCCAGAAGGGACACCAGAAGGGACACCAGGAATCCCACCTGTCATTAAACTGAACCAAAACAACAATGTGTGGGACTTTATACTCCATCTTCTTGTTTAACATTTGAGCCTCAGCCCTTACCTGGGCATAAGTCCAGGGGCCTCTGTCTGCAGTGTCTGTAGGCCCTGCTGGATCTGCATTAAGGCCTGCATGGCCCGAGGGTTAGTCATCACTGACAGGGCCTCAGGATTCTGCATCTGAAATAAATATGCAACCTTTACTCAATCACATGTCACAACAATAACAACTGTGACTCCACTAACAGTGAATAATGAAAGTGAAATATTCTTCCTACATCAGCAGCATTGTGGTTATGTCAGAAATTTAACCTAGCTTTGTTTATGCTTTAGTTGACTCTGAAGTACCTGCTGAAGAAAGATGGGCAGCTGAGCTCTCAGCTGTTCCTGCAGCTGTGGGTTTCCAGCAAACAACGGGTTATTCATCAATACCTGAATGTTCAAAAAAAAAAAAAAAAAGTTACTTTGCTTGTAACAAAATGCTCAAGTGTGGCACATTACACAGTTTAAGCTATTATGTGTATTGTTGAATACTGGGGGGAGGAGTTTGATTCATAGAAAAGCTTAAAACACAATGGCCCTGTTTGTTTGGTGGCCCCTTGTGACGTTACACAACACGGACTCTAGGAGAGTGCATTTAGTAAAATACTGTTTAAACTCATTTGTATATTTTGTTCCCACCTGAGAGGCCACCTCTGGGTTTTGAGACAGTGACTGCATCAGGGAACGCATGTATGGGGCAGACATCATGTTTTGCATGAGTTGTGGATTTTCAGAGATCTGCTGCAGTAAGCTCTGCATCCCTGGGCTGTTAAACATTCCTGTAAAATACAAACAACAATTTAATGACCCAAACAAAAATCAAAACAACAAGCCTCTTAATCCCTCTGACGAACCATTGCCGAGACTTGAAGCATTGATGCCCAGAGGGTTGGACACAGAGGGGTTGGTGCCAGTCGAACTTGTACTTCCTGTGGAAGTACCACTTTCAGTGGTGGTTGATGTGTTTGGCGGTCCCCAAGGGTTAGGCAGAGGCTCACGGTTCTCCGTTCTTGATGGCTGGGCTCCAGATTCAGAACCTCCACTTAGAGCTGAAAATGGGTTATTTCCAAACTAAAAGAGAAATAATGATGAAATATTATTGATGACAATATTCTTTATATTCTGCTTACAATTAACAGAAATACAATATCTTGTGTACCTGTTCCCTGGCAGCACTGAACATGGGCTCCTGAATGTCAGTATACATCCTGCGGAGTGCGTTGTAGCCACCGGGGATGCTCTCTAAATTACTAAGAGCTCGATCCTGGTTTCGCATCATTTCCTGCATCATAGCTGGATTTCTGGCCAACTCCATAGTCTAAAATGACAGCAAAATTAATATATAAACATAACTGATTATAGCACAAAGTCTCAAAGTCGGGTGGTATTTAGTACCTGTCTCATGAGCTCAGGATTGTTGAGCATGTGTGAAATCTCTGGGTTTCGCTCCATGAGCTGTTGCATCTGTGGATTAGCCATAATCATCTGTCTCATTAGGTCTGGGTTGGACATCATGTTTTGGACCAGGGGGTTTTCCATGATCTGGGACAGCATTTCTGGGTTGGACATCAGCTGCCTCTGCATTTGCTGCTGCAGCTCCATGAAATTAGCTGAACCCATTCCCAGCCCAGCTAAATTAGAAAGGTCTCCAAAGCCAGCTACAAAAGAGGCAATAGAGAATCACTTCAATGTACTTCTTACGAAAGTCCAGTGGCGCCATTATGACATTGAGCAGGACTCACTCAGTATGTTGGGAGTCTGTGTTGGTGGAGGAGCAGAGCCTGAAGATCCTGTTGTGGGAGAGGGATTTGTTCCTGGACTGGAGGTGGAGGTGCTGCCTGCTGCGGTGGTAGAAGAGCTTGAAGCTGATGTACTACTTTCTCCAGCCCTGGTTAGAAACAAATTAATAATTAACATTTTGCTAAAATATGGAGGTCCCAGCAAATATGTATTAAACTTACTTGTGGGCTGTTTTTATAACTAGATGAACTGTCAAGCCATCCTTGATACCATGTTGGCTAAGAGTGTCACCATCCTTCAAGATCTTCCCGGCAAAAATCAGCACCAACTGGTCCTGTTTAGCTTTGAACCGCTTTGAGATCTCTTCTTTGAACTACAAAAACAGATTTGTTTGTATTAAGGAAAGAATATACTCAAAATGTTGTCAAATATTGCATCACAATACGAAGATGTATGTAAATCATTTATCCACACTGTTTTCTTCGTCTAGAACTTATTTTATGTTCTTGATGAAATGCTTACTCCTTGGGCCTGGCCAGAACAGTTTTGTGTATTTTTTACAGCACTCACAACAAGACGTCCTGAAGGACTCTACGGGGGCTAACATGAGGCCTCCTTTATGACAATAAACACAGGCCTGGTTTCTGAACATCGGGATTATGGCACGTGTGTGTGACATATGTGAACATTTTACAACTGCACTCTTCGACTATTGTACCAACTAAAGCGTTAGAGACCTCACGCAAGCATCTAGTGCACGGCAGACTACAATACATTTATTCATACTACTTCGTTGTCATACTAACAGTGACCCAGGGGATTTTATTCCCTACTGAAAACTGAATGACTCAGTAACAGCAGACAGAATGTTCTAGACTGGTCACGCTGTTGCGCTGCTTTTGCCCAATACTGATCAGACAAATCAAGTAGAACCGCCATGCCCACTGTTTCCCCATTCAGTTCTGACGATCTTTCAAAACACAAGCCGCAAATATGCAGCTCATCAGCTGACACTTGTTTAGCTACGCGTTAGCTTGTAGCCTACTGGCTCTGGCTGCTTTCGCATTCGGTCTCGTAAAAAGCTAATGTTAGCACCATGGAAGTATCCATGGTTAGCACTAGCTAGCAATGTAGCCACTTAGCTAGCTACTAAAATATACTCACCTTTGAAACTCTGAATTTGATACAATCAGTGTTACAGAGTACCAGAGATTGATAAGACACGTAATAATACGTTCACAAGAAGCGACCCCCGTAACCTCAACTAGTTCTAGTAAGCCGGCTATGGTGATGAAATATGCTAACACGGCTAACTAGCAAAGCTCTGAAGTTGTGGGCAGCAGCATGACGTTGAGAACGTTGCGAAGGCGCAGCGGCGAAACAAACAAACCTGTGTGACAGAGGCATCTTCGGCGATGGCGATTTCTTCTTTATCTTTCGGGGTTTTAACTGTGACCTTAATAATAGTTCCTTCTGAAGCTTCAGGTTTATTATTGTTGTTATTTCCAGGATCTGCGGCGCTTTGGTCAGCCATCTTTACTCCGCCGATGGAACAGCTCAGTCTGCGTCAGCTTCCGGGTCAGAAAAGGTCACCCGCCTTTCCAGAACATATGTCAAACGTTTATTCTTTCTAACAACTGACAAACATGCATTAGCTTATTTTAAAGACAACCAACTGTCTTAAAGTTATATTAAAAAGGGGTTAATAGGGGTAGCTATTACAATCCTGTTTACATGGCTCTTACTTGGAACATCTTGAAAAAAGTAGACAGCTCAGCCCAGTTATTGCATAAGTTCTTCTTGCCCACTTGTGCATCTTTATTGCTCAAGAGCCAGAAGAAGCCAGACTAAAATATTCCTGTAAAATGGTAATTAAGCCAATACAGGCCTAAATCTATGTAGTCTAACCTACTTAAAAGACAACGCTTGAGACATTTTTCCTGTATTAATTATTTATTATTCTACTCTGGGCACATATATTCCAGTGGATATTTGTCTGTCCTGATATTGTTATTAACTGTGTCTTGTATTTAAAAAGGCTTAAATTATAAGAGTAAAGGAAGGGGACAGCATTGAGCCCCTGCGCAGAGTGTGAGCACTGAATGCATATTGTCTGTTTCAGCATGATGCATTGAAACTCAATGTCCTGCAAACCTCTGCACATCCCCAATTCTGGAGCACACTGTTAACAAACAAACAAAACAGAGCATAAAGTCACATAGACCAGCCCTGCTCTGTGTTCCCATAGATCACATGTGCTGGGCCCCGGGTCGCTTCATTCAGGCACAGCTCACACCCCAAAGGATTTTGCTGTGATCAACAGAAACGCTCGGGGGACAACTTATGGTCATAGTATTGTCTGTGTCCAAGTGAGAAACTGCTCTCTTGACACTCCACTGTGTGTGTTTGCCTCAGAAAGGTGGGCAGCAGAGAGGTGCGCTCCAGATTCAAGGTAAGGCACAACAAATCACTGTGTTTTTCGGTTCTCTGGTGAAAAATTTAAGAATAGTTTTGCAACTGGACTACTGAACAAAAAGCTTTTGTTGTTTGACTTTATATAATGCACCAGTCAGGGAAAAGGTACATATATACACTGTATATGTCAGTTGTTCTATATTATTAACTGAAATAGAAAAAAACGACTAACTGCTATCTACACCTATGCATTGAACAGTTGCTCTGCGGTGGGCCCGTTGTCTCAGCTCAAGATGTACAGCTTTATGGGAGGGGGCCTGTTCTGTGCCATAGTGGGGAACATTCTGCTGGTGGTGTGCACCGCCACCGACTACTGGATGCAGTATCGTCTCTCAGGGAACTACGCCCACCAGGGGCTGTGGAGGTACTGCATGGCCAACAAGTGCTACATGCAAACGGACAGCATAGGTAAGACTCTGTTTATGGTCTAGACAGCACCACATGGAGATGCGCTTATTATGACAATTACTTAGGGTCACTAGCTCCAACAAGCCTTTGAGTGTATGATGTTAAGATAATCATAAAAAACTGTTAAAATATCAGGATCGGTTCTTGTTATAATTGCACCAAACCTTTCTATTGCTCTGGCAGCCTACTGGAATGCCACCAGGGCCTTCATGATCCTGTCAGGGATGACCTGTTTCGCCGGGATCATTGCTGGCATCATGTCCTTCTCACACTTCTCTTCCTTTGAGAGATTCAACCGTTCCTTTGCTGCAGGAATCATGTTTTTTGTCTCATGTAAGTCAGCTTGTAGTATTTTCATCAATATACACATGTAGTTAAACTGACATCACTCTTTCCTGTTTTGTTTTCAGCTTTCTTTGTTCTGCTGGGTATGGCCATCTACACTGGAGTGACAGTGAACTTCCTGGGAAGGCGTTTTGGTGACTGGCGTTTCTCCTGGTCATACATATTGGGCTGGGTGGCCATGCTCATGACCTTTTTTGCAGGTAAGAACAACAATACTATACAAAAGTCATAGACAAGCATTCCAGCTATCAGAATCTCATTTCACTAAATATCAAACAAAGAAGAAATTATAAAAACTAGGAGAATTTTTGGTAGGGATAAGCTTAAATTCTGACATAGACTTGTATCATCTTATTCAAAGGTAAATGATGACTTGTGCGTATTTTAGTCAGTTTAGTCTGTTGCCAAGCCTCTAGTAAGCTTCTTCAACACTCCTCATTGGATTTCAATGGTGATATAGATCCATACCACCCACACTGTAATTGTGTTATGGCCAGGAGATTTGAATGTAGTTTGCTGTTTTTCTTTGCAGGTATTTTTTACATTTGTGCCTACAGAATGTGTGAGTGCAGAAGAGGAAATGGCCCACGCTGATTGAAGATTAAGTGCATAATTAACATTTAAAACTGGACAATCCCAAAAGAATGAGCAACCACAAAAACATGCACTGATCGACAGAAAATAAGAGATGACGTGTGTGTTTACTCTTGATGACCAATGAAGAATTTAAATTCCTTAAAATCTTCTGCTTTGTTTTTATCTATTTATTTTTATTCATTTATTTATTTATTTATTTATTTTCTATTATTTATTTGGCAATTCAGTTTAATAAAGGTAGAGGTCCCTGTGTGTTATTTTAAGAGGTCACCAGTAGATGGCAGCACTTGCAAATGTACAAAACGTGCATTCACTGAAAAGTTGTTTAATATTTTGCTTTAAATAACACGATTGTATATGAATAAAGAGATTAGATATGGAACCTGTTTTCAATTATAATCAGAGTTTTATTATATATATATATATATATATATATATATATATATATATATATATATATATATATATATATATATATATATATATATATATATTTCTTTATAAACAGGAAAAGTCATTTTACTCACTGCAAACACAATTTTCCCTGAGGAGTGGGTTTTATCGTGTTATGAAAAATACAATGCAGGAAGTCTCGTGAGAGTTGGAGCATTGTTTACACAGTTGGGAGAACAGATCAAAGGTAATGCGCTGTTACTGTCACTATATATTTTTATTAGGCTATACAAGATGCTGAAAAGGCCGTTACCTCCAGAAACATGGAGGAGTAAAAGAGTAAATAAATATTCTTAAAAGACTGTAGTATTGTATGTTGGTTTGATGTTCCAATAGAAGAAATTGCTGGATAAGAAAAAGCTTTTTATTTTAGTAGGGGTCAAAGGAAAAGGAGTGGCAGTAAAAGTAGCCCAGTTATTGAGGTCACGTAATAATAATGTGATAAATCTTTATTTAAAGGTGCACTCCGTAACTTTTCAGCTTGGGGGTCCACTACCACGGAAATGCTACTGCTTTGCCTGTAATGTTACACAATATGGTTAAACTTATATAAGGTGCAGTTATTCAACTAAGGGTGTTTTTTATTGCTTAAAAATACCTTTATTTGTACTGTGAGTGGGGTCACCTCTTCACAGATATCCCCTGTAAATTGGCCTGCTTGTTTCTATGGAGTTTGAAAAGTTTAATGACATATGTTGAAACACTGCAGGTATTAGAAAAGTTAGACAATGCACCTTTAATACTATAGGTCTACCAAATCGACACTTCCTTATTCAGGACAATTTTTACTTATTTTCTCTATAACCTAAGAAAACAGTTCTACGTTTACTTTCACTTCTCATATTTATTAACCTATAACTTCCACCTCTTTTTCACATCATATTTGTTGAAGTTCCCCTGAGAAAAAGCAGAGTGTCGGTAAAGCATTTGTTGGACCGGGGTACTTCCTGGGTGGAGTTTTGGACAATGATTGTTTCACTTTAATAAGCACTTCCTTTGGGTGATCAGCTGAGAGGAACGGACTAAGGAGGCAGTGACGGTGGAAATAAATGAGCGGCTTCGTGCATGACGCAAAAACAATGAGCGAAATGTAAACAGAACAGAACACTGGCTGTCTCCCTGCTCCTAGTGTATAATAAAGTACATCCAACAGACTGCTGCTGTGTGTGAGATAAGCCACCATAGTGATCGTTGTTCTCTGGATTCTTTGGTGAAGCAGCTGAACCTTTACTGAGCTAGAATCTATATTATTACACATTTCTTAAGCCTGTCACATTAATACATTTTGAAGCATGGTATATTGCTACAAACGAATGTTATAATAGACTATAATATTGAAAGTACTTTATACCACTGACACAAAGCAGAACAATTCCAGTATCATTGAAAGAGCTGCAACAAATATATAGCAGAAGAAAACGATAATGAGCCATAGAAGTGCTTTACTCTCTACAGCTCACATTTGACCTTATTACTTAAAAATGGCAAAAATCTCCACACTATTGAATACAGCTTGTTTACACAATAAATATTGAGCCCTAAAATATATTGTTCCAGCTTTCATATATTGAACAATAAGTTGCTATAAAAAATTATCCTGACAGGTCTAATATTTCTATCACATAAAGTCAGATATCCAGGGTAAAACTACATAAATGCATGCAAAGTTATGTAAACCAATAGAGTTTGTTTGCAAGAGAAATAACTGTTTTTACTTTTGTTGCATTTACTGTTAGTAGACTACCTTGTTAGTAACACTTTACACTATAGAGTCTTAATAAAACATAGTTTTTATTCATAATGGACAAATGGTTTATAAATAATGATTCAGGCCTAGTAGCTGAAGGCCTGCCTAATTAAGGGGTTAGGAGTTAGACTCTGGGTATTCATTAAGTAATTAAACCTGAAACATTCTCAATAAAGTATTTGTTTTGTCTTTCTACACACTTTAATTAAGCTGATGTTATTATAAGGTGCTACCCTATATTTGTGCAGTAGCTTTGTCAGTTATTTTTCTAGTAGTTACAGTAACAGATAGCAAAGCAGATTGTATCTCAGCTTCATGTCACACAAATCCTCTAACACACTCATTTGTTAATTAATAAAAAGGAAATCCTTTTTTGGTCAGATGTCAAACTCCAAAGAGCTTTTTCCACCCGAGTCTGGGATTTACCTGCCTTTTGAATGGAGGGAAGTGTGCTCATAGCTGCTTTAACTATAGAGTCTACGTCACAGCCTTTCAGATTCACAGTGGAAAATATTTTTACAAGTATGCCCCATTGTTTGGAGAGTACATGCCCAGTGCTCATTAAACGTTTACCAGATGCAAGAATGCAAGGTGAAGGTCAGTCCCCTGGGGAGGAGCAGCTCTGCACCGGACCTGGTAGTTTTCACCCACCTCTTAATAAGACCTATTAAAGTAACCTGCTTTTGGTCTGGCTTCAAACAGGCACAGGGAGTCTTCAGTTCACTCTCACTTTCAGGACAGATGTGCATCCAGGTGTGGAACTGAACAAACCCACAACACAATTAGTCCATAAAAACTCAAACTGGAGCTCTTAAATGGTTGTGAGTGAGAGTCAATATCAAGTTGAACTGTATATTCTTTATTATTGTATTTATTTATTTATTTATTTATTCATTATTTGAATATGGCAAACTATGATTATTCTGTGTTCATCTGAATTGTTATATTATTATTTGAAATTAGGGATTAAAACTTACAACAGTGGATGTAACCAAGCATGTAGCACTGATAGTGTTAATTCTAGTCTTAATTTTTCTGTTGTTCACTTTTGCTGGATTTTAATTCACATCACAACATTCTTGGACTATAATTAATTTATGGAAGAAGGGAAAATTAATGGTGCATTGTGAAACTTTTCTGGAGGAGGATCCATCAAACGCTTGTCTCCATCGAGATGTTAATGTTTTGTCTGGAATGTTTCACAGTTTGGCATTAAACCTTTCTATCTTCGTGGAGACCAAACCGGACCAAGTTACAGGTCAGATCTGTGGAGAGGCAGCCTAGCTCACTGTCAGAATGTTTGTTTTTCTAGGTATTTTTTTAGCAATAAAACCATCTGTAATTGAATAAATGCAAGGCAGAGCTGTTCAATGTCATACCATGGAACATTCCAGGCAAAGCAATTACATCTCTATAGAAACAAGTACATGATGAACACCTAACCAAATAGTTACATAGTGTACCTTTAATTTATATTTTTTGTAGTTTAGTAGTTGTAGTTATTAGTAACTAATATCTCGCATGTATCACATTCTAAACTCAGAAAACCAACAGTATATTAACCGAACCCTCTCTGATGCACCAAACCTGTGATATACATCCACACTATCGCTCTCAGTGTAAACGCTGACACCGCAGACTCTTGCACAAACTGTGTCCGGCCTGCCACATCAGATTTGTTTACCCCTCAGCAGATCGCTCATTTTGGCTCACTGACCCCAAATATTAGCAAAACTCACACTCACATTCACGACACAAAAATAACTAAAGTACATACTTTTCAAGTATTTTTTGAGGCAGTTTATTTTATGTGTATCTCAATCATTGACAAATATGCACAACAGAAATAGGACAAAAGCATATCATTTACACCTTTTATAAATAAGTCAGTGGATATGAAGTGTTTTTTTCACATTATACTTTATGGAAAATACAGTTGAAGTGAGAGAGCTCTGCAGTGGATGAACAGTTTCTGTCACAATATAACAAAATATAATGGAAATGTGTTACATTAAGTTTGGTCCAAGGAAAAGACGATGTAAAGATGGAGGATGCACCTTTGGTCTGAGTCTGTGACGACTTCTGCATTAGGTCATACCATACAGTTACGTTTATGTATAAATAAGCACCAAAGAGCTGTATTTTATGACAATAACAGTAGTGACAAGAAATGGTTTTGACAGCTGAAGCTAAAACATTCGAAATGATCACACACAAACCCATATTTTACAAAATGTGAATAACAATTGTACACATTATCTCCAAAATTAATTTGATCAGAGCCAGAATTTGACAGAAATGAAAAGGTGTTTTGAAGTTGGAGCAAATATGTAATTTACAGTGAGTGGTAATAATATACCAGTTGAGACTTCAATTAGCCTCCAATAAAAACTTCATAAGTGAAGTGAAGAGAAGAAAATGTTTGCAGCCATAACAATTACAGTGGGTGTGGGTGCTTGTAAACAACATATAGATCGGCTGTACACTTTAATGTGACCTGGCAACTGCTAGCTTGAAATATTGTGACAAGTGAAGATAGACTGGCTTTAGAAGCAGTGGTCAATCAAGGTACAAAATGCTGTTCTGTGATAGCTACAACAATATATACAAAAATAAAATACAATTCTTTAAACAAGCAAACAGTAACTATTGTAATGTTATTTTAAAGTTGCACAGAAAACTGATTGTTCCAGGTCTGACACCTGCTCATTTCTATGAAACTGCTATTACTTTATCTAGAATGTTCCACAATATGGCAACTTAATATTTCTTCAATTACAGTTGTATTGCTCACTGTGAGTTGATTTGCACCTTCACAGATCTGACCTGTAACTTGGCCATGTGGGGTCCCCTGCTTGTCTCTGTGGAGACTGAAAAAGTTTAATACCATACTGGTGAAAAAAAAAAAAAATCCAGGTAAAGCAATAACATCTCAGTAACATCAAGTAGGTGCAGACCCTCAGTTAGAAAAGTTACATAATGCACCTGTAAGCTTAACATGAATATCTCGTATTGGTCTTAAATACAGTAGAATGTTTGATTTGGAATAAGACCGGGCTGAGGACGAGACTGAACATGTTTTGTTGTCGTTTTGTTAACAGTGAGGATTGTCATTATTTTATTTTAAAATCCTTTGCCAAAATATCAGTCAAACAGTTAAAACAGGGTCATATAATAGAAATTAAACTGATTTGAGTTTAAATATTTAAGACTTCCTGTTTGATTCTTGGTCAAAGTGAAAATCTCACCCTCAAAGGCACTGAGGTTTCTCTGTGACAGTGAGTGTGAGAAACCGCTGCCTGGAGCTACTGTTAACTCAATGAGAGTGTTAAATTGAGCGAAAGAGACAACTGTGCTTGTGTTTGAATGACAGCCCCATGCCACAAAGGTCATATCAGACATTATATCATGTTACTCACTAGACCTGGGTGTGCCTAATAGCTTTATGTCTCACCTCTAACAATCTGCTTCTCAAATTTCCTCCTCTTTGAGCTGTCCCCTTGGCCCCCTCTGTCTGGTTTATAGATTTAGCCTGAAAGCTTTGGGCCGATAATAGACCTTTTTAAATAATCTTTTTTGTCAGGTAAGGCTGTTTTTTTTTTTTTTTTTTTTTTTTACTTTTTAATACTCTGGTGGTTTAAAACTCTGGTGTTTAAAGATGGTTGTTCCTGGGGAGGATGAAAAAGAGTTGTTTGTGGAGCAATAAAAACAGAGGAAGCCGTGAAGGTTGACATGTTAAGGGGAGTTTTAGCGACCCACACTGTAAATGGGTGTGAAGAGGATTGATCTTGTATCCCAGGAAACATGGTGGGTCCACTGGTAAAGTTCACGTCAGTCAGTGCGGTGTAAGGTAAATGTCCCATGAGGATTTAAAATGTCTTTATTTGCGTTTGCGATGGTGGTGATGGTGGTTGTGCATGTCCTCCATTGTAATTCTGCCCCAAACGCCAATCACAAAAGCCTCAATTTCACACTCATTTTCACCCCGGGCAATTCGGAAGTAGCCATTTTCACCCCAGTTCTTTCCCCAGGAGTTGGCGGCAATCTGAAAGGATAATGGATACAGGATTAGCGGTGACAAATTATTATCTACAGTATCAAAGTTGTTCTTTTGAAAATAACAAAAATTGGAATATGAAGTATGTTGTTTATAACAAGACAGCTATCAAAATTTACAAGATGGAAGGTAATATTTCTGCAAATGGGTACTTGTTTGGGGGTGTAACACCTTTTCTGTTGCGTGGTGGTGAGCATTTTAGTGTTTTTGTTGAAATACCAAAAAATTTGACAATTAAAAAAAAAAACTACATGTAATTTATAAAATACATATTTGTACACAGTTGAGTTGAATTTTTAAAGTAGAAAAATATTATTTAGAAAGTGACAACAATGGTCGTCACATCATGAACCCAAATGTGTGTGTAATTTTACAGTTTTGAGCAATACTGGAATCTCAACCAATATGTAAAAAATAACACAATATAGCAATTTATTTTCTATAAAAAAGCTAAAAAAAACATGTTAACAAAAATAATAATTCAAACCATACCCAGTATTTTTGTATTCTTTCGTCAACTTTTCTCTCCTCTCCCCACCTGAAAATTAAACAAGTTCAATTAAATGTACAGAACAAACAGTAAAGAAATGTTAAAAATTACATCAAAAAGGTGTCTCCAATCCACTAACCCTAACCCAATCCTCTATATGTTAGCATTTTATAAACAGGCAGTTTCCAAAGTGCTGCAGAGAGACAGGTAAAAACAATATGAATAAAAGCCACCACACACTACAATAAAATTTGCCTGATTTAGATGGCGATTTGTTTCCCTGAGTTCGGGGCGGCATGACCCGACTTTGTGTCTTCGTATGCAGTTTTGAAGCAACTGTGCTCCTCAAGTGTATGGTGTCACTGTGACTCTGAGCTGCTCTGTCAGATCGTAACCTCCAAACATCAACAGTGCTATGGCAACAGCCGATAAAGCTTCAGACAGAGTGACGGAAACTGAGGCGCAAGATACAAACTCAGGAAATAGCTAAAATAATTATTACTCACCTCTTGTAAAGTTGTAAATGTAAATCGCATCCATATTATCTATACAATCTGTACTCTGCAAATAATGACACCCAGTCTGTGTGTCTGTGTCTGTCCACATCCACACAGCGCACGGATCGGGGTAAAGCTGCAGATTAGCGATAGTGGCTCTACTTCCTGTGTACTTTATTGTCAGCCTTCTGTGCATTAATATCATATATCTGAAGTATTGCACCACACTTCACAAATAATAATGACACAATTTTGACTTGCCTCTAAACTAGAAGTGCAGTGCTCTGACCTCTTGAACACTTAAGAGGCTCAAAGCGAGTGGTTTTACAGTAGACAGGAAACAGCTGACACGACGTGCGCTCACAACTTTGCAGCTTGTGGTCCGCAGACATGTCCCGCTGCAGTATTCGTGATTTGAGATTGTATGAGATTTAAAATCTCATACAATTCGCCTTGTGTCTATGGTGTGCTTTTTATAGTATGTTTAAAAATCGAATGAATCCTTAAGAAACAAAAATTATTAAATGCTCAAATGCTTAATCTAACTCGTTCTAAAATAATAAAACCAGTCAAATCAAACAAGATAAACAATTAAAAAGCAATCAATAAACAAACTCAATAAAATTAACTAGGACCACATAGTTAGGCCTCTATTTTAAACTTCAGGGAGAGTTGACACTCTAGGAATGTGTTCACCTTGGACACTGGCATTACTGACAGATAAAAGCAGGAAGGCGTGTCAGATATGCTCAAGATTGGAAAAATGCTTCATCAACATCCTGAAAACATGGTATTTATGGCTGGACAACACCTAGCTGCACTTGTACATCATTCCACTCCAAAGAACATGGAATTCCCCTTTTCCTGTGCCGTTTCCTCACTCCGGCATGAAACAGGAAGCAAAGAGGAGGTCTCAGGGAAGTTAATTCAATCTTGTCAACGTCCAGCCACCAAACATGGACTGTGTAAAAGCAGACGCACTATCTGTGTCTCCTCAAGTCAGCTTAAAAAAGTCAATTTCCCATCATACCTTGCTCTCAAGTTCCAGCTCTTGTCAACTGTTGTTGACCTTTAGACGCCTAATTTTGTCAAAACAGACTCCCAAAGTCATCCTGTTTTTCACTTGGAGTCTTCACTTTCCCAAGAGGCTTGTGGTGCCCAATCATTTGTTATCTTTTATAAGAGCAAGGAATGCTGGGAAAATTGTGATCCTGGTTTTGGTCCGTGCCAAGTCCAAAGGCCGCAGCCACACCACATGAGCCATGCTTCTATCAGCAAGTGACTTTATTAGGGTCTGACATCATAAAACAGATACACAGTTGTGTAAACAACTGATGTCAACCAATCAGGAGCTTTTTGTTTCCATCCAATGCCACTTTTAGTTTCAGAGATACCTGCAGTGGGTAGGGTCAGACAGAATCAGACTCTAATCACGGCACATGCCCTCTGCGAGCCTGTGTGCCCCTGACCTCTCCTCCGGGGGCACTGATCCCATCTCTGTCCGGTGCGTTCAGGATCAACACAGCAGACAATACTCTTTCCAGAACACTGCGCTTCAATACAGTTTTAACAAACTTTCCCAGGGTCCAGGCTTAAGCCAATGCACCGCTGTGGGCTTTACATTGAGCAAACACACTCATGCTCGTGCAGGCAGGTCGAGGCTCAAAAAGCTGTCCTCCATCCAACTGCCCCAAAGGAGAAGAGGCATAGCATAGAGGACCAAAAATTACATACTTAATAAATGAATACAATAATAAATGTTGGAATGTATCAAATTAAGTGGTGAATAAATTATGTTGTGTTGCGCATGTTCTATGTTGGTTGCAGTAGTGGTTGAGGTGGCATTAGTAGTGTCCCAAATAGTAGCACCTGCCTGCACATAAACAGGAGAGAGGAGAGCTCAATGTTCTGTCTGTCACAATCAAAACCAAAATTTGGTTGGTTGGCACAGGTTGTTGTTATTTACGTTGTGGAAGTCCATTCAACAAAATATCTTCATGTGGTCAAAACTAATAATGCTAATCTTGCAGATTAGACCCTATGAAATACATTGCGTTCTGAAATGCATGTGAGAATTGTATAGAAGTTGTTTTTCTTTTAAAACTGATTTTACCTAAAACTCTAACAGCTTTGAAGATTTTACAGTTATTTTGGAAGACTAAAGACTAGTTGTCTGTCAAATCAAGATGACTAAACACAATAATAAATACTAAATGTATATTGCTAGATATTGCTTTGTTGTGATCATCTCTATTTGAAACCTTACGTAAAATTTTTATGGGAACACAAGAGACGTCGGTACAAACAGTTTTACATGAAAACATTTTTCAGACCACTGTGAGCTGTGAGGCATGTTATTTGAACAAGGTAAGTACAGGTCTGTGGATAAAAGTTGGGTGTTTATGTTGAACAAGCCTGTACATGAGTTGTTATCATCAAATGAATGCCATCAAACATATACATCACACAGACAGCAGCAGCAGTGTTTTGTCTTGATAAATGATAAATCAGATAAAAGCCCTTAGTCATAGCAATGGGGAATTTCTAAGTAACTCACATTTTGTCAGGACAAGCAAAAGCATTGTAATATTATTATTATTACTGTTCAATTTTCTACTGAAGATCACAAGAAGACAAGCAGTTAGAGAGTATGCAAACAGAGGGCTAATTGGTTTTCTTTCTGACACAAGAAGCTGCACTATTCTGATGTTATTTCTTCTTAGATTTATAGATAAATAAGTCATCAATTTTGTTACATTATTTTTGCTTCAAAAAGTGGAAGCCTGCCCAAACAGCTACAGGTGAGATGAAAAGGAGTGAATAGGAGGGGCCAGGGTCTCCAGGTGTGTCAGCCGTCTGCTTGCCTGCATATTTGTGGTTGTTGTGGTTTTTGTAGGAGGAGAACAGGAGGAAGAGGGGTTTGTCTGGACCCATAGAGGAGCAGAGACAAGGTGTGTCTCCAAAAACAATTGGAGGGGAGGGATGCATATTTATCTACTTGGTCATGACAGTGTAAGAAGTTAAGTTAACACAATTACCGCCTGATTCATAATAAACATAGTTGCAAAGAAGAAACACAGAAATTGCTCCAGTAATAATAAATACTTTGAAAGACCACAACAATGCTGCGCTAAAACAAGTTAAACATGCGCCATTTCAGAGGTAAGTGTTTGATTAATCATGATGATGCCATTGGAGCTCTATCTCACAGTGGACCTCAATGCTCAAACATAAGCTTCTTATTTAAACTCATATATCATTTTATCGCTGATATCATTTAAACTCAGCATTTAAAAATGTTTATAAACAAATAAATAATATAAACAAATATTGAAAGACATTTTCTAATTTGTGATCACTTAATAGGAGGGGGAATAAATGTTTATATTTTTTGTTATATTGCTCAGCTCAGTAATCCAATCAAATGGATGTAAATTTAAATTTAACAAACTTACCCAATGATTCTGACTGAGTGTGTCCCATGTTTGCGATAGTGAGGAGGCTTTGTGAAGCTGACGTCTGTGTGCTTGTAGATTCCACTCTTGTAAACAAAGAAGTCCTCATGCACCTCCATAATGGCTACAAAAGCAAAATGGTAATGTTAATGTGAAAATTCTGTACAAATTCTGACTGATTGCAGAACACACTGAAACACTATGTACCTAACCTCATTTGAACTTTCCACTAAACCAGGACGAAACAATGCAACACAATAGTCTTACACACACGTCTTTAGCTTTGTAAAAAAGGAACTTGACTTGAAGCCAAAAGTCTTTTTGGAAGGCTTAACAATAACCCAAAGACCTGGCATGGGCCCACGGAGCACACACACACCCACGTTTTCACATACACACGCTGTGTCTTAAGTGGACTTGACCATAGTCCAGATGGGCAGCAGACAATGAGGCGGGCCATGAAGCGAAGTCAGATTGACCCTGCACACACGATGGCCTACAGTTTCTGACCAGGTGTTAAGAGTTAAAGTTTAAAATGTGTTCTGAACTATTAGAAAGTCAAAGGTTAAGGGTCAGACGTGCCACCCAGCCCTCAAAGTTGCAAGCATTTCAAGTTGTTGAGTTGTGAGTCCACTGTGTGGACACTAACACACGAGGGAGCACTGTTTACGCTAAGATAATGTTATATTTAAGGAGGCAAAAACTTGAACAGATCATGTTACCTTGCACGGGGCCATTATCCATAATCTCCTTCATGATCTCCTTCTCCTATGAGATGAGACAGATAAAACTCATTATATGTCAGTTAGATGTGGAGGAGTGAAACAGCCTCTGTAAATGTTAAAAGTGAAATAGATTGGGCCTCCTCTTTTAATATCTAGCATATTGACTCCACAGACCTGTGGGAGACACAGATATTATGCAGTAATGATTGTAAGAAGCATTAGCATTAGCATCAGTTAACTTTGATCGATTCAGCCTGATAAAAGAGCAGTAATAGAATATTGATGTATTCGAGATAGATATTTTTGGTAAAGTATGACTGAAATAATGTTTTTCTCAATTTAGTGCTTGATATAATTATTTCACTGTCAGTAATAGAGTCTATCAATAACAACAAACAGCAAAATTCAATTTTACAAGTCATTTGATACAGGAATAAACATATGGCCTAAAATTGTGACCGGTAAACAGGCTAAATGCACTCAGCAATAAACAAATTTAGAAAACAACTGGCAAGAATTGTAACATTTACAGAGTATCCTGTTGTAGGAGCTCAATATGCTGTATAATAAATTTTCTGCCTTTCAGAGCCCTTTGGAGCTGTGTCATAGCTTAAAATTTTCCCATATTCATTTATAGAGAACAAAAATGCATGACTAATGTCCACACTGGAGAAACATGTGAGGGGAATTACATTATATCTGAGCACAATGTTGTATGAATGCTGTTACACCACAGTGTTTACAGGAAGTGGCAGAGCAGGTGGTGGATGCATTACTTACATTAGAGGAGAGCCTGTACGGAGGAGTAGACTGGTAGATATCATTGTGGTAGTTGTGTGTGTTGGGACAGCGTTGTGTGGCCTGCCTCTTCCCCCGTCCCACTGAGCGGCTCTGCATCATGCAGCGGGCTACCTCAGCAGGGGTCTGCTGGGGGGGTCTATAGGGGTAGCAGTCCTCAGTGACAACTCTGTAAAACATGAGCAAAAGTCAGAAAACTGTCTGTGAAATAAGCACAGATTAAGAGGCCTAATAGTGGAGTGTACCCTCTGCGCCGGAGGTACCACCAGGCCCCATCGATGCGCCCTCCTGCACAGCCCCCCTGATTACGAGTGTCACAGGAAATCAGGTTCTGGGGGGACAGTTGTGGTGTCATGTGACCCATGGACTGGATGGAGATTCGGTCTGAAGCCACAGCTAAGGAAGAGCAACAAAGTTTTTTAATTAACTATTTCTTGAGGTTTACAGACAATTCATGTAGGAAGTACTTAAGTTCAGTTTATTTTATTTTAAAGACACTGTTTTATAACCAACCTGCTGTGGAGAAGGCCCAGGATGCTGCACAGTTCCCTTGGTCCAGAGGCTCATGGATCTTCCCAGGCCACTTCTCAACTGAGTTGAAATAAAGAGGAAGCTGCTCGCTCTGAGGATCCATGTTCATCTAACAGAAACACCACAGCATCTTTTGTTATTTTTTCTGTTAGAATTGAAGATAAATTATGTTTTGAAAGATTGCAGTGGAAATTTGGGATTACAACAAACTATTCAGCTCTTGTCTTTGCACCACAGTGGTTGGATCATGGGCTGATTGCATAAGCGTGTTAATCAAGCATTGTGCAGAAAGGACTTATTCACATGCAATTAGGAGCACTCAGCCTCCTGTCAATCTGTAAGACAGTGGAATTGACAGCAACCTTTGATTCCCATAGTCACTACCATTTTTGGACACTCTCTTGGAAGATGGGAAGAATGTGTGTGTTATATGTTTTCAATAAGAAATACTGCAGTGAAGATAAATCCTCATTATGTTATGGCTCACATGACTCTGGAAATGCCAAACATACTCTGCTCATTAATCTCTGTTTAAGGTTGGGTGAACTCCTAATCTCTCAGTTATGTGTGATAACAGAGCGCACGCTTCTGTTAAACGGACGCCCCCCTCTTGAAGTATGCAGAGCCAGACGGACAGCTGATACATGACAGAGGAATGTGCCACTATCCCAAAGGTGAAAGGTCGAGGACTCTGGCTTACGACACATCCTCAAGGCATTGAAAAGCTAACGATGATATAGCATGAAGTTTATGGAAGATTTGTAATGAAATTGTCTAATTTGGGGCCATTTCAAACAAAGTGTGCAGAAATGAGGGTTTATGATGAGATGAGATGTAGTGGCGCAAGCAGGAACTTGTAGCCATCGGAAACTGAAAAGGGGTAGTTTTGGGACACGGCGTATCATGAGAGTCGGGAGTACGTGTGATGGAGAGATGGAGGTGCAGACAGAGGAGGAGGCTGCTCTTTATGCCTGCCACCATCCCCTCTATCTTCTGTCTGCTGCTCTGGGTCTGTCTTATGTAATCTGTCTGGGCGCAATGTAAACAGAGACGCCATGGATCACAGTGGACTGAGGGCCCAGACGCAGAGGGAGTCACCTGCTCAAGAGCCACCATAATTAAGGGAAAATGTTTCTGTCTTATAGAATGGGGCAACAGTAGCTCAGTATGGGGCGACAGTAGATAAGTTGGTAGAGCTTTTGTCTTGTGATCTGATGGTTGGCGGTTCATATCCTGCTTTTGATATTAAAAAAAAAAACATAACTGGTTGAGCGGTCAGATTCACTGATCCACAAGTTGGCATAGCAATCCCAGCTCTCATAGAATAATAATGCCATTGTGTCCTTGGGCAAGACATTTAACCCATCTCGCCTCCAGTGTCTGTACATTGGTGTGTGTGAATGGATGAGTGGTTCTTTGATGTACAGCGCTTTGAGTGCTTTGAAGGTGTGCTATATAAAAATATGACAATTTACCATTTACTACAGAATTAGGACAACAACAACAGTGCTCAAGTTACTAATATATGAAGACAAGTTACAGGTCTGACTGTTCAGTGTCTAACCTACATTATTGCCGTTAATACTAATATGCTGACATATGCTGGCACCATATGACATATGGTGCTAATAATCTATACATTTTTATTTCTGACCAATGTATCTATAATGTTCATATTCCAGAGGTTCACATGTTACAAATTGCTATAAATAATCCTGAGAGAAGTGTATTGAAGAAATGGGTGTGTTTGGGATGTACAGGGTGTTTCCAATGGAGAAATGTAGTCAGGGGAAATTCTTTAACTGAGATTTCCTAAGGAGGGAAGGATATTGTCTTCCTTGTCTCAAGCAAGCAAAGCCTCCTGGCTGTACCAATATTATTTTATGTTCCAACCAACCCCCAAAGTGAATGTCATTTTCTATCTTTATGGAATGCACTTCATTTTGTTGAGACAAATTCCCTAGGTGTTTCTTGATACTTAAGGTTGGACGGTGATGCTGTTCTTAGGGGGTTCAAAATAGCAAATATCTGGGATTTATTAAAATATATAAAATGAAATGAGAAATACCTGTATCTCATTCATGTTAAGGATTGTCCTGGAGGGTCTGTGTGTGCCCAGTCTGTAGCGAATGCCCTCATCCAGGGTCATGCCATAAAACTGACTGTAGTTAGCAGCCCTCCACCTGAAAGAGCAGGACACTGAAGTCACGAACTACATGTACTATGGATCTTATCATCAGGGTTAGTCCTGTATAGCCCATACCCATAGTTTCCTCTGTTTACTGCTTGAATCATGTCCGCCTCCATCAAACAGGAGTTCTGCTCACACTCCCAGCGCCCAGTAGAACCGCATGTACTAGAAAAGATACACAAAAATAACACAGTTAAGAGACTGGTTTGACAATAATAATTGTAAAGTTTATGCAGCATTACAGACACCCAGGGGATATTCATATATAAAGTTAGGGTTAGGGTTATATGAGCCAAGTTAGCCTCTGAAAATAATGGACAGATGGAGACAGAATGAGATGGAGATGAGGAGGATAAAGGCCACGTGGAGCCTTTTAAGGCAGCAGCACACAGCTCCATTTTTAGCCAAGAGAAAGATCCCTGAATACAGAGGACGGGGCGATGACAAAGTGGATAAGAGAGCAGGATATTAACAATGACATTTACTTGTTTTTTGGGTATGTTTAAAAATAGCAAAAAGTGACCTGCGCCTCAACAGCTGACATTTATTTTGAATGCATAACTTCAGTTGAAAAGTTCGACATTTGTGCACGTTTGCTGACAATTAGAGTACACTGTTGTTACACCTGTTAAATTATTGAACTGAGCCCAGACATATTTTATCATCTCACACACTCAGATCTAATGTCCTTTTCAGACACACTGGATACCATTATGTGTACCTCCTCTATGTTCACACTTCGCACACAATACCTCCCTGTGACTCCCGCAACATCATCCCACAGTGGGACACAAGTGCAGGAGTACAGATAGTGACTCTTGACCCCTCCCTCCCATCAGAAGATCGCAGGAATGCACACAGCAAAGCGCCACTGGGTCATGAAGCATAATAAATTAACACAAGCGCAGGTATAATGACAGAGCCACAGAGGCACACGGACAGAGCGTGGTTGCACTTTTGAGTAATGAGGCCTATGTGGACAACGAGAGACCATATTTTACATTCCAGGTCACACTTGATAATCCCAATGACTTCACCTCTGGGACATGGGGATAACATGGGGATAACATGGGGATGTCACTTATATAACACACAGAACCCACGCAAGGTGTATCAGCTCACATGGCAACAGATGTTTGAGTTTAAGAACACATACTATCAATATTATGAGGGAAACAGCAGTAGGAATGTTCTAGTAGACGGGAAAAAATAATCTTGTTTTATAATGAATCCACTGTTTATGTCATCTCTGGGAATATGATCTGGTCATGTCCCATCACATTTTTGTTCAAGGTGATTGATATCACAAATCCATCTGTGATTGCAATATTTTCCCAAATATGTGTTATAAACCCAAATAGGTCACGCTCAATAACTATGGAATGGTGAAATGTTCCTAGCTCATAAAGCAATCAACAGCCATCCTGCTATTTAAGCACTTTACCTCTATCAGCAATATTTTGCTGACAAGATATCACTATTTCGCAGCACTATCTGTTGGCCAGGCGGTTTGTGTCGGAAGTGCAGATAGAAGTGTGGGGGTTTCTGTGCCGTTAATGAGAGAAAAAGGGAGAGTGGTGTGTGTACTGAAGCGGAAGCCATGTCAGACTGGGAGGATGGCCTTTTGGTAAATTATAAGTGTAGCTATCTTCTTTCGTACCAGTAACAGGGGGCAAATTTTCAAGTATCTATGTGTAGTGCTTTAGTAAGTCTGTTTGAACGTGGGTGGGTATGGGACTTCTTTGTCAGCAAATCAATTCTAATCTGAAAATATCTTGACAAGTCAGTCCTTGTGCACTTCAGCCTGTGGCCTGCAGTCCATCAAATCTCAATGAGAGCCATTTCCAGACTGTCTCTTATCTGCATAACCATCAGGACCTTTCAGTCAAATGTAATAGAGCTGTCTCAATACGACTTAGGACTTCCTTTTGACAGAGGGCAGTTACTGCAGTTAAACAGCTGTTCCATGCCAGGAGCTGAAGAGCTAAGGGTCAACAATGTTAAGTTTGGACATGACATGCCCTGGCAAACAGTGTCAGTGTTCTTCAGTTTGAATATAGTGTACAAATATATACTAAACCAACAACAAATTACTATTTAAACATAAGACAGAGACTTTGTGACACTGTAGTGAGAAAACCACAGTCGAGAACAGGTGAGGAATGTAATTCATCTGTCTTAACTCTTAACTTCCTCTCCTCCGTTTGAACGCCCACTACAGGAACAGATTTAGCCCTCCTTTAGGACATGTATATCTTACAGACATAAGGAATGTTTTACAAGCTTCTCCTAACTTGCTTAGACAACCTATCAGACAATTATGGTATGTTGTTAAGGCTTTCCATAGGTATCAATTATATGGTAACCGTAGAATGCTTTACATTTTTCAATAGCAGAATTGCCTCAATAGTTCAAATATTTTATACCTTAACATGCACTTTAGATAACACATTTATGAACTGCACATTTTTAGACTACATGTTTTATGAATGTATGTTTATATGAATAGCACCTTTATTTAGCAGCAGATTCATTCATTCATTTTTGTGTTGTGTAGTTACTAACATAGGGGAGGAGATAATGACTTTTTCAGAGAAAAGCAATAGTCACATTATAGATGCCTGCAAGAAAATGCAAAATGCAGATGTAGGTTGCTTTGAGTTTGTCTGACTCTTTATTCACCTGTGGGAACATTTAGATTTTATGTGCATTAGGAGACATGCAGGAGAAAGGTGTGTTTACCTACCATAAATTGCAGTTCTCTTTGTAGGTTTGCCCCGTTAAGAACTTGTTTCCATTTCGTTCACAGGTGCCTGAGGAGACAGAAAATAGCAGCTTAATTTATTTGATGTGTGGCATTACTAATGGCTCTTCGTGTGTGTGTGAATGTGTTGGTCTGGGTGCAAGTGTACACACAAAATATGTGAGCTCTAAGAAGCTCTGAGCTCCATAATCCACAGTAGGAATGTGGCGTTGAGTCTTTCCTGCCTTCCCAGGCTTCCTCCATGCTTTAAACAGCTTATGTTCACCTTTATCTAATGAGAAGAGCAAGAATGTAGCCCACTCAATGCATCAATAATTAAACTGGGAAATGTTCAGTTCCTGTTGATAAAGTTCATTTTTTATTCAAAACATGACGTGGCGACAGTGACTCAGCTTTAGACATTCCTTTGGAGGGAATTTGACCCGAAACACTCACCATCTGATTCACAGAGAAGTTGTGTAAACAGCAGAGACTTGGTGACAGACTTTTATCTATAAAATCACTTATAGCCCAGGCAGCAGCCTGTGTAGATTTATTAAAGAATTCATGGCATGATGTTACAGTGTGAATTTACTGACAAAGTAAATGATTAACGTGAGGTCTAGCAAAGTGGGATTTATGGTATACAGCTGTCATGGGCAATCACAACTCACTGTAAAATACTAGAGTGCCAGATACAGCCTGTAGACATATAATTCTCCAGTACTCAACAGGTGATTTGATATGATAACTATTTAATTTCTCACAATGGTAATAAGCAGTTGAATCAGACTATGAATAACATTGGTGAGGAATAATATGTGGTCAGTCTTTAAAAGAACAACCTGTTGTGTAGGTGACTCTTCCATCCATCAGTTTTTTTCTGCTTATAAGTTTTAAGTCATGTTATAATGTTGTTACTTCTACAAAAACACACCTGAAGCTGTGTTTTGTTTCATCAACACATGTTTGAGTAACCCTTTATTATTAGTCTGTCTACATCTCCATCTCCGCCTTGGGTCATGTAGTTTTCAAGTTAACAGCTATCTTATTACTTTTTGTTCAGTAGATTGGCAATCCCAGGGCTGAAATTATCCAAATTATTGTAGTGAAGGTGTAAGGGGTTTAAAAACACAGAGGACCACTTCCTCTATTACCACATGACATCACAAGGTAGAACAGTGCTTTCAGTTTGAGAAGAATTAAAAATGGATGGTTCATGAATCAGAAAGTAGCATAGTATGGGTCCTTTAAATTGAAAGTGTCACCTTTTGAACCGCTTTGTCGCATATAGGAGCACATACCTGCTGAGACCTCAGTGTCACCCATCCCAGGCTTGGTGTCTCTGCCTCCACATAGCCCACATTCTTTGGCCTGACCTCCATTCATCCCTCTGTATACCCCTCCCCTCCTCCTGGGTTAATAAGAAGCTCACTGTTCCTTCTTCCCTCCTCAGGTAGTGCTCACTGGCACATTTTGCACCTTTGCATGTTAACCAGTGACAGTGAAAGCTTGTACAATGTAATAAAATGTAAAATTTCATCTAATTTCAAATTCATGTTTTTCCTGTTGATGTCAGTTTTTATGCCTTTACGCCAAATATATGTTTCTAAAACAGCAGTGATGTGCTTGTCACAGTTACTACTTTGCAGCAGGTTTAATCGACACAAAGTGTGGAGGTGTTTCATAAATCAACTTTGAGACATGCACCTGGACATTGTTTCAAAGCTGCTTTTATTACATCTGCCAAAGGACACAGATCCTTTATATTCATTAGCATTGGCTGGCACTGAAGTTTTAGGGTCAGTGTCAGTAACTGCTGTATTTTGTGAGATCAGTCATTTTAATTAAGTATTTGCCACTGAACAAAGGATCCAGGTCTTCACAGTGTTTGCCTTTGTGAGACAGACCTCTTCTAGGCTTAGGCCAGTCTATTCCATCATTTACGTCTTTATATGAGTGGTAGCAAATTCAAATGCATCTTTGAGTATTATATCTTAAAAGTAGTATTTCTTCCAGCACCAAAAATATTTGATTTATTATTGCCACTTCTTACCGATAAAAGGAGCCTGCACCCCCAGACAATGCCCCCAGAAGTCAGGACAGCAGTCAGACACTGTGCGGTTACAGAAGAGGTCACAGTAGCAGATGGTGTCCAGATATGGGACAGTGCACGTGTCGTCTCTGCCCGGACAGCAGCCTCCTCTCCTCTGGCAGTAAGAGCCATGAGGGTCCCTGATGCCTCCCATGTGCAGTGGGCTGGCCAGCTCCCTCTTGGTCCTTCTCGACAAAATCCTATCTGCAGTACCTTCACCAGCCACTATCAGCAGGGCAACCACAGTCAACAGGATGACTTTCATTGTGAGCTGTAAAACACACAAAAATTTTTTTATATTTTTAAATGGCTGTCTGTATGGCTGCAGAAATGTTTTTCCCATGGAAGGTGCATCGTGTAGGTGCATTCACATGTGACTTTTGCCAGCAAACCATCAAGTTTACTCTGTGTGGTTTTCATAAACATCAACTCAAATGGTAGACTGGTTGCACACATACAGAAACTAAAGATAAGGCTAAAATAAGCTTGCAGCACTGAGACTAAATAATCGACTGGGATTTCTCCCCCCCAACTTTCCTTAAAACAAGCCAAAACAAACAGTAGCTTTGTAAGAAGAAAATGTCGACTTGACCATTACTCTGTCCCCATAAATCATTCTGCCTCATGCTGTTCATAGCCAGTCAAAGGATGTCCAAAATAACTAACAAGATATTATTAAAGATTTGAACAGTAAAGACGTTGTGCTTCTTTGTAGCAGGAAGTCAGAGAAATAATAGACAATGGCAAGAAGCTGTCCTATTGGGGGAAATGAGTCATTAATAATAAACAGTTATATTTATTTATCAATATATCAAAGGTGAATGTCCCCCTGTATGGCATTAATTTATCTAACTTGCATACATGTTCAAAAATACATTGAATAACATGCATTCTTAGTGTGTTTGGGATTGCCACTGGCGTCACCTATTTTGTCTGTTTGAGCATAGCATGTTTTCCTGTATGTCTGTTTTGTGTTTGTCCAATGCACATGCCAGGACCCATTTCTGTCCACTTAGCCTCAACAAAGGTCACGTGTGTTTGTGTGTGTGCTGGACTGCCACTAAGTACAGATCCTATGGACAGGGTCAAATGATGAAAAGGGGTTGGCCTCTGCTTACATAAATCAAATCATTAATTATCCAATCAGATTCCAGAGCGTAATAGGTACCGTGCACATAAAGCAGTGCTCCTCAAAAAGGATCTTTGCTGGACTGTTTTCTGCATGACTGTGCCTTTAGTCCAAAGAAACACACACACACATGGGTTCACAGTGATGCACAAGCAGGCATATGGCCATTGGGATGAGCAAGTCTCTTCCTTTTACAACAAGTGTTTTGTTGTAGCAGCCGTGCAATAAAACACCCACCAGTCTGTTACTAAATGAGATGCTGTGGCCTTTGGGTCAAAATGTACCCACGTGTTGCTCAAAACACTGTTGCCTAAAGGTTAAGTTAGTACATGCTCACTGTATTACAGACAAGGTTTAAATAATAAAAACTAGATATACAACCCACAGACCCTCACCATGGTGGCATTAGCCCTATCTTGCTGCTGTTGTGTCTCTTGTGCGATCAGTCTATCTGGCAATGTTAATAAAGTCAAATCCTGAACACTTTTAAAAACAACTGGTACAAAATAAAACTGATAAATAAATGCAAAATTAATGCAGTAATCATGTGGCTAATAGTACAAAAAATCTCTACTGAGCATTTTACAAACTGACCAATCAACAACATAATAGTAAAAGCACATCATCTTAAAGCTGCACAAGAGAGCCTTTTTTGAAGATGATACTTTAATCATTTATCTCAGTTTCTCCTCCTGTGTTCCAAAGCCAGACCACCATATGGCCCATCAATGCAGGGGCAGCTGTAGTCATATTAGTGGTCCCATTCAGAGGGACAAGTGTTATGAAACAGCAAGAGAGAGAGAGAGAGAGAGAAAAAGAAAAGTCCAGCTCAAACAAGTGACAACATGTAAAACTAAATGGTTCCTTAGAATGGCAAGAATCAACAAAACATTTCTTAGGCTCTTTCCAGTACAATTTAATATCGCAATGTTTTGATTTAAGTCTTAGCAAGTCCAAGCATAGCAAGTGATCTCAGTGCAAACAAAAGTGCCCAAGTAGAACACCTTTAAGGTGTGTAAGGTGCAAGATTATTTCAAAACATATTCATGGAAAGGCTGTTCATTTTGTTTTCGCATTTATCATTTAATTTCAGCTACAGTTTCGATCTTAATCACTATGTAGCTTTTCTAGGAGGGGTTTATGCCACCTGTTTGCATGGTTATTATTGCTTTGCCTGGAATGTTCCATAATATTGCATGAAATTCATTCATGTTTAATTTATTCAACAACCGGTTTTGTTGTTGCTAAAAAATACCTTTAAAAACATTCTTATTGTGACTGGGGTCACTTCTAAACACACCTGTAAATTGTCCTGGTAGTGTCACCTGCTTGTCTCCATGGAAAAAACTCTGTTTAATGCCATAGTGTACAACATTCTAGAAATAACACCTCAATGGAAACAAGTAGATGGTAGAACCACCATTGAACAGTGTACCTTTAACCCATGTATAATAATACCAATGCAGGTGTGACCAACAACAGGACCAGTCCAATGACAGGTAAGTGAAGGGTGGGCATTATCAGTCGGCTCTTCTAACTACACAAGCTGAACTGTCTGAACTCAGTAACCTTCAAATCTGTCTGCCATTGAGTGTAGACCAAACATTTTATACATTTTACAATTTTACACCCACAAAGTAAATATGTTGCAAATGTGAAAGCTTTACAGAGATTAGAACAAAGAATAATCTAAGTAGGACAAGAATGCACGAGGCTAAAGAAATATAATTGAGGTAACATGAGAATAGTGAATGCACCTGCCGAAAAACTAGCTGAAAAAAGAAAGCAGGAATAAGTGAATGCTTACCTTGAATTGAAGTAAACTATCTTTTATAATCCTTGTGTGTTGCTTCAGAAGCCACAGTCAGGTGAATCTTTGGGTAAAAGGTCTTTCTCAGAGTGTCCTCCAATCTGCTCTGTCACTCTCTCTATATAGTGCACACAAACCACTCCCACTCACACCCCTGCTGTCCGGTCCCTGGCTGCTACAATGCCAGCCTGTTACACAAATACATTCAGACTTTCTTTAACTATTCAATCTACTGTTATTCTCAGAGCAGTAACACAACAATTCCCTCTTCACAAACTTTAACTTTTCTTTCCTAGGTAATAAGTACCTCCGTTCCTGACCTACCCTCTAGTGGCCACTGATTGCATAACTTCACCTTGAGAAAGAGAGGGACTGCAATAAGGAGAGGTTTCCAATCACTAGAATCCTGAAGAAGGTTCTAGAGATAAGGTTTTGGCAAGCACGTGGGGCAAATATTTGACATTTTATGACTGCTTCAATCCCCAGCCACTTGTTTGGATATGTTGAGAGATTGTTTTTGCAGTCTCAGTTTTCCTATCTAACAGACAGGGACCTTATTTGCTTGTACAATTATAATTTTTTTTAAATTTTACTTTTTTTTTTTTTTTTGTCAGGCATGGTATTCCGGTAATATAACAGCTGCTTTTATAAAAGACACCCCGCTGAGACGATCAATAAGATGATGGCTGAATCTATAATTCTAACACAGTGGGAGCTGGACAGGCTGGGCGCCCAAAAACCTGTCAGAACAATTAATAATAAGTCCAATGCCTGTTCCCATTATTTGGATAATAAATATATGAATAGAAGCAGACATTTTGACAATAGGCCTTGTTTAATAATTTACCATTTTAGTGCTAAATAGCTGATGATTTACCAGTTTAAAATTAGCATAATTTTAAAGTCTAAGTGACTCATTATACTGACAACTTTAGACCCTGGAAATATTTTAAAGCAGCTAAGTATGCATGGAATGTACAATAAGTGAAAAAGAAAAGATAAGTGAAACTTCTGTCAACATAGTGGGTAGCTGTTGATAAGGGAAAAAGATGGAATTGCCTAACATCAGTTGTGAGATATTGGGAAATTGAACCATTACATTTGAGTCTGTAAACACACTAACAAACAGCAAACCGAAATCCTTCTATCTGAGGTAAAAACTTTAGCTTTGTGACAGTTTAGTTTGTGGCAGCACATTATACAAATTATCTTATTTTTTGGTTGGCATTTTTGAACCATTAACTATGTTTCAACATCTGACATGATTCTTTCAGTGAGTAAAGTTAAGGTGTTTTTTGAGTAACTTGTTCACTTTTTTGCAATGAAGGTATAATTATGGCCTTCCCTTGTCTTGCACAACCACCTGAACACCAGCACTCCAAGCTGTGTTTACTGTTTTATTGTCACCACCTTCTCAGTCATTACTATATATGTGTTGTTTACTTACCAGCAAAGACCCACTCTGTTGTACTGACATGTAAAGAATGCTATTTTGAATAGTGGTAAAGGGGGATCACTTCTTCAAAACAAACATCCTGAATCCAATACATTCATACATTCATTCATGTATGACCCCTGGTCATACATGGTCATGTATGACCAGGGGTATTATTTGCACTGTCACTGTACACAGAAGTGAGAAATTTCTAAAATAATATTTATCAATACAAGATACAGTATTGCAGTTTTTACCCAATTACGATCACTGGCTTGACTAAGCCATAAACAGAGTTTGCTGACAGTAAATGCATAACTGATTGTAGCCACATGTATGTAGGTGTTTATATCTGAGGACCTCTTTGTTAAAGACCCCTTGACTCAGAAGAAGTCATATGATTACTGCAATTTATGAGTAATCCAAAAAGTGAGTCACTTATGTTAAATTTCAAAGTAATGTTTTGTAATCCACAGACTTTGGTTGTACATTACATAGGTCCTACCCAGTGACTCAGGCCTTAACAAGCCCCCCAGATGTTTAAGAGTGACGATGGTGACGAAGAACAGAAAAAGGAACCAGATACGCAGTGCTGCTTCTGTTTTGGGGGATCACTTCCCGAAAATAGACCCAGGGCTGGGGGCCAACAGCACACATGGAAACAATAGAAACCATATAGACAAATTAGATCAAGAGCAGATCTGTCAAACCAAAGGGAGCACCAAATATTTCTCTACGTACATGTAAATATATTTAAATGTCTATAATAAAGCCTAGCCATGTATAACAACACCCTATGTGCTTAGTGAAATACTGTATGTTATAATTGTTTTTGGTGAGTATGTGACAAAGTGGTCAGAGATGCTCCAGCTGCATAGGGTCAACATTTATTTATTTTTTGTTAAATATTTTTTTTACATTAAAATTACTTTACTTATATATACTTTTAATTATTTTACCCTGAACTCTAATGTAAATTTTTGATGCAGGCATGTGTGTTTAGTATGAAAAGAGATTATTATTGACACAAAAAAGTAATCTGAATGTTCCTTGCCTAAGACACTGTTGCTGTATTGAGAAAATAACATAACATTGCCTGCACGTATTAACAGTGGGATTAATCCGGAAATGTTTAATAGATTGGCAGTGTCACTGTGTGGGCTGTACATACACAATCTAGCTCTGTCTTCAGTCCATGATATCACACACTCCCATGATGCTCTTCAGATGTAGCAGTCAGGCGGGAGGGAATGGTCTTTTGGAGTGACCCTCTGAAGGAGTGGACAGCACAGATCCACTCTCCTTTGTGACACTGCCATTTCCTGGAAAACACGCTCAATAGTAAATAAGAGCAAGTGTGCTGACATGTTGCACAGTGCAGTATCATTACAGTGTGTGGAAAATCACCCACATGTTTTTGGTTCAAGATTTGAGGCAATTGGGACACATTCCCGTCAATGTTCTACTTGTTTTCTCCTTTTGCAGCTGGAAAAATGGCACTCTGCTCTTGTTTTTGAGAACACAATTTTGTTTCTGTCCAGGACACCCATAATCTCCACAGAGACAGCCAGGAGGAATGTGAGATGCATCTATACAACAGTCTTTCTCTGAGTAATCCTCCTTGGATCAGTGTCAAGCTCAAATTTCTTTAATGGGACCCTTTCCTAAGCCACTTTATGGATCTATATGCAAACCTCCTATACAGATATCTCATAAACTCACATTGAGGAAAAATTACTAGTTTACAGAAAATATATCTGTCTGCTAGTTTGATTGTAAAACAAGTAGTATGCAAACGCACTAATGCAAAATGACCAGTAATGATAATATATTGCAGAAAAACAACACATGCTGTTTCACATTAAACATCAGCTACGTTATGATAAGATGTCTGTTCTGTCCTCATTATATTAACAAGATGCAGATCTTTTAATCTTTCTTTTTTATTGCACACCATATTAGAAATTCAAAAATTTTCAATCTAAAAATTCATTAAAATTCCTATATTGTTCCTATATATTGGTCCTATATTGGCTCTTATGAGTTTTAAGCCATGTTATAGTCTTATTACCTCCTCAGAAACATACTTGGAATTGTATTTTGCTTCATTCCCATGTGAGTAATCCTTTATTATTAGTCTGTCTACATCTCCAAAGCTCAAAATGCTCTGTTGCACCTCATGATGTCATGAAGCGGTAATTTTCAACCAGCTCCTTTTCCCTTTTGTTCAGTAGAGATTGGCAATTCCAGATCTTAAATTATCCAAATAATTCTAGTGAAATTGTATGGACTTTAAAAACACAGTGGAGCACTTCCTGTATTACCATATGACATCACAAGGTGGAACTGAGTGTCTTCCGAAATCAATATAGATATGTAGGATTTGTGTGTTAAACATGTGTGAATGAAACAAAACACAACTCCATGTACGTTTTTGATGAGGAAACAACATTATAATATTGATCAGAAAATACCGTAATATGGGTCCATTCATATAAAATGTCAAAGTTCAATCTTAATGCCAATTTTCTTGCCAACACAGATATAATGTGTGTGAAACCACTGACACCAGAGGAATGATTGCTGAGTCAGTGAAAAATTCTGAATCACTAATTTGTCAGACAAAAATGAGAAATGTTCAAAATGATCGTTGAGGTCAGCACGGAATTTGCGCAAAGTTGTTGTGGAAACTCAAACTCAGCAGTTAAATTTTGTATCAGACTACATTGGAATATAAGGTTAGTCATTCTTGTTTTATTTCCAGACAACTTTCGGTCAGTGGCGTTTAACATGGATATCTTACAGAGAAGTGCACTGATTGATAACAACTGACTAGCGAGACCAGCTAATCTTTATAAAATACAGAAAAACTCAAAATGTATATACCACTGCAATTACCTCTAGTCAGTAAGTAAATGTTATCAATATACGGAAATAACCGATTTATCTAACGGATACAATATTGTTCAACTCAACATGGAACACTGTATTATTGCAGTACTCAGCTGTAATTAGGACGCAGATCTGGTTGCATAGCACTACGGGTGGAGGGTGTGGCGTGTAGAGGCTTGTAGCTGTTTAGGGTTTTTGTGATGCATGTCCCATGCTACACTGCTCTGTTGAAATATGTGTAGCAACAACCAAAGTTTTTATGCAACACCAATGTAAACCTCACATTTGAATTTTTCTATTTTTTAAAGAAAACAACAACTCTCCTCCTTGTATGCTTTGTATCTGACAGAAATATTAAAGAGCTAGTCTTGTGGGACAGGGTTAGGCGTTTTCTGTAATATTCCTCCAGACCGACCCCCACTGTTTACTTAACAACATATGAACGGTCTCAGGTGGTCTCATCCTCTGCACTCTAAATCTATTCCCAAAGGATCCAGTCATTACTCAATACCTGTCAACCCACTCTGCACACTTCCATATCCATTTACCACATGATAATGCAACAGAGTACTTTTACACTGATCTGAACTTGAAATTACATATAAAAACATTTAAAAAAGACAAGTTATTTATTTTTCTCAGTAGTGTTTTAAAAAAGCTGAATTATTTCCTTTGTACATCCTTTTCATAAATATATTGGAAGTTTATCCTGAAGGAAAAGGTTTGTTTCCTTTGGAGCACAGAGCAGCTTTGAGACCCTCCATTGAAACTAGGGGGGCGGCAGCATCAGCACTCTCCTCACCTACGCTTTGTTTATCATTGGTTAGACACACTTCCATGCAGATCTCCACAAGGGCTGAGGACCAAAAAAATCTATTTGTTTAAACTACAAGATTACATCTTTAATGGGCAGGCTGTGTATTTTGCTAAGATGAAATCTGATGTAGTGTGAGCTTTTAAGAAGTTAACTGCTGAACGTGTGATCCTTGTGGTTTGGGTTCAAATGTACTAGTGCTCTGCAATATCTCAGTTTTACACAGAGAAGTTGGGAAGTTATGTCTTTATCTTTTTTAAAAGAGTATGGAGGGGTCTGTATTTTAAAGAAAGAGGATTGTTCTTAAATATTTCTTAGAACTGAACTATATCATCAATCAGCTCAATTGTCATGGCCTTTCCATATTCAGAGAATGAGCAAAACAAATTTTGTATTTGCGCTGTCTCTGCAAATTAAGGCACCTGTTGTGATTGTACTTCCTGTTTTAAAACAGTAAGAGCACAGGCCTCATACCCTCCTTTTAATGTGCATGGTGGAGCTTCCTTCACTATCAGAGCACTGTTTTGTCTATCAGTGTTGCAGGAGGTTGGCAGAGGGTGACAGTCACATTCTCCTTTCCCCTGTGGAACATCCAGCGCCATGTCACTGTAGTGTACACAGCGTTACCACAGAGACGAGACCAAACCACGCCAAACAGAGGAGTCTCAGAGTGAGGATGAGGCATTGAAGACGAAGAGATTATTATAGTCTAAAAAGGTCGTGGGTGGGAGGTAGGCAAACGTTAGACAGAATCTGATAAACCATATGGACTTTGAAAAAGGAGTTTACTTTTGATTTGTTGTCAGGCCATTTCGCTCTGTGGAACTAGGATTTTATGAGGAAGTTTAAATAAATGTGCACATTCTACCTGCTACAAACATGCTATTTCAATAAAGGCACTGTTAAAGATTTAATTATGGGGATTCTTTCTTACTGAAGGACAAATTCCTTCTCGTTGAGGTATGAGGAGAATAAAAGTCCTTGCAACATTGCTGCATCTGGCAATCACTGTCCTCATATTATAAATAAAGGTCTGCAATTTTGAAGTCTTTAGCTTTCATGACACCTGACTCGTCAATGGAACCTAGTTAACAACACAAATAGCCATTAATATTTTCAATAAATGTTCAATTATGGTCATGACCTTTAACCTCTCAAAATACATTATGATGACATTACCATCATCAATACTGATTACGTCTGACAGTTAACAGTGTTGGTCACATCTGAGAGGCAGAGGTCATTCGCATGTACATAATCCTGGTCCACCTCATCCTACTAACCTTCCGCCTCCTTTGCTGTGTGACTCCAAGGTTCCACCTGGATTCCCAGAATGTTTCAGATACACTATCACAGTGTGCAAGGATTAAATTAAACAAGAGCAGCAAAACAAGGAGAGCAGGAAGGCTGGATGAGTTGATGGAGACAAAACGGTAGATTAATGTTATCAGAGAGGTGGTGTTTTGCTTGTTGTCAAATCATGTAAATGAAAAATACAAAAAGTACAATAAATTTATGGTATTGAAATAATGTTTGCCTTTGGCTAATCCATGCAGATTTGAATTAGACAGCTCAAAATAAGTATGTTTTAAGCCCTTTTTAAGCACAGTAAGTTCATACTGGGTCAAACCTGAGCAGACTTGTACAGGAAGTCATTACATCATTGGGCAACTGCTCAGGAATTGATTCATTCACTATCTAAAATACTACATTTTTTCCAAGTTTTCCAGGTTTACATTGGGTATTGTTCTTTTACTTCTTAAAGGTACTTTTCTGGTCACCATCTAGACTCCATCGTCTTCCTTTGAAAAGTTCCACAGTATGACATTAAATTTACCTCAGTGGAGGCAAGTAGGTGAAGTTGCAGGTCATATCTGTAGGCCCCGCTCTCATTATGAATGCATAAGGTATGCTTTCCAAGGTATTTTTAGCTACAGAAATGCCTGTAATTAATTTAATGTAAAATGGATTAAGTTTAATGCTATGCTGTGGAACATTTCACATATTTCACTTTAAAATTAAATGTATAGTTGAACAAATATATATTGGCATAGCAGCATTAAACAGGAAATAATACATACCAGCTGCATAACTGTTGATCTTACAAGACGCTCAGGCTTATGGTGCTTCAGTGTAGAGCTAAGAAAGAAACATGTTTGTTGAAGTAAGTTGTCATTGTTTTTCATTCAATGTGCCATGTTTTACTTGGGACAGCATACTAATGAAAAGGAATTTCATATGTTATTATTCAGTTTCCACTTTCTACAAAGAAAATATGGATCTTTGGAGGTCATAAAAGGTGTATGTACGAGAAATTGTTTGGAAAATCTATAGTGTTTGGTAATAAATGTGTCATGGAAAGATATTAAAATCAAACCATCTACGCCCAGAAATTCCTCCCCTCTTACATCTTCTCACCTGCCACACCTCTGAGCTCACCAGGTTTCAGTTTTGAAAGCAGTGTAATAGGGCGGAATTTAGAGCAATTTACCAGGCGCCAATCAACACACAATGCAAACACCTCACTTTAATGATCTGAACCTATTATGTCATGTTAATCAAAACAAAAAATTAAGTTCCATAATGTCTCATGGGAGCTGAGTTGAGATTCTGTGCACCACAGGTGGAAGTTGTAGAAAATGTGGTATTTTTATTGTATATCGCTGCCCATGGTCACCATCTAGACTCCATCTTTGTCGTTTCCAGATGGAAACTTTTAATCTTTTATGAGAATAATGTGTTTGCTCATAGTCCCTACTAAATGAAAAAAATAATTATTTTAAAGAAAGATAAGTGGTTTCTCAGACTATTTGATCCATTACAGAAAAATATAAATGAAAAACAGACAAGAGGAGGGGCAAAATAATCAAATCTGATGTAAAAGCTGAAAAATAATTAACTCACTTGGAAGAATGAAGGTACTGATAATTTGCTTATTATATTTTGATATTATATGACATCATGCTGGGGTGGTTCTGTATACAAATCTGTGGTGGAATGTTCAGCTGTTACAACGGTGACACAGTGCAAACATTGGTATATAAAGCCAAAAATGTTTTAAGGTCATCTGAAAGAACGCATTTTCAAGAGTCTCTGATCAAAAAAATGATTGTTCAAGGTCTAACGCTAGCAACATACAGCCCAAAGAGCTTTACTGAACAAATACATTAATCTAATAAGTTAGTCATGTGAGCTAATTTTCTCTCAGAAGACACAATTCTTTGTTAGTCTCAAAGATCAAACTGAGGTGTGGAATAAATCAAAAACATAAGAACTTCAGTAAGCGAGAAAACAAGAATCAGAAGACTTCCATTTAGTGTTTTGTTCATTGCTTTTAAATGACTTTGAATTGTTTTTAATTACTTTTAATTGACTGTAATTTATAAGGGACTTGTTTAACTGTACAAATCAGCTAACATGTGTAGGTGTTAGCTGATTTGTGTGACTACTCCTTTATTGTCAAATTTAAGTGTGCATTGTGTAACTTTTCTGGAAGAGGGTCCGTCAAATGCTTTCCCTTGTGCTCATGGAGATATTGCCTCGTCTGAAATGTTTCACAATATGACAATAAACAGCTCTAACTTATATTTATTCAATTACAGGATATTTTATTCCTCAGGAACAGGTATTCTGACTGTCAGCAGAGTTGCCTCTTCACATATCTCACCTGTAACTTGGACTGGTTTGGTCTCCATGAAGATAGAGTTTTAATACCATACTGTGAAATATTCCAGATGAAGCAAAATGGTGAATAGCATTTAAAGGACCCTCCATCAGAAAGTTACACAATGCAACTTTATGTTCAGATTAAAGTCTAACTTGAGTAATAGAGCTTCAGACAGAGCAGAGCCTCTAGTTAGCATCACACTTCAGGGAGTGTTGATGACATGAGCTGCAGTGTTTCAAAGGATAACTTGATTCAATAAATTCAGGGATGGATAATGGACAGAAATCTAGGTGTAGCAATAGTTTGATCTTTGTAGACATATTCAGTCTTTATACAGTTGCAAATAAACACCGAAATAAGGCTTTATTATTTGCACAACTACTTACCCACCTTGCTTTAGGTTTCTTTCAGTCAGAAGGTATTCTCCTTGAAGTATGTGGTCGCCCTCAAGTGGCAAAAAAAATACATAAATAAGTCAATAAATAAATTGTTAACACATTCATATACACCTACTTACTATTAAAAATACTGTAAATTAATTATAATGTCGAATCCTAATGTATTGTGCACATAGAGTACTAACTAGCTAACGCTAACTTAACTGGTAGGGTAACACGTATAGATATAGAACGGTTACCCCTGTACTAAGATGGCAGCTTTGTTGACGCATTAGTTCCAATAGACAGCGGCAGTCCATCCGAGATCTACCATTCTATATCTACGGGGTAACGCGCATATATCGTGACAAAGTCCAGAAAAACGCGAGACTTTGGTGTTGTCATAGCAACTGGTATACACAGAAAAGTACATTCAAGCCAAAGGTCCTGCATTTACACATGGGTCTGCTCTTTTAGATTACCTTTCTAAAAATCTATGTACAAATTATTTACAGTTTCCTCTGCCAGTAGTAATAGTCATTCAATGCCAGAATAATTAACTTAAAAAGGTAGCTAGTGTAAGTTATCTGTTAATTGCCGGTAACGAAGGTAGACTCAGAATGGCAGCAGAAGGATGCGGGTTTGAGAAAACTTTCACTTTCACCTCTCTTCCATCTAGGAAGTTTACATTTCTTCAAGACCGAGAGACGTTATCATTTTTGATGAAATGGTAAAGTTTTATTATTTGCCATGATCGTGATGTTGGCTAAGCTAACCATGTGCATGAATGTCGCCTTGTAACTTGTGAAATATGTAACGTTCAGGTCTATGCTGGGAAGATTGTCAGCTCAGGCATTTAGCTTTGACCAGAGCTTCTTTCCCTACAACAGTGAAAACTTTGCCCATGTGAGTCTATAATAACACATTTGTATTAACAGTTCATCACACCTAATCTTTTACTGTACTTTTAGTGTTTTTTCACTGACTCCAATGTGGTGTCCATTCTGAAGAAGGTAGAGACCAAAGCCTGGGTGCCTTTTGGTATGCTACATACTCTCGAAATCCTTCAGTATTGATAGTAGGAAATTGTAGTACCCTGTCGTAGTTGTGGAATGTTTTTGATGTGTGTATTGTGTGTTTGTGCAGGGAAAACTGTAAAGTCTGTTAAAGTGGAAGTGGTGTCTTGCTCAAAGGTCTCAGTGGATTTGTTTGACCCAATTTACTCTTGTGGCATTTTGAGGCCCAGTGGACAAATTGTCAAATGTTTCCATGAAGTCTATCCCGACTATGATGAACTAAGACAAGTCAGTGTCTGGCTTTAAACTCGTGCACCTGTCCATTCGCCAGTGCATGACCTAACCTTGTGTTTCTTCAGATGTTGCTTGATGAGGAGTCGGAGCATTACCCTGTGATCACTCCAGAAGAACGGCAGGAATTTCTGTTCCGACTTTTTAAGCACCTGTGTCTTGGGGGAGAGCTGTGTCAGTATGAGGAAACTATTGAACCTTACATCCATACCACAAAGCAAATCTACAAAGATCTAATCAGGTGGATAGTTTCATTATAAGATTATAAAATGAACTATGAACTAGAAATTTAATTTATAGTGATTAACATAAAATTTATGTTTTGTTTTACATTCCTTTATTTTTTGTTCCAGTGTCCAGAAAGATCGAGAAACAAAAAAGATCAGTGTTGTGACAACAGTTCTCAAAGTTTCTGCTTTTGTAAGTGCTATATGTATGATTATGTAATATTCTTCAACTATTCATTATTTCCTGGTCATTTTTCAATGGTGTGAAAACACATAAAGAACATTTAATTAACTTTATTAATTCATGTGGACGTTAACTGTTGTCACTACATGGAACATGATTAAATGTGAATTAAATCAAAACTAATGTTTATTTTGTCTAGGATGAGTCAGAACCATATTTCCCTGGACGACCTGAAGAGGAGGAGCAAACCTTTGCCTACTTGATTGTGGACCCGTTTAAAAGGCATGTGATATTGATGTACCATATTTATGGAATTGGAGATTTTTCATTTTAATTTGTATCTTTATGTGTCAATATATGATGACATGTTTGCTTACATTTGATGTACATATTCTGTAATATAGGCTATTATAATTAAATTTAATTGGTAACACAGGACAAATGCAAGTAAGCATACAGTCCAAAGAGCTTTATTGAACAAATAAATTAATAAGTTAGACAAGTGAGCTAATTTTCTCTCAGCAGATACAATTCTTTGTTTGTCTCGAAGATCAAATTGACGTGTGCAATAAATCAAAAACATAAGAACTTCAGTAAGCGCCATCATCACTATTATTATCAACCTGTAGCTACATAAACAGGAATTGGAAGACTTCCATTTAGCGTTTTGTTTATTGCTTTTAAATGACTTTCACTTGGACAGTTAAAGGGCAACGAGCTGGAATGTCGAATGGCAGCAAGTCATTGATCATTGTTTTGATGGTGGACTTCTGGACAACAGAGTGACAAAGAGCACGTGCAGATTGAGTCATGCATAGATAGCATTCAGTCAGTTAGACAATCACTGTTTCTCAAATCCCTAAACTAGCGCCCACTAGTGGCCTCAGAGGTAGTTGTGTGGAAGCCGTTCTAATTCAAGGTGGCATGCTTATGAAAGGACACACATGCCTGCAGACTTGTCCATGCCTCCAATTTTGAATCCAACATACGCATTAGGGTGTCCCATTATTGCGCATATGATATACAAATATACAATATTTCAGAAGATTTCAAAGGCTGCAACCTTACAAACCAGTCAAATGTGTGGGACAGTGTATAGGAAGTTATATTAAGGAAGCACTGATTTTATAAAAGTAAAGAGTAAATAAAGGCACAGGTTATCTCGTTTCATGTTGGGAATTGGACATCAGTCTTTTTCTTTTTCCTCATCACATGCAATACTGAACTCTCACTTACATCTTTACAAAATGTGACATTCTTTGACATTTTAGCAATCTATCATAATAATGCCTCTAGTTAAGGTAGATACCTCTAATTTTGTTCAATAATGTTTTTCAATGGGACAGAAGTGAAAGAAACTGCCACAAAGCATACAGGTGGAGAAATAAAGTACATTCACTGTTCAAAAGGTTCAGGCTTGGCTTGAATGGAAATGCAGTACCTGAGTCAAGTTTCTTGACAGGACCAGATGGCCAAATACTGTGTAGTAACCTATTTTTTTCTTTTATTAAAGCTGGCAGCATTTGATTTAAAAAAATGATGTTCATTGTAACAATGGAAACCTGGTATCAGTGACCACTGACCTCTTGGTCAGGTAATGCTTGCAAATGAGATCTCAGTTGGCCATTCCTGGTTAAATAAAGGTTCATTGGGCTAACTTGACATTATGCTACATTTATATTGAACAAATCTGAATATTGTCCTAAATCCTACAGTAATCATGAAAAACATATAAATGTATGTATATTTCATTAAGTCTAACACTGTTACAGTAATGACATTAAAATATATAACAAACCATTGTACTTTTTGAGTAACAAAGCTGTTCAAGAAAAGGAGTCTTGTTGTATGGCTGTTTGTAATCTCCAGTTTTGCCCACAAACAGAAAGTAACAGAGCAATAGCAGCAACAGATTAAACAGGCCTGACATCAGTAACAGCTTCAGAGTGGACCACTTCCTAAGACACGTGCATTTACAAGGACTTCATGCGCTACCTGAATGCCTCAAGTTTTTCATTATTTTTGAAAACTGTACAGCTCAGGTCAGACAAGTTTCAAAGTCATTTCCAAGGTCATGAAAAGGTCATGGAGAGGTTATTATTGTCGACTGAACCAGCTGGTGAAGTAGACCTGAGGCTGCGTTCGAGAAGAGCACAGAAGAACAAACTGAAATGAAAGCAGATTGTAAGTGGGGAACATGCATGTCAGAGGTGGGCTGCAAGACACAGAGGTTTAGAAGACATCTTTAAAACACTGACAGATGTAAAGACATTGTCAAGAATGTTTTTAAAGGTACAGAGGATTAATTAAGTGTTGACAAAGATTATAATAACGTTTTGTTTTGTTTTTTGTTTTTGTTTTTTTGCACTAGGGCTTGCTGAAATTTGTTCGTACAAAAGTAAATTATACAGGCAGCCACAAGACATTCCTTTCATTCTTTTTATGTAAAATATTAAATTGCTGCCCTCGTGTGGCTGTAGAGCAGTGAGCCGCAGAGGTGGAGCGCTTTGGCAAGGTCCCACAGAACTCCTGCGGCTTCATTATATTATATAATGGGTGATTTTGTTCAAGATATGACTACATTCATCACAGTATTAAAGTTTTAATGCCATTCAAGTAAGTGGCAAAAATACTGAAGAAAAAATAACACTGTCATGGCACTTGCAAACTCTCAGGAGTCCATAGATTTAAGCAGCCAAGAAAGCAGTGATAAAAGACATATATTCTCTAAACATTTACAAAAAAGATACAGTCTACCTATCTACAGTCGAAGCTGGACATGAGCGCAGTGTGATGAGGAGTATGTGGGGAGTCAGTAGTTATATGTCTCCTAGTGCACGTTTGTCTCTTAGAGAGGGATATGCAGTGAGCTTTGGCTGAGGCTCCATCTAGTGGCCTCTGATGGAAACACATCTCATCTGAAAATGATCAGGTAAAGATATAGAGGAGACCAGAAGCACCATTCACTGCAGAGTGTTGTAAATGAGGAGCAGACAGTGCCCAGTTTGTGTCCTGTCTGTTTGTTGAGCCCCGACAGACTCTGTGCAGGCCGCTGTCATTCCAGGTTGCCACTCTGGGACTGGGATATGTTGAGGGTATTGGCGGAGGGGAACAGGTCCTTTTGGTCTGTGGGGCTGTGGTAGTCCGAGGTGAGGTCCGGATCGAGCAATGAGGACAGAGTGAAGTGGGAGGAGCCTTTCTTCAGGCACTGTGAGTAAAAATTCAGCAGAGCATCTAGTTTGTTCTCTATGGACTGCACCTGAACAACAAACAGAAATATAATAGTGTTAATCATATCCAGCATATTTCACAGTGATTGTTTTGATAGAAGCATTTACCTGTTTCTCTACTTTCACTACACGTCCCATCATGCTTAGTTCATCTAGGGGGTCCAGCTCTGGAGGTGTCTTTTCTCCCTTTTCAGAGCGAGCCTTCTTGTCTGTTGGCACAGCCCCTCGTCCTATTATTTGATCCACCCTTTTTAAAACAAAACATTATTATAGTGTACATTTGTAATAGCAATACAGGTCATATAGTGTGACGTTACCGTGTTTGCAGGCTCTTGATGCGTCCAAGCATGTCCAGGTGTCCAGCTGAATATTGCTCTATAACGTCCTTTACATCGTACGGACGTAGAGTCTCCTTGAACTTCCTCTTGGCCACCAGAAACTTTAAAATCCTGTACATAAACAGGCATACACTGAAGTTGACCTCCGTTATCATTGTCCATATGCTGTACCTATCCAAATGTACTGTAAACCTTTTGAAAAATGCAACGCAGCTAAAGACAGCTATCAAATGCTGTATAGGCCACACCAAATATAACTAGATTAATTACAGTCGGCTTGACCTTATCAGTGACAAACAGCTCCATAATGAGGCCGCCTTCACCCACACAGTAAACCAAGCGGATATATTGTAATGATGACAACATCTTCAGAAGACATCTGCTTATCGCAACTTGCTGTTTCAGCAATTAGTCCATAGTCACAGCTGTAGGAACATTCATCCTCTTACTGCCAAAGGGCCCAAGCAGATAACATATGCAACACACTACCACATCCCAGGATGAAATCAGGACCCGTTGGCCACTCTTGTTGCACAGGTAACAAAGTATTAACCAGATATCACTGTGTGCTTTGTGGCCAGACTTTTTGTATAAGATGGTCGTTCAATTGCCTTTTTATCACTGGGAGCATAGACAGCACATAGATGCTGGCTTTGCGGAAAGGTTGGATCTCCCAAATATAAGTGAGACATAACACCCTCACTCAAGCCGTCATCTGGCCCCTGTGATGGATTGCACCGCGAGTGAGGTAGGGAACGCTGAGAGGGTGGACAGCAGAGGGAGGCTTTGTTCACCAGGAAATCCTATCTTTCACACCCAGATGCTTAACTCCACTATAATACTCTGAGATGCCTTTAAGAGAGGAAACGGTACGAAGGAAATAAATCACATCAAAGGTCTAAAAGTGGATGACTGCAAACATTTACAAGGAGCCCTGAAGTGAAATGTAACAGTGACATAAGTGCATACGTGGACCGGGCAGTGACATGGGGTCAGTCTCTGAAATAACCAGCGTAACCTTTGATGAGGTCAGCAGCGTTTGCATTAGAGGCAGTTGGTAACAAAGAGGTGGGTGCTCAGAGGACAGGAGGAAGAGGAGCACAACGTGGAGGAGGGGTGGTGGTCCACAGCTGGTGCAGCCGGAGAAGCAGTCAGCGCGCTCCCTCCTCATGCAGCACTGTTTCTTGATGACTCGCCGGCTATTTTTGCAGCCACTCTTTTCTTATTTTGCAGGTAGATGCAGATTTTTTTGCCAGGGTGGGTCTCAGGTGCGGGCAAAAGAAAAGGTTGGGGAAACAGGAGAGCTGGGACTTTTGATTTAGATCCTCTGAGGGTTTAGTTTAAAATGCTGACTCTCTTTTTTAGTTGATAAAACGTTTTTCATAAACTGTAGTCAGATGTGAGTATGCTGCCTTAAAACTTAAACAGGCACTGCCAGAGGTTGGTGCACCTCTCTAAAAGACATAATGTTTCCCAATTGTATGGAAGATGAGATGCAAAAGAAAGATGGGAGGGACAGGAACTGTCATCTGTGCCCCAAATACTCGCAAAACTGAGTCCGAAAATCCTGCAACCCAGCAAATGTACAATCCTCATACTTTTCAATAGCGCAAGTTTCATGTGCATGTGCAACTTTAAAAATGACTGTTATGCTGACACTTTTCCTAGGTGGGCCAAGAGGGTGAGCCACTTCAGGGACAAGTCAGAGTATACCCCAAATTAATTGTGCTGCTTCATGAACGAAATATAGCACAGAAGCTAGAAGCATTCAACCAGTCAGGAAAAGCACTGCGTTAACACTACGGCTGAGAAGCCAAAACAACACAGGATGATGATTGAGGATCAAATCTGTATAAATACCACAAATACTCTTTAACAAAGTGTGCGCTTCAGCAAACACTTCTAAAACTGTAGTTTATGCAGTATTGGATTTGCACACAAAAACATAGAGGAGGGCTCATAAATATATCTGGCCTTCTGTCTTTATTTTCAAAACAAAGCACTTCAACAATCCAAATGTATCTGTGTAAAGTGAAACCTCAGCACTAAGGCTTGGTGCAAAATCTCACTTTAACAAACATCAATCATGATGCTGTGCATGCGTATGTGTGTGCGTGAGCAAGTCCACGGAGCACCTGCTGTTTACACACCTGCACTATCTATAGGAACTCCCTCCCTCCATTGTCTGCAGCACAGAGCAGCCTAGGTCACCGCGATCTGCTGAGTCAAGTGCAGCCACGAGGTGGTATCAAATACGCCCTATCTCATGCATCCAGGGATCAAATAATAATACTGTGGCTCTCTTGCTAAAATGTTTTGGCAAATGACAATGCCCTTTGCTTATAAAGCATTTGTGTCATACATTTTTCTGCTTATATTCCAGCTATAGTAAATCAAAATAGATGGAAACTAAATCTAAAGGCAATATGTATTCTAAGTATTATATTAATAAACTAAAATAATGCTTAGTTGGACCTGTTTAGCATCATCACATTATTTTCTGCTTCCCTAATGTAATGATATCAATTATCCGCACATATGAGCCTCACAAAGCACCTACAGCGCCACTGCAGCAGGAAACATGCTGCTCAGTCGGATAAAGGGCTCTGGAGACCACCATGGCCCCAATACCAGATGTTTAGAGGGAATTGTAGTTTTTTTGCCTTCATCAGTGAAAACCTCTCTGTAGGTCAAAATGTGTAATATTTGAACATGTGCATAAAAATCTAAGACACCCCTAGGAATATAAAGTATTTAACAATATATGAATTCATTACATGATTAATAGTATGTGGTGTCTATTTTTTTATGAAGAAAAGACATGTAGTTTGCACAAACCGAGATGTGCTTTGTTTCCATTTGCATAAAACTCCTAACATTATGCGGGTAAGGGTTAGTGGTACTGCTTAAATGGTTATGGAAAAAAATGATGTGGTTTCTAAGTTAAGTAGCCTTTACAGATGAAACCCTAACAGCAGCTCCATACACTCCACAGTATGCTATGTGGAGTAGTCTATGGGATACTAAAAGTTATAAAGTAGTGCATTACATCGAACAATAACCTGTCTGTCTCAGCATGTATAAGATGCCAGTAATATTTTGCAAATACAGATGGTTTAACATTTCAGTTTTCCAGTCCAACACAGAGCAGAGGCTGATGCTGTGCAATGATACTATGATCCATATGAGGTGTGTACTCCACTCCACACAGAGGCAGCCTTGATGCTCTGTGCTGTCTCTCCCACAAGGTCACAGTAAAATCACCTTTGAGCAGCCAGGCTCGGTTACAGTCAGTGGCAAATACACTCTATGGGAATTAGAGGGATAAATTCTGTTAATGAAGATGACAGGACCAGTCCATGTAAACTGGACCAGTGTGGCCCTATTCTATCAGTGGCTACCGGCAGCAGCTGGAGCTCACATCTGTTTGTGTGAGGTAGTTGCAGGTGGACTAAGTACAAGCTGCTGCTGAGACTGTAGATGTACTTTACATTAAAACATGAGCACACAGGAGACTGTGAAAAATGTAGGCTGTACATGATAGTGACATGATCTATGAGGAGAAACAAACAAAGTTAAAAGCTGGAAAATGCTGCCTTATCTTCTGTAGAAAAACACTATGGAAAACAAGCATACAGGTTGTTTAAACACATAATTACAGGTATGTGATTCAGACTGTGGACCTCACCTGACTGCTCGTATGAGAGTCTTCACTGCAGGAATGACCTCATCCATGGCCACATCACAATACGACTTGTCTTCCACATTGTCCTCACCAACCCCCTCCACTGCCACATAAAGAGGACACAGTTATCAGACACTACAAACACAGATGAGATATATTAGATTACCATCAGCAGGTGGGCGTGGCTTGAGTCGTAGTGAAGTACGAAACCGTGTGCGATCATTGAAGCTCCAGCTTTTCTGGACCTTCCCTGGGCTGGTGGCCTCTGGAACGTTCTCCTGACTGGGCGAGCGCCGCACCCCAGAGCTCGGAGGCAGCGGTGAGGCTTTATTCCGAAGAGCCTGAGAGGATCGCGAATTGTTCATCCTGATACGATCCCGGAAACCCATTTTCCCACTAATGAGAACAACATAACAGCCAAACAACAGGTTTTATTTTAACATTTGTCAGGTATAAATGATTTTACAAATGTACAGCCACTCAGAGTACATTGAAATAAGCTGTGTTAACTTTTGGGAACAGGAAAGCAGTAGATGAAAGTACTGATAAAATCATTTGTTAGTAAAAGTAAAGTTTGAGGACTCACCAACAAACAAGAAAAGGACAATAACAACAGACAACTGTTTTGGGAAGAAGCTTGACCACAGGGTCCCTCAGCACTGTTTTAATGTAATATATCACTGTCACTGATACAGCACAGTCAAATGAAACCTGATTCAAGAGGAGCAGCAGAATATGTAACGTCAAACATCATAAAGAAACACCTTTTGTTCTCATTTATAGAACTATGCCACAACAACCAACAGAACCCTAATGTAGCAGTTCACAGTCCTGAGACTGCTCCCTCTGTGGAGCCACTCACATGTAACACTCAGTCACGGATCCATAGGCAATGCAAACGTCATGCACCACAGAGCAATTCTAGCCCAGGCCGTATACTTCACATGTTTATGATGATATACTCGTTGTGCGTGTGTTGTAGCAAGCCATTTAAATTAAATTTTAAATAGTTCAGTTTTAAGCAAAAAGGTGCATTTCACATAGGTGAGCTGAAATGCTTTAGGTACAGGCTGGAGGAATTCAGAATGAAAGAGGTGCATGCAGCACATTCACATGTTCCTGTCCTGGACAGAACATCATGCACTTAAGACCCATGTTATTTCAAAAAGGGACAAAATAAACATGTACAATGCTTAATACACAAAATAATAATTTTGTAAAAACAAGCAAGCCAATTAAATTTCATGTCAGCTTTTTTTTCATATACAGTCTCTGTAAACCATATCAGATTTGTGTTTTTTACACATGGTTTATTTTGGCTAGAATGAAAGGTAGGTTTAGGATCACTCTAAACTTTTAGCATTTAGGGATCCAATGCTTCCTGAAGAACAGCATGTCCTGATGGTCACATGAGCAGTTGTGGACCAGAGTTTAGCATCTAACTTCCACATGTAGTGTAAGTATTTGTGATGAACTTGTAATAATCTTATAAACGTTTCTTTGAGGTACTGGTTCAAATATGGGCATACAGAGAGCTGCTCTCTGGTCCACTACATGTTGTTTGAATCAGGCAGGGTAAGGAAAATGCATGTTGCAAGGGCAGATATCAGTTTGAGCGTGCCCCGTGCACAGGCTGGTTGCCGTGGATACCTCTGCTTGCGGCCAGCGTGTATCCGGAAGAGACCTCGCTTTTTAGAAAGAAGTTGACTGGGGAAACACACAAGGCAGAGGGAGAAAGGGTGAGGGGGAAACTATGGGGAGGCGGGGAGGATGAGTCCAGGGACACTGAGTGAGAGGTGATCCGTTACATCAAGGATGAACACTGTACTGAGGTACAGGGAGGGGGCATCTCTATAGTCCAAATAGCCCTGGTCTTTGTACGTCACAGAAACAACAGAAAGCTGCTGCTTTGGATTATGGAGACAGTGTGGAGTGAGGACTGGTCATGCAAAGGTGATCGCTCCACCTGAGTATATTCATCAAGAGAAGCCTGTCTCATAGCTGTACATTTTGCATAAACACTTCCATGGACTCCATACATATGTCTCACTTTTGACTTTCAGCAAAGTACAATAGTACATCTTAACAGTAAAAAATAAGCAAGATTTTATGACAGGAAGCACAAACCTGCACGGATCATCTGCCTTCCTGAGAACACATGGAAGGTGAAGGATGGATACCATGGTGTAATGACAGCAAAGGAAAAGACAGAAGAGGACATTATAAAGACAGGATGGTGAGTGGCTGATGCAGGTAAAGATGAAGTGAGTAGGAGGGCAGAAACACGCAGCCCGGTCGGTTAGACACATCCACACAGACAGCATCAGGTGAACTCTACTGTTTAGAGCTCTCTTCACAAACACTTTGTGATGAATGTCAGAGGCAGCAGCTCATACCTGTCCCCCGACAGGTAGGGGGAGCTGTAGGGCCGGAGCCCAGACAGCAGCGTGTGGTAGGAGTTGTGAAGAACCTTCTTGTTGTTACGCTGCCGCTGAAGATGACTGAACAGTAGCGTCAGTTCTCTGACACCAACATGCATAAATAAGTCAGAACAAAAAACAACACATGATCAAAAAGAAAAATATGAAAAACCAAAATGGCCACAAAAATCATCTATATGCTCAGAAGAAGAGGAACATGAGAGAGGAACCTCATCCAAGTAACAGTTTTGGCTCTCATGTTACTCTCCTTTTGAGAAAAGAAAATTTGTAAAATTAATAAAGTATCTGCAATGTGTATGGGAAAAATATAAAAAAACAAACAAAAACTAAAAAACTAAAAATGTACTGAATTTGGCAGAGGAAGCCGGATCCTCCGGATACTCTGCATCAATTTACAATTAACCAAACCTTCCTAAAACAACTGCATGTTTTCTTAATGAACTTGAGTTCAGCCAATTATCTATCAGAGAAACATTATACTTACCTGAATGAGGGTAACATGCTGTCATAGAAGTACCATGTGGCTGTTAGATATGAGTGCTTGGCATCTGTAGAGTAGAGTCGCCATGCCGCCTACAGTAGAAAGTAGAATGATATGGACTGTTTCATAATAATTACTGATTAATAATGATTACTCTAATGGTAAACTACCTGTATAAGGTTAGCAGCAGGCATCCTCCTTTTCTCAAAGTGCTTCTGTCGGTGCTGCTCTTGGACTTTCAGAGCAAATCCTGACCCTAGAATCCCCTGAAGGTCAAAGGTCATGAGTTTTAAACTGACAAAGAAACAATGTATTATTAAATATCTTTGGGATGAAGAGAGCATTACAGCAGGCAGGGCGAAGAAGGAGACCCCGAGAAGAGCAAAGCCCGCTGCCAGGAGACGTCCCTGCCACGTCCGAGGGGTCTTGTCACCGTAGCCAATAGTGGTCAGAGTAATCTACAAACATGCATTCAGTGCATGATAATTACTGTGAAATTTTCAATTTTTGATCATAATAATAATAATTATATATATATATATATATATATATATATATATATATATATGTATATATATACTTTTTTTTTTTTTTTGTTTGTTGCTGATCTAACATTTTAAAGGGAAATGTAGGATAATACTGAGCCTGTCATGTGAAAGCTACAGTACTCACAGTCCCCCACCAGAGGGAGTCTGCATAGGTGTTGAAGTCTGAGTTATTGTCTTTCTCTGCCAAGTAGACCAGGAACGAGGCAAAGATCAGGACCAGGAATCCTATGTACCAGGCCGTTATTAACTCCTGAGAGGAGGGAAACACAATACAAGGGAGCCATCAATCACAGGTGTCAACAGCGGCAGCATCTTTGCCATCATAATCCCTGCTTTGGTTACCACTTTGCTATCATCATTACTGGATAAAGTCTCCTTATCATCACTTTTAACTTGCACTGCCTTGGCAGCAGACTTAGATGGGCCTCAATTCATCATCATTGTGTCTGTCCAAGTATGTTCTCAAAGCAACGGGTGTCAGCTGTTGAGGTCAGCATATCAGGAAAACTAATGAAGCTATGAGCTACAATCAATTACCAGCAAAGTCCTCAGTACATTAAGCCAACATTAGGCTCATAAGGAAGGCCAGTTACAATACAGCATAACCATAGCTCCATGTGTGAGGCACATTTCAAACATCTAACTCTTCAGGCAGAGCTTATCAAAGTTGAGAGCCGCACATGACAGTTTGTTCCCACCTTGCTGTGAGCATACACCACTGAGCCCAGTAGTTTCCAGGTGCCTCCTCGTCTGTCCATACGAACCATACGCAAGATCTGCAGGAAACGCATACTTCGCAGTGCTGAGGTGGCAAAAATGTTACCCTGTGTCCCAGCTGCTATCACTGCCAATGATGCCACAAATACAATGAAATCTGGAAAAGAAGAAAGAGTTTGATATAAAGCACACACTTATGTGAAGTCAGACCCTTTGAACTGACCTATAACACAGAAGGGTTTCCTGGCAAATCTTAGACGACCCTGCCATCCTCTGTATCTGCAGCAGCAGCCGGCCGCCCAGATTCTGATAAAGTACTCCAGACCAAATACCACGATCATCACAAACTCCTGTAACACAAGAAACCCAATACAAGTCAGCTCCACTTACAGAAAGGAAAAATGTGTTTATTGTTACAAATTAGGCTAAATGTAAGTTATTTTCACCCATAGAGTACATTATAAAAGTAGCACATTGTGATAAAATCAGCCCATCGTGTACAGCCTGCATTGAATTATTAAGCATTATAATGTTACTCAAAAACATGCCAAGAGGTTTTACATATCCATGCACATTTGAGTATTTTAGGCTTTCAACGTCCTTACATTTAAATGTAAGATTCTGACACGACTCCATAATATATAAAAACATGATACAAAACTGTGCACAGCAGCTTAACAATTTTTAATGCAGTAGTTTCATTAGCGTGATGCACGTTGATTGTGTTGTGATAGCTCACTGAAGGAGGAGTGATTTAAAGCAGGGAGTAAAGGGAGAGGAGACTCAGCACCAAAACTGAAAGTGAAAGTTATAAAACATACATTGTTTCTGCTAATATAACATTTTCAAAACAATAAATGGTAACTTGTTGGTCTAAATACGTTATGTGTTAGCAGTTAATGCACAACTGAAATGAAATATCCCCTGTTTAAGTTAAACCATCAGAGCTGCTGTAATTTCTAAAAAGGTCTTTAAAATGTGCATGAATATGTTAAATGTTACATTCAATAATACATTTTAAGTCAAATGTAAATTTCTGAAACAATGACAGACATCATTTCCTCTCACTGTTTAGTTTAAGGTGGTCTGGGCACACGAGTCATTAGGGGAGACGTAAGTTTAAGTAACATCCCCTAACAGCTGATCATCCACTAACGGTTGAGGATTGACGATGTCCAGGTTAAAATGGAGTATCCAGAGTCCACACAGGAAGAGGAGGGGGGGTAGTATTATGGGATGGCTTTTAGAGGATCGTGTCTGTGATTTCTTGCACTGTCAACAACACCTGAATCCTTCGACCTGCTTACATTGCTGTCTCCAACCTCTAACAAAACAACCCATACACACCATTCAGTGTATCTAAGTGTTGGCCTTGTTTAAGAGGAATACATGGATGCAGAGGAGGAGGTCTTACGAGGATGAAGAGACCCTGGTTGGCCATTTTCTGATGGTCTGGGATGGTGGAGAAGACAGACAGTACCAGGCAGCTGAACACCAGCAAGAAACTGTAAAGAAAAACATCACAGGTCAATAAACACGTCAGGCTGAAGGAAACTGTTGATGGGTTACATTTAGCTCAAAACAAAAGGACTTAGAGAAATATTTTAATACGCTTTGTGCACACTACGAGTGATTAGCTAACAGAGGCACAGCTACAAAAAACACAGAAAGAATTGTTGATCCATAACACTACACAAGCAAAGAAACATAATACAATTCATTCAAGTAAATCTAATCTCAAGTAAATCTATCGTTTTGCTCAGCAGGAAAGAAAACTTGATGGTTTGATTGGTTGTTTTGGAGACAGTGTGAAAAAGGATGAGAATAACTGGTAGCACTACACAGGATGAAAATGACACGGTAACTTAAAGTGCTTGACACCCAGATACTAAATCAATGTGAAAACTAGTACTGAAACTAGAAATAATATACTCAAGACAGAACATTTTCTGAACAGTTTTGGATTGGTCTAAATCTATATCAGAATTAGCATAATATTAGAAAAGCTATTTGTCCATCAAGACTTTCCTGAGTATTGAAATCAATTTTGAAATTTTATCAGTATCGTACAGTGGAAGGAAGGAGTACTCAGAAAATGCAGAAGAAGATGATGTGACAGTCACTTCGTTTGACTAATGACAGATGAGCTGTTAAAAATTCATGCATTTAAAATGACTCCGCCACCGGTGCACCGTGTACCAGTAGCCTCACATAGCCAAGTTATTTTTACACCCTTGATATCTGGTGTATGACTGTATCAATGTGCCGGGGACCCTCTGGTTGGTGGCTGCCATGTGAACAGTGAGGCTAGGGCAGGATTATCCAGGAGGCAGCTGCCGGTCCAGCTGCCCCACATGCCACACACCAAAGTCAGAGAACACTTGTTGACACTAAACCAATTCTCATGGACTCACACAATGGTGCCCTTTCACAGCGATTAGTAATGCGATCAGCCATTCTCAGTCGGCCTAATTTGAGACAACAAATTGGGAATACATTTCAACAGTAGCACTAGGTAGGTCATTGCATAAACAATCAATAAAGTATGTGCTCTGGGGGACTGAACCAGCCACCTTCCAGTTCATAGATGAATTCCTAACCCACTATGTTGTTGCCACACACTCACACAATCACTGTGTGTGCAAAAACAAGTTATTAACAGTGCTGATTAAACCCTCCTTCCTAATTAACTCAGGGTGTAGTGTGTATTTAAATCAAGGGATGATTAGTGCTGAGTAGAAAACTAATTACATCACAAAACATCTATAACTTGATTGTCTGTATAACTGACTATAATTGTTTAAGCACATTAATAATTTATGTGGTATAACTAGTTATTATTTGGACCACCACTGTATTCAACATTGTGCTCATGATTGGCAGTAACCCAACATAACAACCAGGCCTGCTGTCATGTCTGCCCCACATAGACACACTGTTTATGGTATATTAACAATGCTGTCAATAAGTAAATACATTAAAAAGTCAGGAGACATTGAGGCCATGGATGTACAGTGAAGGAGTCACATTTCTGCTGAGGGCACACTTTAGTGGAGTACCACTATCCTCTGGCTTTGCTCCTTCACAGGGAAATGTCAATTAAGAGCAAAGCATCCGTCCAAATCCACCAAATCAGCAGAGCCGCTCTCATGGGGCACAGGCAGAAAACTGCTCTGAGTGCTTCACGTAATGTCCTGCCTCGAATATTATTGGACTATTATGAAGACATCATTGGGACTTATCACAATTTAAAGACATGGAGAAGAGAATGGAAGAGAATAGGAAATAAGAAGTTTCAAACATATTTAACTCAATGATGAGGAATGAGTCTTGTTTTCAATAATGACCTCTAGTGAATGTGCAAAGTAATCACATGTAAATTAGTTCCAATCATGGGAGAAAACATGTATTTAACAATTTAGTCTTTAGGTTTGGTCAACACTAATCAGGGTTAAGAAATCCTAATCAGGCCAAATATTTGAGAATTTAAACAGCATCTCTCACAACTACGCAATTTAAGTAACTTCCTATTTGTATCAATTGAGTGCTGAAGTGATAAAAATCAGCTGCAAAGGTGGACTTAACATTAGCTTGTCTCCTTTACTAATTGCTTCAGAACTTTTTGGAAGAGAAGTGCACGCTTTGCTGTATACACAGAATATCTGACTTTTCCACAAAAGCCAACTGAGTGTAATTTGTCTCGTGGACACTGTGGAGAATCGAGAAAAATGCAAGCGCAGTACAAGACATAAAAGGAACGAAAGAAGAAGAAGAAAGAGAGGAGCAGAGGAAAGATCTCATTGTGTGTTCTGCTAAACTATCCTCATTCATTTAAGTCCCTTGTTTTATACGGTTTATCTCCCAGTGAAACTCTAACTGATCAGGTCCAGGGAAAGTGCATGCATTTGGTTGTGGGCTGATAAAACTCCTGAGGCCCAATGGGGGAGCTCCTAGGGCAGATGCAGAGAAATGTTCGGCAGGATACAGGGAACCAGATTGCTTTTAATGGAGGCTGCTTTTATGGCTCTGTTCCTGTAAGCAGATAGTATAAGTGAAAACATCTCGCATTACTTTGACACAGCTGTGAAAATATTATGAGATAAAATGGTGGATAATGAAGATATACACTGATCTAGATGGCACCATCACCACTGCTTTGTGAAATGTACATCACACAGCATTTCCTCAAATTCTTCACCCCGTCATCAATTCAAATTTTTGGATGTTGTTAGGGCTGTGCAATTAATCAAATGTTAATAGTGATTGAGATTAAATCAGGGTCTTTTCAATTCAGAGGTATAGCAAATCATTTGACAGTAGGAGGAATAAATTTGACTTTTTGCAGGATCTGAATAGGAATTGTTTTAAATGTTTTTTGTATATATTTAGGAAATAAACAGTGAAAGACATTTTATAAGCTTTTAGTCTTTCTTGATGCAAGGATCTAAATTAAGTGCATAGCCTCTGTTACTAATGCTGTATCTATATCGTTTTGATATGTATATGTCAATAATTTAACCTTTCATATTCTTTTTTACTTTTTGGAAATTCATTATTCAATAAAATAAATATAGCTATTTTTTATTTTATAGTGATTGCATGTCCACTTATCTTAGTACCTGCACTTTTTGTGAATTGAGAGCTGCTTTGACAAGATAATCCTATTCTATCTTCTTTGGATGAATCTTCTTGGTGGTTCTGTGAAGTACACACAGTATTAAAGTTTGGAAGAATTAGGCAGTAATCATTAATTCTGTTTGGGTCAGTGTAAAATAGTACAGTACAGGTGAATGATGGACTGATAAAAGATTTATGGTTATTAAGGAGCAGAGAGCAAGTCTGAAAAGTCAGGGTGAGCATGAACATAAAGTGAAAGGGGTCACGGTTAAGATAGGTTTGGATGCACACCACATACAAATGGGATTGATCATTGGTCTTCTGACAAAAGCTCTCAGCGATTGACTCACCGGTGTTGCACAGGCAAACAAAAAGATTATTGACCACTGCCTAGCTGCCACCCACAAGGACAGGTAAACATAACTGTGCCCTTAAACAAACGGTCTCATGTCCAAGTAGCAATCAGAAAATGACATGTATTTATTTATCACATTGACAAACACATCTGCCTTGAACTTATGTCGTGGGTCACCTTCATTATGTGGCCCATGAAGAGACATAAGGGAGAAGATTGGAGGTGATGTAGAAGTAAGGAGGAGTGAATTGTCGTCAGCACAGAGGGGAAAAAGGTGGTAACAGTGAAAGATATTAATAGCATTTCCCTTGACTTTAAATAGCGACTGTGCAGGGGAAAAATGTGCACAGGTAGGCTGCAAGCTAGCACAGAGCAGGCCGGTCCTCTGTCCCGTGAGCTAACACACACACACCCCTCACTTGCTCGCCCCTCCTGCTCCTGCTGCGGGACGGCAAACTTTTCAAAGCCAACACACAAACAAATAGCAGATGAAAAGTGCTTTTCACAGCAAAAGAAGCTGACTGGGCCATTTAGTGGCTCCAGTATAGGGCCCAGAAAGAGTGTGTGTGACGTGCGTGTGTGTTTTGTACTGATGCCACAACCTTAAGAAATGTATGCAAACAGATCAATTATTTACACTATGAAGAAAGAATGTTAGGTAATGAGTGTTAGTCACAAAGGTCACAATAGGTGCAGTGGTTTATAAGAGTAGTTCAAATATAAGCACTTTAAAGAGTATGCTGGAGACAACTCATCCACTGTCAGACTGAACATGACGCATTTCAAACACACTGACATTTTCCCCGCTGGCGAGTGTCTGAACAATCACCACAGCCTTAAAAGTACTGCAATTGAGACAGCCTTTTACATGTGTTTCATTTAAATTTCTTTTTTCCTGACTAAAATGTATTGTAATCAATTGTTTTCTTAAAATTTCTCCTTTATTCTGACAAGACAAAGACCAACAACACTAAGTCTATATTTATACACAGAGTAATCCATTGCCTGACTTTGACCAAACTAGTTCATTCTGACCTGAGGAGGGAGTCTGGATTACCGTGAGGATCAGGCCATTAGATTGAAAAGAAAAGAACATAAACTGCATATCAAGTCATCTTTTGCTGCATTAGCCCACTTAGCCTCCAAAAGGTGTTCTAACGCTGTATAGACTTATGACACACAACATGGCTTTGTTTGCTTTTTCAGCAAAAATCCCTTAAATAAAGGTAACTTTCTCCTTCTAACATCATGTGACTTTGTGAAATCCCCCAGCGGCCCGCACACAGGTCATCTGGGCGCTCGAGGACAGTTACAGCTTAAGGGAATCTACTAAAAATGTTAGTATAATCTTTGAATGTGGCATAAGTGCACCATAACTTAAATATAATATAACATACAATTCTACTTAAATAATGTCATAATTTACTTAACTGTCATATACCAATAACAAGTATGCATAGTCTGTTCACCTAAAGGGTTTACATTAGAGGTCAGGCCATATAATTGGGTCAATTTTAAAAATTTACAAGGGAA